GGCTTACTCACTCGCCCGTCGGTACACCGGCGCTATAATGCCAATGCAACCACCATCACCCAGTTAAGTTCCGTCCACTTCAGCTCAGCGACGGCGATGGCAACAACGACTTCGTTCCAGTTACAGTCACTTGACCAACCGAAACAATAAGAATAAGACAACATACTCTGAGACGTTCAGGCATTATAATTGTTTGGAATGGCGAGAGGCGGGTGAAGTAGCGTGCATATTTATGGGAATATTTTTCGAAGCATAAGAAATCATTGCAGCGATTCCCTCCCTGCCGTTCACCCTTCGAAAAAAAGTTCTGGACGAATGCGCGTCGATCTTTGACCTTTCCAGAAGCGTTTCATATCATCGTTGCTGACCGCCGCCCAGCTCAGCATCGCCTTACCCGGGGTCTCTCAGTCAAGTCAGAGCAGACTACGGCAATAGCAAAGGCGTTCACGACTTGTCAGTCTATGCAAAATGCATAAAAATTCCACGTAGCATTGCAGTCAAAAGTTTTGCGCAGGCGTTCGTCAGCAAACGATGGCGGCTCCGACGACGATGATGACGACAGTCTCGTGTGGGCGAATCGAACCAAGCGAGCTGGCAGTACTGGAACCTCGAGTAAATATGCGGCATAAAACTGGATTGCAAGTATGAGTATGGCAAAAAAAAAAAAAAAAAAAAAAAAACAACAGAAAAATCCGTAAAAATAAAATCCATTATATAAAAAACAAACTCGCGCAATTGGCCCCGAGTGATTGCCATATAGAAGGCCAACACTCCGTCATGGCAACAAATGATCAACAACAAAAATTAAATAAATAAAAAACATATTTAAGCATTAAATACCAACATAAAGTAGGCACAGTGACATTTGGCCAAAATACAAGCTACATGCGAAAAAATAAAAATGAAATTTAACAAGAAAAGACGAAATTCAATATTTACAACCGATTGAGAAACGCGGGCGTTTTATGTCGCCTAGGATTTGATTATACAGGGTGCTATGTTGTCTTTGGTTATCTAGCTGTATGAGTGATAAATAACGTCATAAAGCTAGCTTACCGAAGTTAATATTAGCGTCTGGCCAGCATACAAACACGCATACATACTGCATCGAATGTTTTCTCAACCGTGCTTCGCTGCCCATACTTGAAATTGTATGTGGCCGTGAAGGCGCACTATTTAATGCCCTGTACCAAAGCATAAAAGTATGAAAACTATATAAATACATATATTCTTAATCCGCATATCTGATCGGAAACGACTGAGCCCACATTTACCGAATGTAGACTTCCCTTGCCCCAAGGCAACACGATGGTTTCCCTTCTTTCCCAGCTACAGATATTTCTCCTAAGCTACATGAACAAAATATTATTGCATATGTATTTTATATATTTTATAATTAAGTTATTTTCTACCTATACTTTAAATTTAATTCAGATCGGGTAATTCTAGGAAAGTAATTAGCAAAATAATTGATGCCAGAGCACTATGCCCTAAGCTGCTCTACCGGTTTCGTTCTTATTCTGCTTTTTTCTGTTTCTGCGCTGATAACAACACATTCGAGTATAAAACAGTGGCCGAAGTGTTTTATGTACAGGGTATTTCACTGTCGGGATTGCTCGACTGTAACATTCTCTCTGTCTCAACTGTGTGAATGAAAAATATTTGCAAAAATAATTATTTATTACCAACCAAGCAACGATTTAGAAACTTGTCTCTGAGAGTAGGTTTGAATTTACGATTATTCATTTTTGCATTTCGGTATCTACCTTGGTTTACTAAAACGTTTACGTATGACATTAACTCTAGCATTCAAGATTCAGTGAATTCAGTTATTATGTTATAAATGAGAAGCTGGTTTTTGGAAACCAAAACGAGTATGGCTGAGGTTTATCAAAACCGATGACAGCAATAGTACCAAATACTATGTATGTATATACATACAGAGTGAGCATGAATCTCCAAAAGAACTAGAGCCATCCATTTTATGTACCCGAAAGGTTTATTATACAAGTATTAGAACATGTGTATGCGTGCCACACCCTAAAAATAAAGAATATAGCGCGACCATTGAGACCCCACAAACACGTTCTATAAGTCTTTCAATTAGAACACATAGGCATGTCACAGCCCTAAGAAATTGTCGGCTACCAAACTAGACCAAAACGTAATTTCTTATGTGAAGAACTTGTTTAATTTTAGGCATGGCCAGAAGACCACTATTTGTTAAATTGCGCCTTTTACCAATCGCATTAAAAAGATCATCGGAATTATCGAACAGCCTATAATGCTGTAAGATAATAGGCATCACTATACAAAACTCATTGATACCAAATTGTCTTCAGATAGTCGTTCAGTCGTTCTACTAAGAGTGAGTTTTCACAATGGGGCTTGTAATACTTATTCTTCTTCTGCGTATTGCTAAAACGAGTCTGCATACAGACGGACATATCTATAACGTTCCATCTCGTCATATTTTCTTGAATATTATTATTATGAGTATATATTCAATATTATTTTATTATACTAAAATTGGCTTTTAGCTAAATTTAAATATTGAATTAAAATAAATTTGCATTAAATTAAAAGTGTCCTTTTAATCACAGGATGGAGTATGTACATATACATAGTATAAGTAGGCTCAGATCTAACGTAAAATTGTTTCGTTAATAACTTTTCCTATGATTAACTGGTTACACCTATAAGGGAGCTTAAATAAATAAATATATATATAATGACATTCTGTAGAGAACGAAGGGAAAGTAGTTAAAAAGAAATTAAATAAAATGAACTCGTGTTGACTAAGGGATTAGAGGAGTGTACATACCAGACATGGTGTTCAAACAGGTAAAAGACTAAATGGAAATGTTTGTACATATACATGTGTATATTTTTTATGAGGTCGGAAAAAGTACGTTTATAAAAATAAGTCAAGTCAAGTGTAGCTGAAAGTAAAAGTATAAATACCGTACAAACAATAATATAACGATAATAATGGAAATTCAGTCATTTCCGGAGAGAGGGAGTGAGATTCTTGTCTCAATACAGACAAAACATTGCTATAGCCTCTCACTGTATATATAGTAACATACATTCGCACTAACTAACCTTAACCTTTGCCACAGAATAAAAACTGCGATTTGCATGAAAGAAATCCCATATTTTACAAATTCTACGGCTTACATATGTCACGGGAATAAAATATTATGATGCGTCCCACAGCAGTCAGTCAAAAATAGGCACTGCCTGCGCTACAATATGTGATAAAACTATATACGACATTGATTTTAAACAAGAAATCAAGTCATAATAAATTGGTGAACTTAAACATAAATTAGGAACTAAAATGAAAGCTTATTAGCGGTTATTAAAATGTATTCGATTTGGTTTATTTAGGATCGGCTTTTGTTAATTACTACTTAGATATCACAGCTCATGTTAAATAAATAATAGGAAAGCTGGCAGTGTTATTTCTAAACTAAGCCAAAACAAGGGTCTTCACACCTGACTTGTCAATTTGCAACGGAATTTACCAGCTAAGGTCTTAAGAAGTCCACTTATAGTAAAAAATGGTTTTGACAAATAAAAGAAATCGATTGTTTTTCAATTTCTCTACAAAGCATTGGAAAACTTTTTATTTCATTACTCTCCTCTCACCGTCTTCTTCCAACTTAGATTTGATTATAGAGGTGATGACTAAGCTCATGTAAATACTTAGACACCGACATACTATACACCCATACACTTAATCTCGCAGAGCAACAGCTGTTGCGACTCAGCAAGACACATCGAACTAAAGCCAAATATTCGAACACATACAAGTATATTGTAGTATTGTAGTGTACAATACAATATGTACTGTATATTGCATATCTAACGACTTAGCTGTATCAGACATTGGCGCTAGCACGCAACTGCTCACTAGTCGGCTCAGACGTTCGCTCTGGACGGACTACATATGTAGACAAGTATATATCTACACTCTACCTGTATATGTATGTACTATGTATATGTGTACGTATGTTCATGCGGATACACACATAGCTACCTTTATATAGTCGATGATGTATGGTGGGAATTTCCGTTACTTGCTCAATAACTCGGCACCTCTCAGCTTTTGCATTTCGATCGTTGGGAAGGGCGTCGTCTGTAGCTGAAATGTTAAGCGAAAAAACGAAAAACTACATACTTCGACACTTTGCGAACTTACTTGGCTTTGTTGTGGAAGTAAACAGATTTCTATATTTATTTTATTATTAATCTTTAGTTTTCCTTTTGTTCTGTTGCAATAGAAACACATGGCAGATTGGTTTCTTGTTGTTTTTGTTGTTTCGTTACTCAATTAGAATTATCACTAAAAATGAAAAGGAAATGTTTTTATGCTTTCGTTACGTTACTTAATAGATGAATTTCTTTTAGAATATCGCTACAAAAGTTTTTCTTTTGAGTACCCATTTCGTTTGGTTGTTGTTATGTTTTGTTTTCAATACGCTCGACTAATTATATTGTACGTGTATTTAGAAAGTTTTTCTTTGTTTTCACAATTGTTATTTTGTTAGCTGTTTTTGTCCAATCTTACCATATTTTATATTTCGATTTGGAGTTATCAATCTAATTTGCTTAGTCGGCGAAGTTAGTTGTTACTACGAGTACCAACAACAATGATTTAAGTACAACATTTTTACTTAACTTAAATGAATTTAATAAGGAAATTAGAAACAATGCTAAGAATAATACAGTTCAATAGTCAACTTCATAATAATAAATTTATCATACATACAAGCTCCGTTATAGTTTTTTGTATTTTTTTTCTTTTGTTTCTGAACTAATTTTAAAAGTTTGATTTAAATCGTAATTTATAATTATAATTAGTTAATTTACTTTGAGTTTGTTAGAATTCGCTAAGAGTTTCATGCTTTTCTTTTTAGTGCTTCGATTTAAAGCTCCACCTACATATATATTTATATATATATATATACTTGTAAATCTAGTTAGTTAGCAGATAAACTTAGTTCTTGGAAGATGTTTTCTATGAGTTTGTGCTTTGTGTAATTTCCATAATTTACCGAAAAGTTAACTGAAACCTTCGCACTATTGAATGGATAAAGGGAAGAGAGGATGCTGCAACAGACAATCCTGCCTATTTTAAAACTGCTGAAAACATGGTGGCTAGTTAAACTTTGTTAAACTTTCATACATACTAAACTACAGATCATTTAAAAAATAGGTAAATTTTATTTATAATAATTTAACCTCTTCATTCTCCACTACACACATCCGCTAAAGCTAGCTTTGCTCTTTAAGTACATGTACAAGTATTTTGCATTTATTCGGTTTTTGTTCTTGTGTTTTTCGTTTTTGGACCCAATGCAACTGCTTGAGTACATATGTATGTATGTTATGTATGTATGTATGTGTTTTGCATTATACGGTTATGTACGTGTATGTACTTGCACTCTATTCAATTATATTTGGTTTATTTCTTATCGCTTAAAAACATACATAGTAAATTCCTCTAAAATGCTTCTGCTGTTGTTGTTGTTGTTGTGTTTGTTGTTACCTTGTCACCTATATAAAGTAAATAGTGTTGCATATTAATACGGGACCATTCTAATCAAATCCGATTCTGCCACTTGGCAATTAAAAGTACGAGTATTATCTCTTTGCTTGTTGGCTGATTTTCATATTTTAAAATTATTTTGCCAAATTTCATAAGTTGCTTATTGTTGTTTGTTTTTTCTTGCTTCTCATCCTCCTCCTCCTTGTCATTCATATTTTCGTATTTGCTTCCACCTCTTTCTATAATTACACTTTACACACTTAAATATTTTCTGTTAGCTTTTCGTGTTAAATTGCAAGTATTTAATTAAGTATTTTCGAAATTTTGAAAATCAGATTTTATTTTCTAGATTACTGTTGAGAATTGGCTTCCCTGGCCAAGACGAGCGATGTCGACAATCAATGAAATCAACAAGCTTGAAAACTTCTCAATTCCCACTAAACCTAAGCATCAGCATTTGTTCATTGTGCGACCAACTTGGCCTGCCGCTGGCTCAGAAAGAGGCCTCTACCAGATAGGTACCATCCATTGGCTGATTGTTTTGGCTGTTTTGAGCGTTACTTGCAGCAGGCATGTATTTGCCGCAGGCCTGCGAATAATCAAAATTGATAGAAAAGTGCATTAGAATAGTCGGTTTGGTTTTAGGGAATGTATAGGCTTTCGAGACAAAAGAATAAGAAATACATCCCAAAAGTATGCTAGGGCGTACAAAATTGTAGCATACTTTTGGGGCGTGCACGTTATTTTGCGTTCTTTTGCACAGAAGTATCCCCACGAGATTCCATATTTAAATAAATTACATATGTATATCATAATCTTCAAGCATATTTCATAGTAATTTGAAAATATTGTAAATAATTTTCATCCTGTTTAGTTACATAGGCTTAAGTAAAATCCTATAGATATATTATATTTTTGTATTCCCCTTTAATGTAAAACTGGATGAAGTTGCCAACTGTCATTAAAATATAGTACATATTTTTAATTTTAAAAAATAACACAAAAGTATACAATTTAATGATTGCCTTTTTTCTTACAACGGTGCACTGAATTTACATCATCTATGTATACACAAACGTCACATAATACTGTTATATTTGCCACCCACCTGTACTTGGCGCACACTACTTATACACATACTAAGTATATATAGTATTTATACATACATTTACATATATACATGAGACCACTTACCTGATAACGTTGGGAACAGCAGCGTCCGCAACACGACTGCAGCAGACCCGCCGCGCTGTTGGTCGAGTGTGCAGGACTCGCCATGGGCGAGGGCGAGCCCGGTCGCTTTGGTTGCCCGTTATATGGTATTTCCAACTCGACAAACTCACGATCCTTTTGCGGTTTCGATAACCATACAATTCGAGAGAGAGCGAGAGTGAGAGAGAGCGGTAAAGTGTACAAAGAGAAACGGAGAGAACATACAAGTAGAATACATTGTTTGGCTTTTCTTGATATAAAACATGTACACATTAATTTACATTAGAAGAGGAGCAGGTAGGGTATTAAGCATGGAGTATACAAACACAAACACGGTAGTAGTCGCATAATAATATACATATTTTAGAAGAGAGAACGACATTAACAATAAAGCAGGAGATATAAACATTCGAACGCTTAAAGTGTTATGCACGTGTTTGGGCAAAACGGGGAAACGGTTTACAATTGTTTGTCAGTTAGTTTTTCTGTAAGCAATGACAATTGTACAAATAGCACATGTAGCAGCTGGTGTTGAGGCGCGGCAGCGGGTTGCGGTCAAAGGGCACAAGGCACAGGAACAGGAACAGGAGTCTGAATAGGAAGCGCAGGATGAGCATTTTTTTATTCTTGTGGATAGCTGATTATATGCGCGCGCATCTTGAACTGGTTTTGGAATTTATACAACTTTATTCGCAAGCTGGATAAAACGACGGCATTCATTTTATCGATTTTTACTCGAGTAACCTTTTAATGTAAAATGCCAATAAAATTTGAAACAAAACGAAATCCCATGTCAGCATCAAATTATTCTACAAATGAGGCATCCTTTCCCGTGCCAAAACCCGATAGTATAAAGGAACTTGCTTATTCTCGTTTCGAAAATATTCTTATGGATTTTGAAGGTCAAATCTCTTTATCTTAATGATAAGATGAAAATTGTTTCGATGAGAGGATATGGATATTGGACTTGTTCGTTTTTCTTCAAATACGATTGCTGTGCCAGATTTGTCCCAAGTGATATTTGTAACTAGCTTTTATTTATTTAATATTATTATTATGGCCATCTTGCTTCACACACTCAAATGTATGAGATTGCTATTATTTCATTGTCCCATTTTTCATTTAATCTTCTTCTTTTACATTCTTAAATTCTGCCTAGTCAAAACATCGTATTAAGTATAGATTAAAACAAAAATTAATAGAAAAACAGTAATGAACATATGTATATATTTATAAACATCGCCAAGATTTATAAATCGCACAGTAGAGCGCTAGACAATTGAACGAACGATATCTACAAATAATTTGTCGCCTAAATTTGTGTATAAGTGGTAGATCAGTCTCAATGTATATACAAACAAAAAAGTAATCGGTTTTTACAGAATTTTAATTTACAAAATATTGGCTTCTACTTAAGGTTTCTTTAAATAAAAACTTTTTAAGAAAAACTATACAAATATGTTGTTCTAAAAGTATTGTCCTAAGTAAAATGGGCCTGCCTTATATTTTACTATGAAAAGGTCAATAAATAAATTTAATAGAGTTTAAAAATAGTTTAGTCTTGAAGTACTTTGTTGGCAGATAATTTAATGTCATTTTTTGTTCATCCCCTTGAAACTAAAAACTTAACTAAAAAACAGTCTTGAAATTTTAGAACACCTTTCAAATTTTCGCTTTTTTAAATTTTTACTTCCAGTTCTTGGATTTTGATTAAATTTTTGTTTATGCTGGCAGCAGTTTTTTGGCACATGGCACCATCGGAATTTTTATGGATGACTTAAGCACTGCTCTAAAGCATTTCTTGCTTGGTCCAATGACCTATTGATAGTCGTAAACAAACAAACATTAAGGTTTTAAGTAAATGGCGTTGATGGGTGCTCAGACCCCCATCAACAACGGAAATTGCAGCTGCTAGAAAATCATAAAAATTATTTATAATGCATAAGAGCAAAAGATGGAACAAAAGTACAAACGTAAAACACTTACTGCGGCCGCTCTTGGGCTTTTAATAACATTTTATTTGAAATTGTTTTTATTTATGGAACATGTGTTCCTATTATTGAATATTTGTTCGTTTAGTTACTTCTTGCTTGGCGCTCGTTAATAACAAACATGTACACAAGGATGGGGAAGAAAGATGAAACTTAAAGGAAAACATAAAACCATACAGCTTATACATAGACAATTATACAGATATTACAAAAATAATAAATTACAATAAAAACTAGAATTGCGTTAACGAATTTGGTTGTTTATAATACAAATGCTGGGAACGAAGGAAGGCTGACGGAGCACGCACAAAACTTTGACTTGAACAACAAATCCTTGCCGTTCTTACTGTCGTTGTTGTTGCTGTTGCTAATGTGTGTGTTTTGTGTGCTCACTGTTGTTGCACGGGTAGTTGCTAAAGTTGTAGTTTCTCTTGCTCTTGCTGTTCTGTGGTGGCTTGGTATTGCTTGCCTAACAAGCACAAGGCAAACATGAAAGTGTTTGGCTATTAGAAAGATGTTCAAATGTTGCTACATCTGTTGGAAAATAAAACAAATGAAAACGGAAAATAAGAGAAGAGATGTGTGATAAATTAAAAGGACAATATGTATATGTACGGTCGAACGGAACAGAACTCGGAACCCCTTGCACAGACGCCAACGCTAAACCTCAAGCACTCTAATCACACTCGCATTAAGCATACGCACCGTTGTCTTTTCGAGACAGCGCAACAAATGATGATGCTGCAGCTCAAATATGTCCTCATCTCTATAATTGTCGTCCAGCTCAATGCCCGACTCCTGCGCGGCCCAGCGCGCCTCGGCGGCCTTCTTCTTGTTGACAAAGGCCGCGCCCGACGAGGCCTTGGCAATGCGAATTCGTGCCAGGCGAGCTTTCTGCAATGATTCCATAGTATGGAGTCAGTGAGATGCGATGGATATAATATGCCGTGTACAAGTATGTAAGATATGTTCAACTTACGCGCTGCGCCTTACGCTTGTCCGCACGCTGGTTCTGATGGTAAATTCGACTAAAGTTCGATACAATAACAGGTACAGGTAAGGCTATGACCAGCACACCACTGAGCGAGCAAACGCCGCCCACAATCTTGCCAGCTATTGTCTCGGGCACCATGTCACCATAACTGCAAGGAATGGAGTTTGGAATTATTTTCAAGTTACCTCGAGGATTAGATCAGGCATACTCACCCCAACGTCGTCATTGTGACAATGGTGTACCAGAAGGCAGCCGGAATCGATGTGAAATTTGTGCCGTTCACGTTCTTCTCTGCATAGAACATGACCGTGGCGAATATAATGATTGCCATAGCCAGCGAGAAGACGAGAAAGCCCAGTTCGCTGGCGCACGATTTAAGTGTGTAGCCCAGGATGCGCAGACCCTGCGAGTGCCGCGAAAACTTAAAAATGCGGAACACACGAAACACGCGCAATGTCACAAACGCGCCGCTCACGTCGTCATTGTCCGTGATGCCCAGTCCGATGTAGTACGGCATAATGGCCACCACGTCAATGATGCTCATGACGCTTCGCACGAACTTGCAGCGATCGGGCGCCGCAAAAAGGCGCAGTAAATATTCGGCCGTGAAGATCATAACGCAGGCCGTGTCCAAGCAGAAGAAGACGATTTTGTAACGCTCTCCGCAGGGCAGGGTTCCAGCACGTCCTGGTCGATGGCCGCACGGAACCGTCTCCACCACATTAGCCATGACTGAGACAGCAATAAAGAAACCCGTCACATAATAGAAGACCAGGGCACTGGTCGATGTGTGGGGGTTTTCGAAGGCACGCCACATCTTCTGGCGTATGTTGGTCAGCTGCTGTAAGTTCTGATCGCCGTTCTCTGAGAGTTTGTCGTCCATCAGACGCTCGGCATTTTCGCGCTTGCGATCGCGATAGTCCTCATAACAACAGTCGCCAATCACATCGGGCATAATGCCAAAAAATGCCAGTTCCTCGTCGTAGCTGGTGAGGCATTCGTGTTTGGGATAGTGAAGCTTACCAGTGCGATAGTAGTTTAATATGTGGCGGAATATGTCCGGGTCCCGATCAAAAAAATACTCTTTACAGTCCTCGTCGTAGAAGAACTCACGTTCGTTCGACCCGAGTAATGTGTCTGGATACTTTTCCAGTGTATTGCGCCATGTCTCAAAGCGACGGCCTGAGACATTGATTAGCAGCTTCTCGTCGTCCGTTTTGCGCCGATCCTTGGGCATGGGTGGCGGTGGCAGTGGATGAGTGGCTATCGGCACCCAACCGATGGCCGCCGCCCGTGCGAATGGCAGCCAAGCGGCGACCGAGGCCATACTGTGTGGTGGAATGTTTCAGTGTCGGCGATGTTTGTGTGAGGTATTTGCGGTGGCTGCGCGGGAAGAAGGCGCCCTTGCCTTTGCCTTTGCCGTTGCCGTTGCCGTTAACTTATCCGATGCGTTATGCTAAGCACTTGGGTTGCGTTGCTTTGCGATCTGTAATTCTAGTTAAAGCTGATGCCTCTGATATCTCTGGACTCGGTGTTCGACTGCTACGATGTAGTTGGCATTTGGAATAGCTGGGAGCTCTTTTGTAGACTTATACTTATTATTTAGTTTAAAACACCATTTCACAGCGTGTTGTTAAATTTGGTTTTATAATTGTCTCGTTGCCATTTTACGCTGCTTATTGGTAATATCATAGCTTTTTATTGCTTAAACTTATTGCTGTCATTTTTGCTTTTATGTTCACGCTGGGATATGAAATTTATGTGCTGCATTGGCAAAAGTTTTAGAAAACAAGTCAAGGCGAACAAGAGGCAACATGGCCCATACACTCTCATACACTTGGCATCACGACTAAGCCAGAGGCCAGCTAAAACTTTTCCACAGCTCTATTACAATTACTTTCACGCACACCCACGCACACACACACACATATGCATTGCCAAAAGTTTTTGGTACACAGTGAAGCGGCAGTAAAGCGCAGACAAAGTGCCATCTGAGTGGGAGAGTAGATGATACCCTGACAAATGAATATTTGAACATACAAATTAAATGCCAATTGACTATTTTAAGTTTTAAGACAGATGCAAACAAAATTCCAACCCGATATACATATTCCAAATTGCGAATTCTTTTATCAACACCTTCCACTTCCAGAAACAAAGCAAACTGAAGCCAACTAAGTTACTTTACTGCTTCATCAACCAACATAATAGCCATGTTTGTATACCCTTTACCCAAAGAATAAAAAGAGTAGGTTTGTGCAAAGTATGGTATGGGCAGAAGGAAGCATATTGGACCTTCGGATATATACTATATATTCTCATTTAGCATGTAGAGACAAATTGATCTAACAGAACGCATTTGGGTATAAAGGAATTTCACTATCGGGCTTGCTTGACTCTAACGTTCTCACTTTTTATAATTCAGACAGCAATTTTAATCACCTCTTCCTAGTTGGACTAAAATAAACCCGTCTATTTACATATTCCTTCAAATACTTGGTAGTTAAAAAATAAATAACAGTTAACCGTTTTTTGATCAAAAGGGCTAAAACAATAGCCACTTTTTGGCAGCTTTTGATAGTTAAAGAACTGAAGGCTACTAAGTATATCTTTTCTGGCTAGCTAAGTGTCTTACCTATTATTTTAGCTAGGTGGTTATTATTTTAGCATCTGATTAAGTAGGCGTTCTTTTACATCTACTCTATAATCGAATACAAATCTAGCGCCAGACCATTTAACACATACTATGTATTTATATCAAACCCCATTTGAATAACTCCTTTATGTTATATACGAGTGCGTAAATAATAATTGCGATCGAAAAAGCGACATTCCCAATCTTATATTATTATACAAGTGTATACAAAAAAAATGACTAAAGTTAACCACCAGAACTCCCAATACTAGTTATGGCTTCCAAAGCTTAAAAATTTTGTAAATTTTTAGTAATCTAATGCTAAGCTAGGTAAGATCTGTCTACGTGGGCGTGGATGGTCTCGGGGAGGCTGACTCCCCTTCTCCTAGAGGAACAGGCATGCGGTGCTTCCGATGCGCTGAGGCAAAAGGTATTCTGTAACTACAATTGAAAGAACAAACACATTTTGCTTACTTTGAGAGCTTGCCTTTCTTTATCTATGTCTGGGTATTTGAATTTTTTTACTACCTACCCTCACTTGGCAATGCAGGAGTTTTCTTGAGCTTACAAGTATGACAAAAAGCCATTTGTTTCCATAAATGTCATGGCGCTGGCGTGCTTTTGAAGTCCACATAATGTGTCTCTTTGATTTATATTATATTTGTCGCTGACACGAAAGTTTCGGGTATTTAATGGTCGCAGAAGTTCAGCTGGCATTGTCATAACTTCTTGCATATATGTGCTCCAAATACATATATACTTAGTATGTATGTATATACTTGTATTATGATTAGATTTCATTCTACTTGTAATAAAGGTGCGTTCTGTTGTCATAGCAATAGGCATTCTTTATAATTGCCTTTGCTATCGAAAGGTGTTCGAAAGTTAGTACAAGGTGCTTTCCAAAGTAAACAGGACTTTTGAATCTAGCGCCCCCTGGTGACGCTATCTTTATATATAGAATCTGCTATTTTTATCGATTGTCCAGTGAGAATTTCATGACATTTAATCGATTGGAAGTGAAGTTATTGCGTTTTAAGTGTCAGCATGTTTGTGTTATCGGTGTGAAAATAAATTAGACCAACATTAAATTTTGTTTTAAAATTGGTAAAACTTTTACCGAAACGTTTCAATTACCTATCCCGTCAGGACATAAATGACGATCAACATGTGGGCCAATCAAAATTCGAGATCACCGAAAATTCCATCGAAACTGTGCGTGAATTCATCAACAATCAGCCGAAATCATCATTGAAATTGTTGGAAATGGAATTGAACATCTCCAAAACATCGATTTATCGCATTTTGACTGAACATTTGGGCTTACGAAAGGTGTGTGCACGGTTTGTTCCGCACAAATTGATAAACGACCAAAAATTGCTCAGATTCGATCGACGCTTGTGACCGATTATTTGACCAAAAATCACATTTTAACCATTAACCACTCGCCGTATTCACCTGATATGGCACCGTGCGACTTCTACCTTTTCGGAAAAATGCATTTGCCCATGAAAGGAAAGCGTTATGTAGACGTAGAGGCCTTTCAAAATTCTTGCACCGGCATACGGGCGGCCATACCGGCCAACGACCTAAAACACTCGTTCGACATGCTTTTATATCGTGCAGAAAGCTGTATTGAAGCAGAAGGAGACTATTTTGAATAAAATAAATTGATTTTGCCGAAAAAACCATTTGTTCGTTTTTTTTTTAAAAAGTCCTGTTTACTTTGGAACACACTTTGTAGAATTCCAAATGAAGGTCTTCTGTAGGTTAGAAGATTTTAAAAGACTTTATGGCATACATTTGTGTCACCTATAACTTCTTTCAGAAAAGTATTGTTGAAGAAATTTGTGAAAATATAAGTAGAGAGTTAAACATACTATAACTATAGTATGGGTACCGGAGGATCGGGAGAAAAAATCAGAAATAGGCTCGTTTTGTAGGAGAATCTACCTTATAATTGTTGTTTCTGTGGGTGCAGCCGCTTCCGGATCTAGTTTTTCTTGTTCTTAGTGGTTAATATTCCTATTTGATTATATTATGTACATCCACTATATTTATCTTTATTTTATAAATGTTGTCAAAATAAATAATATAAAAAGCTTCTTTGAATTAAAACCAACTAAACTCATTAATATAATATACTATATATATGTTTGCCAATAAACATGTAGAAAACCTTAATTTCTGTCCTGAGTTATGGCTACATTTGCTGTCGACAGTCACTGGATTTGTATATCCTTAACCAAAAGGGTGAAGGCTTAGCAGATCCCCTAAAAGTATATATATTCTTTATAAGTCTAATAAGATAAGTCGATGCAGCCATGCGCTATTATCCGACTGTATGAAGAAAGGGATCTCAGAAAGATAAAGATATTCCCCTACGCCCTAAGCAGATCAAGAGTCATTAATAGGCTTTATATAACTCCGGTGATTCTTAGTTATTTTTATACTGAAATTTAGCAATTACATTCGGAAAGTACTTGAAATTGTACATAAGCACAAATTTGACGTTTACTTTATTTTAATCATTGTTTATATTTTTTGTAGGAGTATGTCTAGGGTTTTTGAGAAATACAAGTAGGCCCGCTCGTTTATATGTAGTATTCCATTTTTGTTGGAATTGTTTTCGTGAGTTACACCCACGTGGATGAATCATGTCCCACCAAAACGAACAAATTGCAAATTGTTTCAGATGATATTTTAATTGAAAATTTTGTTCTGAAAAATGTAAACAAAAACAAGGTAATTAATGCACTTCTATGAAAAATCCCCATGATTATTTACTAACGTGGACCAGCACCTACACAAGACCAGTTTCAACCAGATAGCCACCCTCCGATGCTCTGTTAGCGATATCGCGCCCTAAAGCCATAATGCCATATTATCTTATCGAATATTTTCGGTGAGCGGCCTTGCTTTTTAACTAAATGGAAATTAATTAATGCCGTTTGCTTTTCTTTTGTGGTTGATGGCTGTGACGTTAACGTTGATGCCAGGCCAAGGCTGATGAGGCTAATGTAGCCTGCTGACTGTTGGCTGCCAATTGTAGGTCGACTTCGGCGCCTGTTGTTAGGCTATGATTATACAACGATGTGCGTGTTGTGCGCCATCAAAATAAATTGTCAAACATCAAATGGTACATTAAATGAAGTTCGCCTTACAGCAGCAGCCAGCGGCAACAGAAAATGGAAAAAACCTACACCAAGACCATATCTCATACCTACTATGCTAGCCACCAACACAAGGCCCCCAATTTGGGCCAACAGTCTCGCCAATGGGCGCGTGGGTGAGTAAATGACTGCCGTCGTCTAGGCAGAGGCGCCACACGTCCTTTTTGGGCTTCATTAATTTTTTGCGTAGTTTATTTCACACACGTTGCTGGCTCAATGTTTTGTTATTTTAAGCGGCTAATTATTTGCCAACGTTTTTAGCGATGCCTCTTCTGCACACTGTGTCTGTTGTTCTTTTGTTGATGCTGTCTCAAGGTTGGTTTTTTTTTTTTTCATAACACATGGCACAACAACGGCACAACAGCAACGACAATGAAGATCCAGCCATACAGAATGTTCACAAAGCTAAATAAAAAACGATGCAGAGTCCTACACTCTAGGCCAACGAGCTGGTACCATTTGTACTTCATTCATATTTTGCCTTTCAAAAGCGCGCGGAATTTTTGCAGCCCATTTAAAAACAGGGAAGTGCTTCCTTTTCCCCTATTTGAGAGTACTTTTTATATTTATTGTTATATTTTCCGATTTTTTCCGTGTTTCATGTGTATTTTCATTTCGGAAGCTCAACAAATGTGGAAGTAATTGTTTGTTTAGGTTTAATAATGGGTGAAAACTTGTGTACACATATAAGCCACCTGTGTCTCTAGCTCTTATAGTCTCTGAAATCTTGGTGTCCATACGGACAGACGGAAAGACATGTCCTAATCGAGTCTTGTCATGCTGATCAAGAATATATAGATGTACTTTGTTGAGTCTTCCACACCTCCTTCTGCCCGTTACATTTTTCACTTTGCTCTCGTAACTTTCGGTTAGAGGGTATAAAAGGGGTAGCGAGTATAAATATCTGGCAATGTAGAAGCTTACTAATTATATTTTGTGTATTGTATGCAATATGCATTTTTCCGGGTACGAACGCATTTTTACGGCCTAGTGCATTTCGAATTTGTATTTCATTGACAGTAAGTAAACAATGTTTACATTCAGCCGCGCTATTTTTAAAAACACCACCCAAAAGTTTACCCACCCGATTTCATTTATTTGCCTGCGTTGCTACATTCTGTTTACACACAACTTTGTATGTTTTAATTTCCCGACTAAAAACTATAAAACATTTTCTATATACAAGTATTGCACAAGAGCGAAAAAAAGAACCAGAGAGAAGGAGAGTACTCTGTGCTGCCTCCACACTAAGTGCGTCTCTACAGCCATGTTTAGACCTACATACATATGTATGTACTTGTATATCTGGTTGTCTTTATGTCTGTTTGCCTTCTTATGAGTGCGCCTGCCCATTTACCCAAGAGCTTGTTTGTGTGATTGGGGCGGTGGGTGTTTGGATGGGACGCTGCAGATTGGTTAACTGCCTGGTCGGCTTAACATCAAAAAGTCGGAAGCTCACTTGTGGACAGCGTTTCATAATTTGATGACGGACGGCCTAAGTACCGCTCATGCACATGTGTATAAGCAATCATACAGCAACTGGCAACTGAATTATTGAATCTGGCTTTTGGAACCTTGTGGGTGTGTACTCGTTAGTATCCATATGTGCTGCTTTCATTGATTATTCTGAAATAGATTGTCATGTAGTGGTTTGAGAGGATTACAATGCGAGCTGCATATTTGATGCGATGTTCTTTAACTATTTAGTATACTTTCACCAATTAAAAATTGTTTAATTACAATTAGTAAACATTAATAATTTTGTTAATCAAAGTAAAATCTGACGATTATAAAAGTATGAACAACACAATAATAATGTATTTTCATATATAATGCGCGCTGCAAATTTGATGCGATGTGCTTTAACTATTTAATATACTTTCCACAGTTTCTAATTTTTTAATTAAAATTATTGAACATTAATAATTTTGTTCTTAAAAGTAAGATGAATAAATCAACTCTAGCTCTACACACGAGTCTGATATAATCTGACGATTATAAAAGTATAAACAACACAATTATAATGTATTTTAATGCGAAATCAAATATGCAGTATTTGATGCGATGTTCTTTAACTATTTAATATACTTTTCATAGTTTCCAATTTTGTAATTAAAATTATTGAACATTAATAATTTTGTTCTTAAAAGTAAGATAAATAAATCAAATCTACCTCAAGATACGAGTCTGATATAATCTGACGATTATAAAAGCATGAACAATACAATTTTAGATTTACGTTTTAAGCAAACAAAATTGAAATTCTGCATTATTAATGAACGATAATTTTACACACAATACCAACTCCCAATGATTTTTCAGGTAATTCAAATCTAACTGTACAACTTTAGAATGCTCGGCTTGTTTAAAATATACCCGTATATATAAAATATAGCGTATATTCCATTACGAAAAATCGGTCGCCAGAACTCTAATAAACAACCAACCATTTTAAAATTAAATATCCTCTTCAATGTGAAATGTTTGTTTTAGTATATAGTCGTACATACATACAAGTATATATGTGTATATCAAAGCTGGCTCTTTTTCCTCCTGCATGTAATATGTAAAGACAAACTAAATGTGACCTTAATCATTGTATCTATATTTTTTTATTGTATGACAGTTTTGCGTATATGCATTTCTTGTCATGTTACCAGTCGTGGAATAAGTAAAAAGTTATTTGCTGTGTATAATTAAATAGTGCAGAAAAGGTTAAATTCGCGGCTATGGACCATGGAGGAAACAACATTATGTTATAAAAGACTGTAAAGGGATAATTTCTTAGCTTGTTCTGTCGCGTACTCGTAATAGACAACATCTATACATACGTATCTAACTCGATTAGTTGCCTTATGCCACGTATGCTTACAATTCAATTAAAATGTAATACTATATGAGTGTTGTCGACCATGGCGTATACGTAATGCTGCTAAGAATGTCGAAAATTCGGACACATACATATGTACAACTGGAATACGATTCCAAGCTGATTTATTATTTAGATTGCATACAAGTCTGGTTCATGCCTAGTATCGCTGTATGTTTGTGCATGTTGCCCACTTGAGCACGTCTCTGACTTGAGTTACATAAATGCGCTCTGATTCGACCGGCGTTTCAAATTAATTGCAATACCCATAACAAATATAGTCAGTCATGTCCCCGCCCACATTGGTAGCTATCCCTATCTGACCAAAACTTTCGCCTCGCATTACACGCGCCACTGCCGCAGGGATAAAAAGACCGCTAGGAGAACTGGGAACAGTGTGGATGCCGAACCCAAAACGCACCGAGACGTGCATGGGACCCAAGGCAAGGGCCTGAGCAGACACGATTGTAGGTGAGTTATTCATGCGTGAAATGTGATTATACATACATACATACATACATACATATATCTGCATAAATACAAATGTATGCACATACATACGTATGTAAAATTATACATCCTTGTACATATACATATGCTTAACTGCGAATGTATGTGTGCAGGCATGCTTATAGATAAGAGGATAAACGCGTCATCAGAGACACACACAGGCACAGAAAGCTATGCTCTTTACATACATATGTATATATATATACTTGCATATACATATATATGCATATGTACAAAAGTGTGTGTGTGTGTGTGTGGTTGTATGCCTTGCATTGTTGTTGCACCGAAACCAAGCCAAGGATTTTTCGCACATTTACGCCAGCAAATGGACTGTTCTTGGACTGATGTTGCTGCTGTTCCCACTGACGCGCGACCACCGACGCCACTCACCGCTTGGCGCTCGCATAGCTACGGCTACTGTGCGCTCTTTCTCTCCTACAGACGACCTTCACTTTCATGCTCAGCCAACGGCCGCGCGACCGTCATGTTAGTTTGTTGAATGACTTTCTGCTGCTGCTGCTGCTGCTGGTGCCTGTTGTTGTTCTCACCGCTGCTTTCTATTCACATGCATTCAAAAGGGAGGAGGCAGGTGAGGATGATGTACATTAAATAGGCCAGCAACAGCAACAAAGCAAAAACAACAACAAGTAGTTGGCTTTTACCGCGCTATCAAAATTAAAAATTCAACGTAATTATAAAAATTATTTTCACTTAACAAGGACACTTAACGTGCCTGTCTGCCTCTGTCTCAGTGCGCCAATTCTGTGTCTGTGTGTGAATGCTTAAAGGTGCACCCTGGGCGGGTATCCGTGTCCATGTCCCTACACGACGTCGACGTCGTCGTCATCGTCGTGCGACGCCTTCGTCAGGCCAACAACCACAACATTCGCGGATACACACATTTTCACAAATCAAAAGCAAATGAATGTTGCCCCTCACACACGCACTCGCACAAATGATGAAAAAACTCTCACTCATAGCACGTAGTTTTATGGATTTTTTTTTTGTAGTGCTGCTGCTCGGCAATCTGCCTTTTGTGTTTAAGTTAAACAATTAGTTCATTAGCTTTTTATTAATTTTTTTCATTGACTGATGCTGTTTTCGGCTCAAATATACATAAATATGTATGTATGTATGTACACTTACACACACACCCTCGTATTAGCACATTTACATACGTTTGCATTGAATCTTTACACTCGGTATTCGGCGCTACTGCCTAGTAATTTAAACATTTCCATTTGGCTTTGGTATTTTCTTTGCGTTATTCATAGACGTCGCGCATTTTGATTATGCCTTTTTCATTACACACTACTCTAAGCTTTTTTCCAATTTGGAATCTTTCCGCTGCACGCACGAATAGCACGTCTTGCTGACGGACGGCCCGCTGTGAAACGTTCAGATGTTCTCGACAAACTGAAAGTGAAAAGCGAGCGGCGGCCAAACAGGCTGTTGGTGCAACCACCATCGCCATTTAAATCGCTGCCTCCTACGTGTGGCTCTCGAGTGGCGGTCCCAATCCGGGCACTTTCCACAGCACGCTCACTGCGCCGACGCAGTTGATGGTGTCGACGGCGCAGTGTATCAGGCCCGGTAGTTGATCCAATGCGTCGCCTGTTTTGTGTTGGGCGAATCAGATGTTTTTAAAAACTAAGGGCGGCTATAAGCCTTGAAGCATTTATTCATGTGCATAACAACGGGAAATCCCAACTAAATTCACTAAATTTAAGTGAGTTCTCAAATATCACTGTACAAAGATCTTTTATATATGTATATACAAATTTTAATCTACGTTTTAATCGGAACACAAAATTGCAAATAAAATATCCAAAGGTTCAGTATTACTTTGGTGCATATGTAGATGTGGGTGAGTGGAGTTTGGAGGAGCCCAGTCGACTTATGTATCAATTGCTTTTTGGTGCCGTCTCTTTTGACAACTCATTAAACTGTTTGTGCCACTCGAGGTTCTGTTTGGTCACAGACTCGCCTCTCTTGGCTGCCTCCTTGCCGCTGTAGACCATAATAACGCAGCCAAGGGCAGTCAGTCCTATCATTATATTGGCAATACGAATTCTCACCTTGTTACGGCAGCGTTCCATCACATCCTGACTACAAATTAAGAGTGTCAATGCTGTTATTTCTTCATATAAGCACAGGCTTACCTTACGAAGTCGGGAACTTCCGCTTGAGACTTATATTTGCCCGTCCAGACCAAAAAACGTCTTTCTAAGTTGTTCACCTGATGAGTTTTAATAGTATCGAGCATTTGTTGCGTGCGGCTAAAAGAACGTTGCGTCAGTATTGTGGCAGCCCGCTGCGCGAGTGTGCTAATATGACAGGATTTATTTAACATTCTGCTAGTATTAGGATCCGATCCAAATGAATTTAAATATACTAAAAGTGACGGTCAATCTAAGTCGCTCAATTTATGCAATGGCCAATGGGCTAAATTTAGAGTTGTCACACAAAAATTATTCAATATGTTGCCACTCGATATGAAAATTTTCGATAAATTACCGATAACTTTAGTGACCTGCTAGTCCTAATGGAAAATGGTTTAATCTGTTGCTATTACAGCTATTCAAATTAGATTACTTTTTTGCAGGCGGCTAGTAACTTTTGCTAATATGAACATACGTATTTTTGTTTGAATGCATATGTGTGTACATGCATAAATGTACGTGAATAAATGTTTGTCTGTATGTTAGAGAAGTCTATTTCACAGCTAAATTTAAATATTACCAGCCGCTGTGTTGTCGTATGGAATTTATATAACAGCTGATTTGTATAACAGCTGGTATATCGCGCTATATGTGACATTACATTTGTAGTGTTGGTCGGAAAATGAACATCGAACAAAGATCCAACATTAAGTTTTGTTTTAAACTTGGTAAAACTTTCTAAAACTTTCTAAAACCATCCTCAACGCTATACCGACAATGACCTAAAAAAGTCGTTCGATCACCTTCTTGAACGTGCAAAACGTTGTATTCAGGCGGAAGGAGACTATTTTGAAAGCGACCAATAAATTAAAAAAAAAAAAAATAGTTTTCGTTTTTTAATAAAAGTCCTGGAACTTTTGAATTGCACCTTTTTCCCATTACTAGTTGGTGCGTTTTTGAAACTTTTCAAAGCACATATGTACACATAACCCTGAAACTAAAACAATTGGTTGGAAAATTTTAACAAACACGAAACCGGCAAACAGCATGGTAAATAGAGTGTCACGCTCCCATCTCTAGCCGAATGGTTTTATAATTTTATCTATTTTGAAACGATGTTGGTTAGATTTGTTGCCTTAAGCCGATGTTTTCATTTACATATCAAACATGTGAGCAACAACAACAATATTTTGCGATTAAGCAGCAGCGCAAGCATCGACCAAAGGGACATAAAAGATGCACTCGATATCGAGGCAAATCTATTTGAGAACTCAACAGTGAAGCACCAACCAGTTTTAAAGCACGATGCTTTACGCAAGCATAAGCCAATTACGAACAAACAACAAAAGCCACAATATGTAGCAACTGTGGCGGCCAAAAGAACACAAAAAGCTGCTCGTCTCCCATCCCCGCTCATAAAGGACACCGATCTGGATCTAGAGTTTGCACGACTTACGCTGCAGGATCCAATGCTTAGTACTCTGTTAACAACAGTGCGCTCGCGTAAACGGCGCGACAAGAAAAGACAAATTATTATCGAGGGGACAAGGTTAATACGGGAGGCTTTTATGTGTGGCCTACATATGCACGCACTTCTCTTTAGCCAGAAGGAGCACCTGACACAGCTTCAGGAAGAGATTCGGCAGTCCCAGCGCGAACACAAGGCAAAGATATATAAGGTGCCACAACACGACCTGAAAACTTGGTCCTCACTAATGACCCCACCGGGACTCCTCGCTATATTTGAACGGCCATCAGCTCACGGCTTGGAGCAGACGTTGCAGAAGAATGGGTCTGCACCTCTGCCGATTATGGTAGTATGTGACAACATACGCGAGCCGAACAACCTGGGGAGCATTATAAGGACCTGCGCCGCCCTGCCGGTCAGCCAAGTGGTAGTCACACACGGCTGCTGCGATCCCTGGGAGTCAAAAGCTTTACGCGGGGGCTGTGGCGGACAATTTCGTCTACCCATACGCGACGATGTGATGTGGGATCAGTTGGCGCTCACCATTCCCCCGGAAGATGCGGATGATTGCCACGTAATCATTGCAGAAAATAATTTGGATAAATTAGGAAATAAGCAGAGTGTACTAGATTATACAAATATGGGTCACCTCGGTGCTTACAACATTCTAATTATTGGAGGAGAAAGTCATGGAGTTAGCGAAGATGCGTATAAGTAAGTTTAATGTTAATTAATAATGAATATATAAAATTTCTAAAACTCCCTAACGTCTTTACAGATTTATGAACAGTGTTGGGACAAAAGGCAGGTGTGTCTATATACCTCTAGCAGCCGGCATCGATAGCTTAAATGTGGCATCAGCGCTAACACTAATTTTATTCGAACTAAGAAGAAAACTTGTTTCGCCCATCTAGTTAATGTTTAAAATACTGTATTATTTTTTATATGGAAAAACTTGTGCTTTCTAAAGTTTAAAAATGCAATTAACGTTTTATAATACATATATTTTAGTTGCTTTGCCAGAAGTTATGAATGTCAATGACATAATTTATTGCTAAATTGGTTCAAAAGTTAATTGATAAAATTCATTAAATTCAACTATTTGCTTCAATTTCCTTGTACACCTCCCGCTTGTACTCGTCCAGGCCACCCTCGATGGCACGGACAGTTCGATTTCCACATACCCAGAGTTCTTTACAAACGACCTTGATAAGACGTTCGTCGTGAGACACCAAAATGACACCACCCTGAAAACCATAATATATTGTGTGATCAATATTCGATGGGAGAAGGGAAAAGGAGACTTACTTTAAATGCGTTAATGGCTTTGCCCAGCGCATCAATTGTTTCAATGTCCAAGTGATTGGTCGGTTCATCAAGAACGAGGAAGTTTGGCTCCGCTGCAAAATATAAAAATTTGCATTGTCGGGACGACTTTAGAGGTGATTTCAATCTATAACGTACCCATGCACATCTTTGCTAAAGCTACGCGTGATTTTTGTCCTCCTGACAAACTCGCAATGCTCTGCAGCGCTAATGGCCCAGATATACCGAAGCTACCGAGTTGCCGGCGATACTCCTCATCTGGTCGGCCGGGAAACAGTTCAGCCAGAACCCCCACACAAGTTACATTCATATTTAAATGGTCCACATGGTGTTGGGCAAAATAGCCGATGCGAAGGCCACGGTGAAGCACAATATTACCGTGAATGGTACTCAGCTGGCCGACTAAAATCTTAAGAAGCGTCGATTTGCCTGCACCGTTCTCGCCCACAATGCAAATGCGTGAATCAGAAGTCGCCGACAGGTTGACGCCCTTGAAAATGGGAAGAGGGTCACTTTCGTTGTACCGAAATGACACCTCCGAGATGGCCAGCACGGGTGGGTTCAGTGGCTCAACATCGGGAAACTTCAATGTGACAATAGTCTCCTTCTCGACAGGCTTTAGTTCTGGCCTAATTAGAGTTTCAAAATGTGAGGAAGCTCTAAAGAAGTTTGATACTAAATACTTACAATTTTTCAAGCATTTTGATTTTCGATTGCACGGATGAGGCGCGATTCGCATTGTAGCGAAAACGATCTATAAATTCCTGAACGTGCGCTCGATGAGCCATTTGTGCTTCGTACTCACGTCGCTGGGATTTAAGCTTCTCCGTCTTTGTCTTTTCAAACTGCTCATAGTTGCCCTTGTACGCCTCCAGTTCTTGGGAATGTAGATGCACAATGTCTGTTGGAACTGTGTCCAGGAAATTGCGGTCATGAGAAACAACCAAAATAGTTGTGGGCCACGTCTGTAAGTAGTTCTCCAGCCAAATAATGGCCTTGATATCCAACATGTTCGTTGGCTCATCAAGCAGCAGCAAGTCGGGCTTAGAAAAGAGAGCTCGGGCCAGCGCTAAACGCATACGCCATCCGCCCGAAAACGAGCGTGTCGGTCGCAGCTGCATGTCCGCATCGAAACCAAGACCCTTGAGTATCACAGATGCACGCGCCACCGCCTTGTCAGCTTCAATATTCTGTAGCTGCGCATACGTCTCGCTTAACTCCGCACTCAGAGATGCGTCTTGCACACTGCTGTTTAATGCAGCGAGAATTTCTTTCTCTCGTGTTAACAGACGCGTGCGTTCCGTATCGCATTCCAGAACACTTTCTACCGCAGACGTATCATCACCCACTACCTCCTGTTCTACGTGCAGCACGGATATATGTGAGGGTATTTGCAACTGACGTTCAGCTATCATTCGCAAAAGTGTCGTCTTTCCCAGACCATTCCGACCCACTAGGCCATATCGACGTCCAAAGGAGAGAAGGAGGTTCGCATTTTGAAGCAGCACTCTGTGGTTAATTATTTGTAATTAAGAAATACGTATGTGTCGAAAAGCTAGCTTACTCACTTTTCACCGAAAGCTAAGTCGAAGTTTTCGATTTTAATATCCATTGACCGATTAAGTCCTTTTTGGTCCATTTTTGTATTTTTTTTGTTAGTCACCTGTGAAGCAGTAGCAGTTTGTAGCTTTACTGCTACAGGTACAACACCTTGCTTTGTGACTTCCTGCCGCTTTTCCTGTTTCTGCTGCAGTCTAGCTTCGGCCTTTTCCAATTTCTTTGAGTCAACTTTCTGTAAGGGGCCATTATAGCTACTTTTAGATTTTTAATATGGGCATACTCACATTACCACCGTCCTTGTTGACCACCCATATGCTTTGCATGTCTTTATCTAAACGTTCCATGTTCTTTGCCATTTCTTTGCCATTTTTCAATCATTTGAAGGTATTTAAATAAATTAATGTTTAGTAAAATGTTAAAAATATAGCAATTTGAAAAAGTTGTTTGTGAACAAATAAACTTTTACTAACCTGCAATGTTGACAGGCGCATTCAGCACCTTGCGCTCCACGTTCTTCGTGTCGCCTGAAGTCATAATAGTGAAAAATTCGTCGCAAAGGGCCCGTATGCAATCCTCAGATTTTTCGATGTCAATGCTTTGCAAAATATCACCCACAGCATCGAAAATATCATCACATGTCTCGAAATCGTCCACGCTACCCGTGAGGACGCCTGAAAGGACACTTGTTAGCAATGTCAATCAAACAAAACACGTATAACATACCCTCAACATAATCCTTGAGCTCGTTGTCCATTGCTGGGAACTCGCGTTTCAATATGCTCGTGTATTTACTCATTTTTCTTTTCTTCTTTTTTTTGGAACAGCAGAGACACGAAAATTACACGTTTACCCTTGACCTTGATCGTGCAACCCAACGTCTACGGCTGCTATTGGTTACTTTACAATTATTTGCTGTGTCTGTCAATTTAATTGATTTAATATTAACTTCTGTTAACAAATTATGCCTACTTCCTCTAAATCTTTTGCGAGAAAACCCATACGTACCAGGATGGCAGCATCGAAACGACAGAAGAGCGATAACGATAACGCGAACGGATCTACCCACTCGCCATCTTTTGAAGTACTGCCTGCAGTGTTGTGCCAATTGAATCGTTGTCGTTGGCGCGCATTTCAAATGTTGAATTAAATAGTGTAGGCATTATCAGTTAATGAAAAATATATATTTCATTCGTATATATGTTAGCAGCTAATAAATATTTTTAAACTAATAGTACAGTGACTGCTACTTAATTGATCAAATATAACCCGGAAATTTGAACTTAAATAGAGCGGGAACTTTGATGGTGACACATCTTTTTGTTTTCAAGTTGGCAGCACTATCTCATTGCTTATTTTGTGGGCTGGTTTTCTTTTTTAATTATTCAATGAAGTTCGCTTAAACTTTATGAAAAGAAAATCGTGGAAGACGAACAACATCCAAGACGACCGAGAACATTAACTGATGAACAACATATTAAGCAAATCGAAGATTTGGTGCTCCAAAATCGTCGATTATAAAATCAGAGACATAGTTGATGCTGTTGGCAGTTCTAATGGATCAGTTAACACTTTTTTAAAAGATCATTTTTAGTTAAAAGAAACTACATTTTTGGGACAATAGCGTCGCCTTGAAATCTGTAAATCAATGCTCCCTTACAAGCTACAATGCATAATAAATCGAGATGAAACTTGGAACTATGCATACGACGCTGTAGCAATCATACCAAAATTGAGTCAAAATCAAACCAAATTCGCTTTAAATTCAATTTTATGCTGATAATTTCCTTTGATAATCGTGGTATTGTCCATTATGAAGTCCTTGCTCTGAGGCGAGCTGTCATCGGGGAATACTGTTTGAGTTCCATATCTTTTGCGTGAAGTTATGCATTGTAAGAGGCCTGATTTGTTGGAAGACAACTCTTGGTTTTTGCAACCATTATGCGCCAATGCAATGAGATTGCATTCGTTTTTCGTGACCATTTTGCTAAAGGCAATAAGATTAAATAAATAAATAAAGATTTTTAAAGTTATAACCAAATTTTGTCATAATTGTACACAGTATGAAGCTGCCACGGATATAACATAATAGGAATAATAATTTAAAATAACAATTTAATTTTAGATTTTTTGTTGTAAAACAAAATCAATAGAATAAGATTAAACGAGTTAAAAACATACATACATAAGTCATTTGTCTATAAGGGGCGTTGTTGGTGTTTTGGGGTTTTCTCATACATAAATTATTGCTTATAATTATCAAGTTGTAATAAGTTCTCATGCACTGAAAATTTGTTCATAACAATTTATAACCTAGGATTACTACTATCACCGTTATTCGCTTTTCAACTCAAAGCGTTCTAATTCTACGCGTATTATTCATATATGTTAATAAGTATGTATTAAATAGTGCTGCCTCTAAGTAATATGTACATTGCTAATATATAACTTTCACACGTATGTATATGTGTATTTGAGTGCCTAGATTTATGTGCAGTAATTGGCGAACGATGTTCAAAAGCGCCCACTAGGCGGAGGGGGAAGCTGAATTTAGATGGTTGTTGTTTGTCTTGCGTTGTCGTGCTCCGCGTCCAGACAGCAAATACGACAAGTCGATGGGCTGCTCCTGTGCCGTTTGTGCATCCAGGCATTTGAGTTTCATTGTAATCAAGATATTCTCCAAGCGCATGCGTTTTTTCTTAACAAGCTACAATGACCGTAAATAAGTTATTAATGGGAAGGTACATTATTGGCAATAGTTTCACGCACCTGCACATTAGGCACAGCCGGGGCAATGATGTGTACAGCTGGCGACGTCGTTGCTACTACGCTATTGGCTGTGCGGGGCTTCCGTGTACCACCGCCAACGCTTCCACTGCATTGATTTGCAGTTTGCCCCGTTTTCTGCTCAAGTCGCGGCTTTAATTTCAGTGAAGAGAGAGTTCCTACTTCGTTATCAGTCTTTTGCTTTTTCGTTTTCAACAGTGAGGAATCCACATCGTGTGGCTGCAAAAAAAAAAGGTTTAGGATTAGACTATTGCCGAGAATGATAATGACCGTGGACTTACCGCATAGCTTTTTGAGATTTTCAGCTTCTCAGGGAACTTTCGGAACGCATAGCTCTTAGTGCATGTCGGATAGTTGGCTTTTGCCTTGGAGAAAAACCGCGCCGTCTTGTCAACGCGCAACTCACATATATAGCAATGATCCTCGTCCGTGCACTCCATAGGCCGTCCCTTGCAGAATGTGGTGCGATCCAGCACCCAACAGCGTCCAATGACCAGCTCAATCGGCACCACTTCATACAGCGAGACGCGCACCACCTCATTGGGGTAGAACCGACGCGAGGGCTCGTGAAAAGTTTCGTGCGGCCGCAGAAAATGGTGCCCAAATATAAAGCGTTTGCCAGCATCGTTTTTCCACAGATGCTCAACGCGAAAGATATCACACTCCTGATAGTCAATAGCCCCAATGGTTTCATAGGTGTGCTTCTGACTGGGCACCACTTTACCTTGCTCATCCTTAATCGGTATGTCGCGCAACACGTAGACAGCATCGCCCTGACGAACCTGGAGGTCGCCGCGCATCAGCGACAAGTAGTAGCGGTGACCCTCTTCGGTGAATTCCTCCAGCGGAATTTCGCGATCAACTTGACGGGGCTCGCACCGCTCGCACTGATAGTTGTCCGCATCGATATCTGCCTTGGTGCACTCTGTGTGCTGCCAGACCATGCACTTTGCGCATTGTATCATGAGTCCCTCGTCCTTGTAGAGGCCACAAATGCATCGTATGACGTCCTCTTCGTTGTCATCGTTCAAAGTAGCAGCTGGTCGCGGTGGTGTTTGAGCAGGCACCTCCACTTCTCCCTCCCCTGCAACATTCTTCAGTGCTGGCTCTTGCGGTTCCGCCAATTTGACAACATCTGCCTGCTTGGGTTTAAAGCTCTGCAACGCTTGCGCCTCACCCAGTATGTCCAGAAGCTGGGCATAACTTGAATGCTTCTGCTGTTCATAGCACTCGAGCAACGTTTCCAGAGCTTTCGCCTTGCCCTCATCCTCACTGTGGGTCTGGCGTGCATCGGCAAAGAGCTGCAACATTTGTTCGTCATATTCCTGCGGTGTCTTATAGTGGCCCTGTTCTACTTGTGCCTGTATGGTCTTGAATTCCACACGCGGTCCGACTTTGGCTACGCTTTTCAATGCCTTTTTCTTTTTACTTGTCGCCACTGAGCTGAGCAACTCGGACATCTTGAGCGCCTCCAGCGCATTGCAAATGTCACGCAACAAAACGGCCATTTTTGCCATTTTCTCAACCTCAGGATCCTGCACAGCGTGTGTGAGGCCACGCGTTTTAATGTTGCGAGGTGTACAGAGCGCAGATATTTGTGCAGCCAATGTTACGGAGGAGGAGGGAGTGGAGGGTCGCCTTTCAGAGACGGTTCCATCAGTCGAAACTGGCGCCTTCGCTGCACGTTTTGCTTTGCAACGGCGTATCTATAGAAAAGTTAATTGGCAATTATTAGACAATTATACAATTTTGGTTCTCATTCCCCCAGAAGCATTATATAAGTAAAAAATAATATATTGTAGCACCGATACAAAGGGTATATTTCTAACAAAGTTAACGGATATATCTCCAGCTTAAACGAATATAAAGTGTTTGCGTTTCAAGTTACCTTTATCGTTAGCCACTTACTTTTTCAAAGTTGCGAACCAAAAAGATGTTACACTGCTTTACTAGCTTTTTCTCCTTTTCGGACAGCTGTTGTACACGCGCTACGGCCACCTCCTTTGTTGGCTGTCGTTGGGCATGTTTTCGTGCCTTGTGCTTCCGTTGACGTCCGTTGCGCGCATCCTTGGAGGTATTTGGGGACGTGCTTTCTACCGGCTTGATTTCCACCGGCAGTGGCTTCACTCGCTGCGACTTTCCACCAATTACACCACGACATTGCGGTGTATTGCAGCGGCATGGCTGGCCCTCGGAGGGATTGAATAACGAGAAGTTGTAATCGTACGTCAGCTCCTCACCCTGCTCAATGGGCCGCTTGGCAAATAGCACCATGCGCGACAAACCATTGACGCTCCATTTTTGCATCTCGCAGTTCGGCTCGCACGAATGATTTACGAACCGACAATCACTACCCATGCGCTGACCATCGATCACCAGACCGCCATCCAGATGCAGACAGTAGTGATGCGTGTCGTTTAAATAAATTGTTCCCATGCGCTCTTTGAACTCGCGTTCCGTGACTACCTCACCGACGTATTCCAGGATGTAGGTGCCCTTGGGTATGTGCAGCTTGGTACGTACACCCCAACCCTTGTCGGCGGTCATGAAACGCTCGACACCCGGAGCGACTTCGTGCTTCTGAATTTTCTGGTTGCGACACTTGTCACCTGCGGGACAATTGCTGGGAGAGCATTCTGTGTATACCATGCGGTTGAGGCAATTGTCCATGCAAGCAGCATCCGGCTTGCAGTTACACGTGGGATGGTCGAAGCCAGCGAGATTTGGTCGCACCGATTCAGCATAGACGTTGGTGCGTATCTTACGGTAGTTCCACGACGGCACCACTTGTCGCGTGGGCAACTTGGCATTTGTGTAGGCCCACCAGATGTCGTAAGGCAGTTCAAAGTCAATCTGAGTTCGTCGATGGTAGCGTTCGCAATAGGGGGGCGGCGGTAATAAGGAGGTGTTGTTTGGTTGAAGCTCCTCCAACTGACCTGGTATCTTCTTGGAAAGTTTCGGAGGCGGTGGCATTTGGGACTGTTTGTAATAGTTGGAAAACAAACCAGCCACCAAATAATTTTTTTTTAGGCGATTTAGTTTTCGGGCCGCCGTTACTGTTGTGATATTAGACGCATTAGAGGATTTCTCGTCGCTGGTGTCATCGCAGCTGGCTTCCTCCTGATTTGGTCTCAGTGCCTCGCTTAAAGGTAGCGGCTCATGTTCCGTAGGCAAGTGTCCACTGTATTTGGCAGCTGCCTCTTTATCAATCTCTTCTGCTGTACTGGGCGGCTCGTCAACCTGTTCAGACGATTCCTTTGTATCTAATGGTTTGATCAAGGTTTTACGCCGCTTTAAGCGGATTTTGCAGCTGAAATTCGTGTTAGGATCTACACCGGCCGGCAGCTTAATGTTGGTTTGAAACTTATTGTTTGCTTTGGGAGCTATTTGTGCTGGTTTTTCATTAAGTTGCGTTGCCTTCGGACGACCACGCATCTTTGGCTTAACGTTGGAACTGGGACCAGGAACCGATACCACATCTGGCTTTCGTCCTTTTCGCTTGAGGGAATTGCTTCTTAGTTCCAATGCCATTTGTGGTTGCGTCTTTCCGGTTTTAGATTTGGCGGGCGTGGTTGGTCTCGGAGAACCCTGCAGCCGTTCCAGCGCCACCACGGAGAGTCTGGGCGTCCGTTGATTGCTGCGCGCAACAAAAGTCTCTCTTGCCTCGCCTGTCAATGGCACGCGCTCACAGTCCATTGCTCCAATTAATGCCGTGCTGCTTCTTGTCTCGCGTGATATTTTCTCCTGTTGCGGCGCTGGCTGCTGCTCGGTTTCCTCCTTATCCAATTGTCCTTGTTCCGGCAATGTTGTAGCATCGCTCACCTTACGCTTTTTGCGACGCACTGTAGGAAACCCAGTTCGATTGATTTTTTTTCGCTTACGCTTGAGTAGCACATGTCCGCCAGTTTTGTGTAGCAGCGACTCTACAACGCGCGTGCACTGCTCCTTCTTTGGGTCCTCATTAATGTCCAGCGTTAGCAACGGCGAGCTCACTTCAGCCTTGGTGATAACAGACTCATTAAGCTTAGCCATAGGTATTTGAATTTCCAGCTCCACAGAGGGTTCAAAGATACCCGGCGGCGGATATGATGCAGGGGACTGCAGCATCGCTGTGATTGGCTGCTGTGCGCTGCTCTTCTGCTTATTCACTTCCACCCTTTGTCGTCTCTGTTGCTTCAGTGAGCAGAGGGAGCTTGGACTAATGTCCAACAGTTTGCCGCCACTGATGGAATTGGTGTCCACAACAATACGTAGAGGTGAGCTGCTACTGCAAGAGTTTTCACCCCGGCTAGAGGACTCGAGGAGATGGCGCTTTTTAGGCGTCAGTGCTGATTTGCAGTTGGCGGCGCGAGCATTAAACTGCGCCTGAGATTTGGTAGAAGCGGTGCTCTTTGCAGTCGCCGCAGCTGCTGCCCAAGCTTCCGCATTCAGCTTGCTATTACCTGCTGCAAAGGCTGCAGCTACATCAGCAGGCGGACGTTCTCCAGGTGTCAGTAAGTAGTGACGCTTCTTGAGCGGCAGCTTATGATCGTCGGGGCTGGAGCTTGTGCCGGCGGATTTTTTGTGCCGTCGCTTGCTAGCACTAGCGCTCGCATTAACTCCAGCAGAGAGCATAGCAAAATCTACAAGAGGCTCACTCAATTTGCGTTTCTTAAGCGCTCGTTTCAGCGGCTTGCCATTGCCCACATTATTTGTAGATCCTGTTCCCGTGGAACTACCACCGCTAAGTAGTGGTTGTAGCGGGCCCGCCAGCGTCTGCTGAAGCTTGTTAGCCTCCGCCATTAGCTTCTCCTTGCCGCTACTGGCGGTCAATCGATCGTCCTGTATACGACAGCGTGTGTGGAAAGTGCTCGTGATAATGTCGATCTCGGTGAGTAGTTTTGAATCAATATTCAGCATCTTGGTACTGCTGCGCGACAAGCACAGACTCTTACGTCGATGCCTGCGACGCATACGTGATGTACCCGAGATATAGGAGCTGCACATACTGGCTGCGGACGACCGCCGACTCTTAATTTTCCCTACGGCGGGCGGACTTGGCTTGCCGCCCTCACGGCCAATGGAATGCTTACGTTGCAATAGCATCTTGTTGATAAAAGTATCCGGATTATGTGTGCTGCTTGCCCCCGCAACCACATCGCCACGTCCGAAATACTGCCCGGTGGTCACATAGCGATTTATCTCCCCATACTTTTTGCTTGCACTAGTCGTGGGCAAATTTTGAAGGCTAGGCTTACTAATGTATTCATTGCTCTCCTCACTGCTTTGGCCTAGGGACAACCCAGCTAGCTGCAGAATGTCCTGCTCGTCGCTTGGGTTGGTCGTAATCCCAGAGTTGGCGGTAGCTGCGTTGCCTTTCAGTAGCATGGACGCACGACGCCTGCGCCGCAGCTTGCCACCTCCCAACTTGCCACTTTCCTTGCAATCACTGCGATAGCCACAGCTCTTGGCGCGACTACGCCGACTCATGCAACTCTTGACGCTGAAGCGGCTTTTGCAGCTTGCGTCGCTCTTATACCCCGAGTTGTGCGCATTCGTGCTTCTCTGATGTCGGACACTTCCGTAGTCTGACACATAACCGCTCTTGGCGGCCAGTATTTTGCTGCATATGGTTGTGGTTATTCCACCGCCAGTACCTCCACCATCACTTTTGTAGCCGCTCACACTTCGCAGGCGAAACTTTTTGTTAACATCGATCTCCCGCCAGACTGGATCCAGTTGCAGTTCCTCCTTTTGCGATTTCTTGTTGCCCTGGCGCCGTTTGTTGCGTGGCGGTGGGTAAAGAACTCGTTCTGTCGCATACATTCGCTTGTCCAGATAGGCCATGTCGATTTTCGGCTTGGCTGAAGTTGGCAAAAGATTCTCGTTGTTGTTGTTGCTCACTTGCATTTTTGGTGAGGGCGTTGTGCTCTGTGTAGTGCTAGTGGTTGAGATTACACCCGAGTCTGCAGATTCATTAATAGGCACAATAGCTAAAGCTGTTTCTACTGCTGTGCTGAGTTGCTTCTTTGGCCGTCCTCGTCGCTTGCGACTTATGCTTGAAGCCATGCTGTCCGATTGTGAACTGCCCAATGCTGGAGACGATTGTGCTGCTGTCGCTGCACAAGCAGCAGTTTTGCCGAGCATTTGTGTCTTTTCCATAAAGTCTTGGAGCAAGGTGGACTGATATTGGGGAAGCTGCTTCGTTTTGGCCGCTTTGCGAAAGCTACCCTCTACTGTTGTGTCCTCCGTGTCGCTCTCAACTCGCTTAATGGCCGCCTTGACTAGATTGGGCAGTTCGTTGTCACTTGAAGAGTTACCAATATTATCACTTCCTGGCGCGTTTGAAACTTGCAGGAAGGAACTACTGCTGGCATGGCCAATGGCGGTGAGTAACAGGCGAGGAGCTCTCTGTTGATGTATTTTAAGTGGCAAATCGTCTTCCGAATCCGAAGAGAATGCCGATTGCAGACGCGGTTTTTTCGAAACTTGTTTGCTATGGCCAGTGCAACTGCTATTATTATTGTTGTTGTTAGTGTTATTGCTGTTATTGTTCTTTTGTGCAATTTTCTTGCGCTTCACTTTAATCTTCTTGGTTGCTGTTGTACCCGTTGTTGTAGCATTTGTAGTCTTGTCCTTGATCCCATGGGCAATAGTTGTTGTTGTTGCCTCTGAGCAGCCCGATTCTGTGGCATCGCTAAAATGGGCTAATGCCGATGTAGGCAGTGCCAAAGACGCAGACATTTTGCGGGCCTTTAATGAAGATTTTAACTCTGAAAGTTTGCTATGGTTTGTGCTCAGACTCGTTGTCGTTGATGTAGTTGTTGCCACTCCCGAAGTGGTGCTTGTGGGCGGACGTATAGCGGATATTCTCATGCGCAGCCCATCGGTATCGGAACTTTGCACGCTAAATTGTGTGGCTGTCTTCGTTGACTTTTCATGTTGCTGTTGCGCCGCTGAGGATTTACTCGATTGGTCCGTAATAGAGTCAGTTTCCTGTTGATAATTCTACATTTTAGTTTAAAACGGATTATCCTGCTACTTTTGTAACACCAAACTCACCTCATTTTCACTGCCGGATTCTTGTATACATTGCGTTTCCAAAACCTTTGCTGCTCTTGCTGTCTCATTTTGCCCACTGCTCATATTTCGACTCGAGGGCGCGCTGCAAATGTAAAAACTACGTTCAATACGTGTTTAGGACGCAAGTTTCAAGGGGAGCACTGAAGCGTGTAAAGCGGCAGCCAGCTGCAGCTGCCCATTTGAGTAAGTGTCGGTGGAGGTGGGACCTTAACTTGCAACATTAATTGTGGCACAGACAATTTTTGACAGTGCTTTATATTTAATCGTATTAAAGTAGGTCAAACCACAAACGACGACAACGTCGTCGAAAGCGACAGCCACAGACGGCAAGCAAATGGGCATAATGTGTGTGACTGGGCGGGGGAACGAGAAGCGACGTAGAAAACAATTTCCGAAACTTACGTTATGTTTTGATCTTTTTTCGCAGCTCGTAGCTTTTCACTTTTGACTTTAATTTATGCAGTCGGAATAAACGATCAAAAAATAACTAATGTGATCGAGTTTTGCGCCTTTATTCATTGCATTCGCGGTGGCTTGTTAAAAAAATGGCGGCTGTACAATTTTCACTGCTGCTTTGTTCAAAAACTCATAGAATAACATTGCTTAGCATGTTCTGCACATTGCATTCAATTGTTTTCACTTGCACTTATGGCGATTGTTCGTTGTGATCATTTTGGTGGCAACAATTTGCATTGTATATTGTATAATTGCAATAATAAAACTAAAAACCCACAAAATCGCGTACGAACATAAATAAAGAAATGAAACGTTAGAGACTCTAAATAATGACGATAGGCGACCGATATCTTAATATGTGAAACAATGAGGAATGGAACAAAACAGAAAGAATAACTCTGTCGTTTTGCAGCACTACTAAAGGAAGAAGAACGCCATAGTGCAATAAAAAATTTTGTTTGTGGGGAGCTCTTCATTTTTTACGAAAAAATGAGCGGCACTACATCGAAAAATGGCACCAACAGTGCAGTGAGCAGCATGTTGTATGGCTCGACCTTTTCAGCCGAAAGTATTAAAGTAATGGCTGAAAGTATTGGAGTTGGATCGCTATCTGACGATGCAGCCAAAGAGCTTGCCGAGGATGTGTCGTGCAAAATTAAGAAGATGGTGCAAGATGGATGGAAGTGTATGCTCCATGCAAAGCGTCAGAAGCTGTCGGTTAAGGACATAGATACGTCACTAAAAGTGCGCAATGTAGAACCACAGTATGGGTTTGTAGCCAAGGACTTTATACCCTTCCGCTTTGCGTCCGGCGGTGGTCGTGAATTGCACTTTACGGAAGACAAGGAAGTTGATTTGAGTGAAATAACGGCGAACAGCTCTGTAAAAATTCCTCTCGATTTGACTCTGCGAACACACTGGTTTGTAGTAGAAGGCATACAGCCCACAGTGCCAGAAAATCCTCCGCCGCTATCAAAGGATTCGCAATTTCTTGATTCTGTTAACCCTGTCATTAAACTCGACCAGGGCCTAAGCAAAGATGCTGCCGGCAAGCCAACCACTGGAAAAATACACAAACTTAAAAATGTAGAGACTATTCACGTAAAGCAACTTGCCACCCATGAGTTGTCCGTAGAGCAACAGCTGTATTATAAGGAGATTACTGAGGCATGTGTCGGCTCGGATGAGCCACGCCGTGGTGAAGCCTTGCAGTCACTGGGGTCCGATCCTGGACTGCATGAGATGCTTCCACGCATGTGCACATTTGTTGCTGAAGGCGTCAAGGTGAATGTTGTGCAGAACAACTTGGCTCTCTTGATCTACCTTATGCGAATGGTTCGCGCGTTGCTGGATAATCCTTCGCTCTATTTAGAGAAATACGTAATATGCACTACAAATATTTTTTAATTCCTATTAAATAAAACTGCCTTCTGCTCAATAGCTTCACGAGTTGATACCCTCGGTCATGACCTGCATTGTTTCTAAACAATTGTGCATGCGTCCGGAACTGGATAACCACTGGGCCCTCCGAGACTTTGCCTCTCGACTCATGGCACAGATCTGCAAGACATTCAACACATTGACAAACAATTTGCAAACACGTGTAACTCGGTAATGTTCATGCGTCTTTTCACCATTTTATACTTATTAACATAATTCTCCCCACAGAATTTTCAGCAAGGCACTGCAGAACGATAAGACCCATTTGTCCTCTCTCTATGGCTCTATCGCAGGTCTCTCTGAACTTGGCGGCGAGGTTATTAAGGTTTTTATTGTACCACGTCTAAAGTTCATATCAGAACGCATCGAACCTCATCTGCTTGGCACCTCAATGAGCAATACGGACAAAACAGCCGCCGGCCACATACGTGCCATGCTTCAAAAATGCTGCCCCCCTATTCTTAAGCAAATGCGAAACGCTCCAGATATTGCTGAAGAGTATAAGAATGACTTTGGCTTCTTAGGTCCGTCACTCTGCCAGGCAGTAATAAAGGTGCGCAATGCTCCAGCCACATCAATTGTCACAGTCTCCTCAAACACAATCAACACGGCGCCGATTACTAGTGCCGCTCAAACAGCCACAACAATTGGGCGCGTAGCTATTCCTTGCTCACAACGACAAGGGTATGTGTGTTGCATGTTTCTATATAAAGTGAAGGGAAAAGCTCATTTATTTCTATTTTTGTTATACAGAAGCCCAGTTGTTACAGCTCTGCCTCAAATACGCGCCATTCAAACATCCCAACCAGCCCAGAAATTTGTTATTGTCACCCAGAACTCGCCGCAGCAAACACAACCAAAGGTGGTGCATCGAGGCTCGTCGCCCCAAACTGTTGTCCTCTCTTCGGCCAATAGCACTACGGCATCAAATTCGAACTCTTCTGGCAGCAGTGGGGCAGCAGCAAGCAGCAGTCTATTGGTTGGGCGGAACAACGACAATGTAGGTTAAATTTTAGAGATATTTAATATAGTGTATAAACAAAGAATGGTCGCAAAGAAACGTTCCCTAAAATTTTATTAATATAAATAAATCTTAAATTTGTATAAGGTGAATTGAAGTTATTGTGTTAAGTTTAAATCGAGATTATCGGGATATACATTTTAAAATAATTCTACTCCGTTCGCAAGATTGATTGTTTTCGTTACTCTGCTGAAGAATATGACCATCCCCGTGAGATGTGTAATTATATTCCTGCCCTACTAAAAATAGGCTCGCTATTATTATTCTATTTCATTAGTATTTTAAATAAAACTATAGATGGTTAGTTTTATCCATAGACAGGTATATTGTATCACCAATTACCTCTCTTTTACGCAATTGAAAAATTTGAAGCTGCTTTTCCTTGATCTCTTTTCACAGGCGTTTCTTTGCGATCACTTTTTCAAGCACCTTACGAGACTATGAAATTCTATATCTTTTTTAGAGTACACTGGATCCTCATTCTTTAATAATTGAAACGGAAATAGTACGTGCTCCACCTGAGATGGATGATCTGTCGCATTTAGAATAGACAAAATAATTAAACGTGTTGTGCTTTAATTAAACGACTTTTACATTTAATAAATAAATTCTTCCAGCAACTATTCAAACCCTTCCCCAACCACTCATCGGTCTCTACTTGGCGCGCAATGCAGCACGCATGTGCGATGCCAGTGAAGTGGCTCTCTATTGATTTTTCGAGTAGTGGGCGCGGGTAGGTTTCCGTTTCCCAATTTAATAGCAATTCACAGTTCGGCACGCACAGTTCAACGAAAGTAGCTGTTGGCTCTGACCTCCGCTGCCGTTGCATACACAACAAAACAAAATCGTTGTACACACATATATACCACAATAGAGTTTCGGGTAGCTGTCTCTAGACAAACAACGCACCATTATTTGCATCTTTATTGATATTAAGTCAAAAGCAAAATGCACGCACGCTTTGCCGAACCGGAGCCGGAGTCCCCATCGCCGGACAATATGGACAAAATCGAAGCGGAGCCACTCGAAACACGGATTGAGCAGTTCAAACAAAATTCCAGCAACATGGCCGCTCTGAACGAGTTCATCGACGAGGTGGTACAACAAGCTGAGACGGAGGCCAGCAAGCAGCAAAATAAACTAGAGGCAAGCAAATCGCAACAGGTAGGTTATCATTTATTCAAAACATCGGAAAGCTGAAGCCAAATGTAACTCTTAACAATTACAGGGGAAGGAAAAGCGACAGAGTGAGTACCGATATTTTACATTTTCTGCAAGCTATGGAAATTTAAAATTAGCACGATCGAAGTCCGCAATGCATTTTGAGGTGTAGTACACCTTTGCGCATGAGTCCTTGTAGTCCTTTTCTGTAAATGGTCGAGACAACACAAATCGTGTATATATTTATACATATGTATATACATTTATACATATGTATATATATTTATAAATATGTATGGATATGTTTGCAATAGTTAGCCACCATACTTACGCGCATCCTTGCAATGGCCGAGCGCTGCCTTAGCGGGCTCCAGCAGCTCTAGTGGCAAAATAATAGGCATCTGAGCAAATGCTTTGCTTACGCTGAATTCGCCCTTTTTGGTAACCGTACCTGCCAATTGGGCTACGCACTTGGTGTAGCACTAAAAGGATCATGTATGGTTGAGCTAAATATGAAATAATACGCACAGGGCTCACCAGCAAGTCCTGTGTCGGCTCCAGATCAAAATCGCCATCTCGTATTCGGTCCAAAATCTCAATAGGAACCTTAAATTTGGCCACACAGCCGTTGCGCATCATGTCGAGCGATTGCAGAAACTGCTGCATGTTGACTCCTTGGCATGGGTGCAGCAGGTGGCAGCAGCACAAAACGCTCCACAGCAGAGCGTACGCATTCCGATTGTTATGCCTCTTCATGGTAGCGAGCAAGTGCAACGGGCACGCCCGTTGGTGCCACTTATAAGTTACCTGGGGATGCTGGCACGCCAACTTCCGACTGCAGACTATTAATTAAAAACTGTTTGCCACGCCCCGCAATTAAAAGCATCGTATGGCGTCAGAGTTATCGCCATATTGGAGGGTTCGTCTTAGCTTCACTCTCTTTCTTAAAGGTTTAAAGGGAAGCTCAAACGTGGTCCGCAATTATTTATAACTAACGTGTACTCGTACTTTTACCTACGATTAACGATGTGTTCGTCCATCATGTTTGACTTCCTCAACATGTATCCGGCACATGTGGCTCCTTCTTAAACATTTGTTTCGATTATAATAATAATTTCTTTAAAATTTTATACTCAACAAAATTCGAAATCCCCTTAAAATTTGTATAGAGAGTTTCTTCCTAAGAACAAATGTTCTCTGCCTTGGAAATGATAAAAATAATTCTTAATATCAGACTAGAATGGAATGTTTGTCAAGTGGTTGACTCAACTCTTAAATACCCGAGTACAGGGTCCACACCGCTACAAATTCTATGGATGTAATAGCTTCTCGACGTCTTGTGGGCACTTCCCAGCCTAAGATGCTCTTTTTGCCTTGATCAAAAAATTCCCAGAATATTTTCAGAAAATTAAAAATACAAAGTTATTCATGGAAAGTTGTATTGTTCCCTTTAAAGGAATCTCTATCAACTGCAGCTTTTGATCCAGCTCTCTAAAGAAAAAAAAAAAAAGCTCGTGTTGACTAGGGACTAAGAGAGTCGACATATCAAGGTTGATTTATGTACGCTCAGCCGTTCCCGTAATCTAGGCGTTCACCCCAGATCGTCTCTTCATGCTGATAAAGAATATACATATATGTATGTATACTTAATGGAGTCGGAGATGCCTCCTTCTGCCTATTACACACTTTGCACGAACCTAATATACCCTTTTTACTCTACGGGTACAGCGTATAAAAGGCGGAGGGGGCTATATCAGGATGGTATGCGTTTCGTATTTGGTTAAAAATCATGTCTTTGTGGCGATGTCAACGCGGCTGCTTTTATGTATTAAATTTTGGTCCTTTGGAACCAACTTTGCAGCAACACGACAGGAACCCAAATAATTAACTACAATGTCCTGCACCGACATTTTTATGAACAACAATAGCATCAAATTTCACAAGAGATTTTCTAGGAGACGACAGAATTTATTCATTATTCTAAATCTGAATTCAAATTTTGAAACCGTGTTTAAATACTGCCTTGATCGGAGCGGCCAATAAAAAGCTCATATTAAGCTCCATGTGCTGGAGCTTTTGCCACTACATGGACGGTGATTGTGTATTGTCTTCTACTTGTATGTATATATGTATAGCATACATATACATACATACGCCTTTGAGAGGCCAAGTAAATCCGTTTGGCATAACATTCCTGTTAAGTTTGGCATAACGTTCCTGTTCAGATTTGTCAGTAGTTGGTATCCTTTATGTCTGCATGAATGGGAAAGATCGTTAAGAATAATGGCGGATATTCAGGGCGATCTAATAATTTCACGAAAAATACGGGATCATAAATAACAAAATTTCAATATTTTTTACAAATTTTGTTGGGCTCACCTATTATTCTGACGAACCGAAAAACATTGTATTTTATGAATTAACCCAAAGCTAATTAATTTTTTTACAAGTAGTTTGTAAAGCCGTTCATCATTTGTTTTCACGCTAAAGTACGTTTATGTTGAAAGCTTACTTATATTTTAAGAAAAATTAAAATATAAATGAAAGGAAAGTTTTTTTTTTGGAAAAAAAAAATGCTTGCACCTATAATTCTGTCCAGGTGTGTATATACATATGTACATGTATGTATGCATGTGTGTATTTGTTCGTCTTATGTCCGCTTCACTGCACCTTTGTGAAAGTCTTTTATTCAATCACAACCACTTGTTTCTTTTGCTTTAATCGCATGTATTTCGTCACTGACTAAAATGCTAAGGTTTCGCCATACCAGATTTTAAGAATGGAAAGGTTGTCAATCGGGCGCGCGGATTCGTCGTCCGGATCTTCGATGCGATTTGTAATTGCGCCAACAACAATGCAGCAGCTGCGACGACGCGCTTCAAGCTGCGCTCCGGCAGCGGTAGTGGCGGCGTTGGAGGCAACAAGCGACAACAGTCCCAGGGCGAAGATGGTGAGCCGGAAATTCTGGCGCTCAGCGGCAAGAAGAAGAGTTGTAATGCGGATCCGAAGAAAAAGGGGAAGGGTGTTACAATGGCCGACGATGTGGAGGGAGGGGCGCGGCTGGTGGAGTAAACGAGTCAAAGCTCAAGAATAAAAACTAAGCAAAAAGAGTTGGACACATGAATACGTTTATATCAGAAATATGGTAAGAGACTAATATAAGCCAAGAAGGGCAACAAAATCAAAGAAAAATTAAAGACATGGAGATGTGGAAAGCTCATGTTATGTGTTAACCTAATAAAGAGTCCATTCGCTATTCTTCTCAATCCCGAAAACCATTCCATTTTAGGCATGTTCAATATTTTGTATTTATTTAACTCACGGTTTTTAAAAAAGACTTTCCAGGCTGTAATGGATTGAAATTATTCATATTTCAAGCCCTATACTCGTTAAACGTTAAATTCAGTTGCATTCTTAAACTCCTTGTGATCTCCCGCCGCAACTATCCTATCAAAAAACGTAATACTTTTAGGCTAGAGCACAAAGAAAATTTACACCGAGCGAAAAAAAAAACACCCGAATTTCGAGGCAAACACAATCAATATTGTACGCATACGATACATAAATAAATGCAATTTACACACAATTATATTTAAAAGACATTCATAAAGAATGAAAATGATCTGCAATTAAGGACAATTTACCAGAGCTGTGCTACATTTTCCAGCCGCTCAACTCCAACTATCGTAAACATCATTAACCTCTCTACTTACATACATACATCTCAGAATATACATATGTACACATACTATATAGTACATGCATACATTTGAATGTGTAGATGAAATTACTTAGCTGTGCGTGTATATATAGTCGTTCAATGTTTGAAATCAAAGGTTCAAAATACATGCACACGTACATACATACATACTTATATATAGTACTTATAAAATAAACGTGTACTGATTTTATACACATACATACAAAACAAAGTATTCCGACCTGTAGACCCGTATTTACGAATAATACAGGCAAACTGAACATTTCTAACCGAATAGGTTTCCTCACCTTATATATGTATTTTTGTGAAATCCTTTTAAGCGACCGCAACAACAAAAAAAAACGAGCAAATTTTGCTTTGCACAAGTACCAAAACCGTAAATCTTTACAAACTATATCTAACTTGAGAAACATATTTGACACAATTTTTATAAGAAATCTTAAATTATAGACTTTTTTGTGATGCCAGCACAAAAAAAAAAAGAAGAAAAACAGAAACCTCAAACATTTGCATTTTCTGTTTATACTTAGCTACACACACATATACTTGTACTAGTATGTATTAATTTAGTTATAATTTTGTGTTTCTAAATAAACTATGTCTGCTATAAGGCAACCTATATGTATGTATATGAGATCTATTGTATCCAGTTAACAATATCAGCAATAAATTGTAACACTGTTTGAAATTTGAAAAGAAAACCTATCGTATTTTAGAAATTATAAATGGAGGGTGGGAGGAGAAACAAAAGTTAACCATTTGGATAACCAATTAAAACTAAGGGTACTATTAACTCATTCATCCGGTTGCGAAACTCAATACTCGCAATCGCATTCGTACATAGTATGTACACACATTTATATACATATATATGTACATATATATTTTTATATCCAACCGGCTATTTACAAAGCATTGCATTTTGTAATAGTTGTACGACTTCTATGGAATTAAAAGTCGTCGGACCGCATCATTTCAAATGCACGGCACGTCCGACTTTTTACTAAAATTAAAATAAGTTTATTCGCAACATTCTGAGTCCGCTTTTGAATCAACAACAAATGTCGAATAGGGAACATGCTGGCTAATTTGCCAGATAAAATGCAATTGGCGCGTTCAAAAAAACAAAACAAAACAAAGAGGGAGAGAGAGGGAGTTGTCCGAGTGATAAGCTGGTAGCTTCTCATATCTTAAACAATTCCCTGGCTGGCAAGCCCTCATTCGTTTGTATACATCTGTATGCATATATCGATCAACGTACATACATATGTATATCAGAAATGTTGGTTGCGCTCTCCATAGCTTTCAATTGTCGGAACATGTTTTGCTGTCTACTCGATCGAAAACTTTAAGTACGCGACTTGCTTGCTTTCTGAGGCTCATCATTTAGCCAACTGTTGTCGATTGTAGAGGCAGTTATTGTTGCTGGCCAAAGGAGATCCAAAATTGTCAACACTCAAACGAGTCACGGCAAGGTGAACTGAGATGTGAATGAGCTCAGCTTGAGGTTTTCAGCACAAATATCGGATTCGCAAGCCTGGCGAAGGCAACAAAATAGAGATTAATCTGGAAGTGGTTGCTGCCAACGGAAGCAGCACGCGATAATTTTGGAGCTGAATTCGGTATATACTCGCACATATAGCAAATACATATATACATAGTACATATATGTGCTTCAAAAAAATTATAGCTGTGGAATCGCAAAATCTTTGCTGAAAGTTATACTAAATTCTCAGCTACAATGAACAAGTTCTGGACGCTACTATTAATTGCTCTCAGCTTTTTGCTGGTGGGGGCCAAGAACGTGGATTATATAGGTAAGTAATTAATAGACAACGCGTAACGGTACCGCCTACTAATGTCAGCACACCAGATTTGATGGATTTAGCTGACAACGACGAGTTCCAATGGGGGGCAATGGAGAATGCCCCCGACACGCAAACCAACAATACCGCCAATTTTTTGATGCGCCATCGTCTATCCAAACGACAAGCAGCCCCGGAATTATTGGTAAGTTTAAAAGGACAATTGAACACAACTTTACAGCTAATATTGCTGACTTGCCCATCCCCATGAAGGAGAACAAGGACTTTGGCTCCTGTCGCACCTCACTGGGCGACACAGGACGGTGTCGCCACATAATCTATTGCCGTATGCCCGAACTAAAGAACGACGTTTGGCGTTTGGTTTCCCAGCTCTGTATTATTGAGAAGAGGTTTGTGAAAAAAATCTAAAAGATTTACTTCCAATTTTTCGTAGATATCAATTAATAGAACTCGTATTCTTCGATACCTATTCAGTGTAGCTACCTTATAAATACAGTAGGATATACTATAGCTTTGTGCGAATGTATGTACTTGGGGGGTAAACTGGTGTACGTTTTTGGTGCAGGGTATAAATGTACGAAACACCATTGTTTTAATATACACATCTTCATTAAAGGCACTGACCCGACGGGGAAGAATTTGTTAGCCAGTTGAGTTGAAAATATATGCTTTTCAGCAGAGACCGCAAATGATGATTACTTTCTTTTTTTTAACGAAAAAATCATTCATTTATAGTATATAGACCAAAACTGTACTATAGGGTTTGGTCTTGACTTATTGTTTAAGGATACATATATATAAATTTTGTCCTTTCACATTATGAAAAAAGGCTGGGACAATTACAACTTGACGTTTAAAAAACGCAACTTAGAGAACTATCATTATTTAAGGGTTTTATTTTTTTGCTCAAAAAATAATGATTATTAGTTAAGTTGAAAAATAAAACTCAAAATCAATCATTATATTGTGAGCAAATGAATAAAATAATTTAAAAAATCTTTATTTTGTAGTTTTTAGAATAACACAATCATTACAGTCCCTGCTTTTAATAAAAAAAAAAGAGATTACAGATATTTATGGACAATATTCTGAATTGAAGAATTTTATAAGCCCTATAAACAGACACACATACGAGTACATGTATGTATCTGCACTTCTGTTCCAACAGTTCCATCGGGATTTGCTGCACTGAACAGCGCTCCAATTTGCGATTTAGTCCACAATTTGTTGATGCAGCCGAGGAGGAGAGTCCACGCATTGTCAACCGACCGGAACAGAGAGGATGTGGAATCACCACACGCCAGTTTCCCCGAATAACTGGTGGCCGTCCCGCCGAGCCCGATGAGTGGCCCTGGATGGCCGCACTTCTTCGCGAGGGCATACCCTATGTCTGGTGTGGAGGCGTACTCATTACGGACCGTCATGTATTGACGGCAGCTCACTGCCTGCACAATTTAAAAAAGGACCAAATGTTCGTGCGGCTGGGCGAGTATAACACTCACCAGTCGAACGAAACACGCGCTCGAGATTTCAGAGTCGGCAACATGGCGACCCATGTGGACTACAACCCGTTGACCTATGAGCACGATATTGCTCTCATACGCCTTGAACGCGCTACCTTGTTTAATACCTATATATGGCCAGTGTGCATGCCACCACTAAACGAGGATTGGACGGGGAGAGGCGCTATTGTGACTGGATGGGGCACGAAGACATTCGGAGGCCCCCATTCCAACGTCTTAATGGAGGTAGGTGCTATTCCTTATTGGAGTTCTCCATTTCTTTATATACAAACATGTGTGGAGATTTAAATATTTATCTTAATTGTATCGCTTAAAAGCAATCAAATTAATCAAATAGCGAAAGGAATCCCGTTCTTGTTCCGTTTCTATGGCATTATATATGGATGTCCTTTTGCGAAGATCTTGTAAACGTTATTGTCGTTCATCGGCATTTTTAGCTCATTTTTTCCACTATTAGATGCTTGTTTTGTGGCATTTCTTTTAATTCGATGTACAATTTTATTTATTTACGAATGAAACGCTGACAAACAAATGAAAAATTGACTGTCGAACAAATGAAAATGTGCAGAAATAGCCAGAAAAGGTTGATCGCATTAATGTATCGTCGCGAAACTTCACAGGATTACCAACGGGACTATTTTGAATATTGCCACAAAATTTGATCAAAATCGGTTGAGCGGTTTCGTAGTCTATAGAGAATATACATAGATACTTCCATTTTAATATATGTAGATTATTATATTGATTAATGTTAAGAGTAATTGCTTTTTTGTTTATTTAGAAATTTATTATTTCCTAAATTGTTTTAAGTAGCATTTTGGAAATTCGCCAGTCTTGTTCTTACCCCTACAATTTCAATATGAGTTAAGAGTTATAATTTTATTTCTACACGTACATGCGCAGGTGAACCTGCCTGTTTGGAAGCAAATGGACTGCAAAAATGCCATGGTCGAGCGAATACCGGACACGGTTATTTGTGCTGGTCAGCCCGAGGGTGGTCAGGATTCATGCCAGGGCGACAGCGGCGGTCCCTTGCTGGTGCAGCTTCCCAATTTACGTTGGGTGACTATTGGAATTGTGTCTTGGGGTGTACGCTGCGGTGAGCCACGCCGACCGGGTATGTACACCCGGGTAGACCGATATCTGGAGTGGATTATATCTAATGCGGATATATAGCTAAACGAACTGTTAATCTTATTTGATTCTATGTGTCTGTGAACATATAATTTACTTTTTGTTTCACTTAAAAAAGTCTTGGTAAGATGGCTTACCAACTAAAAATAAACAACATTCTTATACTTATGAACCTGGATTGTTACCTTGACTCTGCCCCGACCCACCCCTTATGCTAAGCATTAATTAGGAATATGTTGGAGACTTCGCTGTAGCTGCGCTGGGTATCTTTTCGACCGTCTCCTGGGGCTGTCCAGGAGGACCTGTGCTGCTGCTAGCCGTGGTTGCTGTGTCGGAAAAGGCAATTTTATAGACATCATCGTAGGTGCCCGCAAAATGTACTTCCAGTCCATCAGTTATAAAATTAGGAAGCTCTTCAAAGTCTTTCTTATTGTCAACTGGCAAAATAAGGCAGGTGACTCCGCTGCGACGTGCCTGTTGAGAAGAAAAATAAATAATAACTTATGATGTGATTGCTTTAGACGTTGTTACAAACGTACCGCTATGGCCTTTTCCTTGATTCCGCCAACAGGTAATACCTTGCTCTTGAGTGACACCTCGCCTGTCATCGCCACATCTTGACGCACTGGTTTGCCTGTCGCCAATGAAATGAGAGCTGTGATGATGGTTATTCCCGCACTTGGGCCATCTTTGGGTGTGGCGCCCTCTGGTACATGTAAGTGAATGTGTTCCTGCTCCAAAAATGTATTATTGGGCTCACGATGATGCAGGAAATTCCGCGCAACAGTTAAAGCTATTTGTGCCGACTCCTTCATGACGTCGCCCAAATTGCCGGTCAAATGTAGAGCACCGGTTCCAGGCTCAGGTTTCTCGCTGCGTATGTTGCGCTTTGATGTTTCGATGTACAGCGAGGAGCCGCCCATAGCAGTCCAGGCCAGCCCCATTACTACGCCCACTGGTGTGTTGGCGTACATGCGATCCGAACTAAAGATTTGTTTACCCAAAAATGTGGTCAGATTTTCGGCATTTACATCAAATTGTTCGCCCTCTTTCTTTACCAAACGGAAAGCCACTTTGCGTATGACTTTCTCAATATGCTTTTGCAAATTTCGTACTCCAGATTCACGACAGTAGCTGCGAATTAACATGTTCAGCGCATCTTCCGTAATGCTTATCTGTGTTTCTTTTAGGCCGCAATCGTTCATAGCTTGCGGTATAAGATATTGACGTGAAATGGCAACCTTTTCTTCGGCTACGTAACCTGACATTTCAATGAGCTCCATACGGTCGCGCAGTGGCTCTGGGATAGTATCGATAACATTTGCAGTGCAAATAAAAAGGACGCGCGACAAGTCCACTGGTACATCGAGATAATGATCTAAGAAATTGGCATTCTGCTCCGGATCAAGAAGCTCCAACAAAGCCGAGCTGGGATCGCCTTGGTAGCCCCTGGTAGGTGGAAAACATTATATACAATTTTTATGCGGGCACTCCTTCCTACTCACTTGCCAATCTTGTCAACCTCGTCGATCAACACCAGCGGATTTTCCGTCTTTGTTTTTTTCAAACATTGGATCAGTTTTCCTGGCATGGCACCCACGTAGGTTCGGCGATGTCCTTTAATCTCTGCAACATCTGTCATACCGCCTACGCTAAAACGGAAATATTCTCGATTTAATGCTCTAGCTATAGAGCGAGCTATGCTGGTTTTTCCCACTCCAGGCGGTCCATGGAAGCACAAAATTTTTCCTTGCGTAGTTCCCTTAAGAGAGCTTACGGCAATGAACTCCAATATGCGCTTTTTAATGTCCTCCATACCGTAGTGGTCGTTGTTAAGAATTTCGGTGGCCTTTTCTAGGCACAAATTTTCGGGGCTGATTACGCCCCAGGGTAGAGAGGTGAGCCAATCTAAGTAGTTGCGAGTTACGCTGTAACATAAATATTTGTGATAAAGAACCAGAAATGCTGTATCATATTTATATGCGTACTTGAACTCTGAGCTGTGACTCTCTAAAAAGTTTAGCTTAGTAAGTTCCTCATCGATCACAGTCATAATACTTTCAGGTACCGTTTTGTCTTTGAGTTTCTCACGATACTTCTCTCCTATGGCATCCTTGTCGTCCTTCTCAATTCCCAGCTCCTTTTTGATGACCTTTAACTGCTCTTGGAGAATGTATTTGCGGTGTTGTTGTTTGACTTTTTCCTCCACCTCGCGTCCTATTTTTTGCTGCAGCTTAGAAAGTTCCAGTTCTTTCTTGAGCAAAGCCAAGGCCAACAGTAGTCGTTGAGGAATCTGCAAGAACATTAATGATTAGCTTAAAAAATGTAAAATCAACATCATTTCGCTTACATCTGCTTCCTCAAGAATTTTTTGCAATTCGGCTGGCTCAGCTGCCGATAATGAAGCGCCCAAGTCGCACAGGTAAATCGGGTTGTCCACAACGCGCTGGTTCTGATGCAACATTTGCTGCAGACTCTCTCTAGAATGGCGACCGCGACTACGTGGTTTAGTTCAACTGACAGTCGTGCGACTTACCCTAGAGACCACTTACCTGTACAGTGGATTCATAGTAATAATGTCCCGCAGCGTTTTAATAATTTCTTGCGTGAGCGCCTTGACCTCCTCGGTCTGTTTGTATGTGGGATGCTTCACATTCTCCACTTCCACAATAAGCACTGGTATGCCTTTAACAGACTTCTTTCCATCAGCGGCGGTATCATTATCGCTTGCTTTAGCAGTATCTTCCGACGGCGATTTGTCCCCTTGCTTTCTGGCTAGTGGTGACTCTGTCGCTGTTGTGTTTGAAACGACTCCACTGGTCAGTGGCGCCTCATGAGTTTGTTGCTGGACTAATTCCTCTGCCTCCACAGCTGGGTCACGGGTTATGCCATCCCTGCCAATCTGACGACGAGGTACACGGTTACGCGGTGGGCGTCCCCGTGGTCGGGGCATTTGTTCGCCTTGATCTTCAGCTGGGATGCGTAATTTAATATTAAATAGTGGATAATGCAAAGTTGTCATTTTCACTAGATTAAGAGACAACGCAACTATCACAATATTGGGCACAAGCAGAGTGAAAACGCATACCTGGCTTTGGTGGCGGAACATCCTCAATCACCTGGCCTGTAATGCGTATACGACGATGCGCAACGACAACCATTCGCAATTTATCGCCTAAATCTTGCAGTTCTTGTATCTGTGCAAAGGTTCCTATGCCATAGACATCATCGAGATTATGTACTAGCTCGTCCTCACCATCGTTTTTCTTAAGGAAAACACCAACATAGGGTTGATTTAATTTAACCTTGCGACGCAACAAGTCCATGAGAACGGGATTCGAAACCTGTAAAGAAGTACACGTAGAATACGTCTGCAAAGACAGTCTGACAACTGGCATACCTCTACTATCTTCATGAAGCGAGGGAATAACGGATTACGTCGCATGGCCAGCATCGGCACATGCGGCCACACATCCGGCACTGCAACCGTTGCTGGCAGCTGAGTATCGGGTTCGGGCATAACGTCGGGCGGCGGTTCAGCAGTCACCTCGTCATCAGAGTCGTCGCGCTTGCTGCTGCAATGGCGCTTGGCCTGCACCATCACACTTACAGTAGCAGTTCCATTATATCGCCCCAAGTGCCGGGCCATACGCATTTCATCAAAGTATTGTAGAATTGCGCTTGGCGCATGACGAGAGCGTGTAACGGCTGCACCGGTCGCTAGTCCGCGCACCAGGAGACGCATACGTATTGCTCGCGCTAACATTTTTAACAATTTGGATTCGCAATACTTAAAATATATGTAATTAAAACAAGAACAAGTTTCACATTGAACGAAGTGGTTATGTGATAGGCGGAACCGAGGGCTGTCGAATTTTCTTGAAGTTTCTATCGTTGCGACATCGATAGGCATAGGATGGGCATTATCATTTCATGAGTGCCCTACGGTTGACTTCATTTTCATATTTTCTTTTTTATAATCTTCGCTTTATGTTATATTTTGAACGCCTGTATAAGCAAAATTTAATTATTTCACAAAATAAATTATTTAATAAATTATTTAAAAAAATAAAATACATCAATATATTATATATAACTGGGCCATTGATTAATACGTATAGTATATAATATATAAGATTATTGTTTCTTCGCTCGCATAAAAATCATTATTATTGTTATTTTAGTTTCACAATTACACCTGCAATAGACGTGTCGCCAGTTAACATCGATTACCCGAAAATGTACGGCACTAGCTACATATAAATTTCGATAACAGTTGTTTTTTCGTACGTATCGTGCTACAAAATAGTCATAAACTTCGGAAATGGAGAAGCGATTTCATAGGCGTTAATAATTCTGATAACTTCTGAAAAGCGCTTACGATATACACGTTCGGTTCGTTTTTTCAATCGGGAACAGCGTAGGCTTTGTACTACCATTACACAAAGTAATTGGTAGTGTCTTATACCTATTTGTCATATTTGGAGACCGTGTTCGACACGCGATTAGAACACATTATGGCCACCAGGTTCGATCAACAGAAGACAAAGCATCAGCTTTTCCATGTGTCCCTTAGCTTGGCCACAACATTGATTTGCATGGCTTACATGCAGTATCGCCGCAATTGGGCGCATCTGGGTAGCTTTGGAGACTCGCTGATAGTGCCCATTGTGTTTACGGGGGAACTGCTGAAGGTGGTATTGGCTCGTTTTTATGGACGCATCGAGGACGGCGTGCTAACGACCAAGCAGCGCCAGAAGAAGGCCGCTTATTTCACGCCGAGGGAGCTACTTGGAGGCCTTACGTTGCAGTTTCTGTGCACTCTACTGTATGCCTTCATTTGCATCATACTGGGCGCACCGGTACTGGCCAACTACGAGCAAACATTTGTGCTTTCGCTTTTACTGACACTGTTGACGGTTTCGCCGACCGTATTTCTCTTAGGCGGTGGAGGCGCATTACAGGTTTGTTTTTGCGAAAAGCCCGAGTTCGTCACTAAGTGTGAGGACACAGCGCTGGATCTGTTTAAATACAATGCACTTGGTGGCATTCTGGGCGCCTGGGCTGGAAGTGCTGTGGCGCCCCTGGACTGGGGCCGCGACTGGCAGTTGTATCCCATACCTAATGTTATTGGAGCACTTCTTGGCAGTGCTCTGGGCAATATATACGCCTGTACGCATGTACTATATGCCACTGCCCGGGTTTATATAAGCAAAAAAAGTGCTTAGATAAACGCTTAAACAATGTTTACCCGGCCACCAACCAATAAGTTCACTTTTCGCTGCCACATTATACATACATTAAACATCGTACAGAAGTAAAATGCAACTGGTTATATTGTATTCTAGTCAAAGCAGCTGCAGCAACAACGGCATTACCAAAAAGCAATTAATCTATTTTAGTGTTACGATTTTAAGCATTTTTATTAGCACGTAATGTATTATTCGCTCTTTTTAAATCAATCAACTTAAAGAATAACATGTATTATCACACAAAAGACATTCAAATAGTCTAATGACTTAGCTGCTAATAATACATAAATATGTATACACAACTACAAGAATAATAAAACAAAATGGAAAAAACTTTGTATGTATGTATATAAGATCATTTGGCCGAGCCGCCATTTGTAGCCGATTGCACTTTATATATAATGCATTCACAATTCATAATATGAACTTAGATGTCCCAATCGTAGGATGGTATGTTCAGAATTTGGTATTATTGCAAGCTTTATGCCTTTGAAGCCAGCATAAAACTTTCATCTTCTATCAGGCAACGCTTGCTGACGTTGCATTCATTTGGAGCCCAGTAGTCCTCTTCATCATCAAAACTATCGTTATTCTTATTGCCATCGTACCGTTCGCTGAAAAATTCAGGAAGCGCAAACTCACGACTGCTATCGTTTGTATTGCTAGTCTCGCTCATTATGGAGAGACGGTTCCGCAGCTCCGCCTCTCCCACAGCATCATTCTTCGGACAGCTAGATGTTTCGTACAAGCGATGCAGCTTCATGAAATGCAGTCCATTAGCAATTCGCTGCATTGTCCCGCTCTGAACTAGCGCACTCCAATTAAGAGCCAGAGTTATGTGTGGCGTATAGGAAGCAATGCCAGCATTGAATTCCTCGCTGCTTATACTTATATTGTAATAAACTGTCTCATTGTTGGTCAGGAAGCCATGCGGCTCGTATAGTGGAGGTATTTGCTGCTCCAACTGTTGAGCATGATCTGCAGGCAGAATGTTTATGCGTGTGAGACGCCACTGCAGTAACGTCTTTAGCGGTGGGACGCCTGTGAATGGTGGTGGCGTCGGCTTTGCCTGTAAGCGACACTGGAAACCGCACGACGTAGCAGGTTTGAGGCAGTGGGCTCCAGCTTGCCCAGTTGTGACCCCCATGTTGTTCATGACTTTAAAATGGACATATTAAATTAGCAGAACGAGGCGACTACTAAACTCAGACAACTTACTGTATAATTTGTCCTCATTCAAATCATAGTCGGTAGAATATAGCGACAATGCATTGATGTAAACTTCCGATTTTTTCCCAGCCTTCTGTTCATCGTGCACGTTCTTAAGACTGACATCGACACCTAGTTCTCGGGTTACGGAATTACTGATGACACAGGTGGAGTTGACTTGCAAACAAGGCTGTACTTTCAATTTCCAAATATGACGCACTAGGCGATATTTTAGGTGCGCATTTAAAGGTGCTGGCAGGGAGTAGTAGAAGAGCAAGCGCAGCGTAAAGTCGCCTGGCGTAAACGGCGCTTGCAGCCACATGGAGACGGTGTGGCACTGCTGTGCATTCAAAGCGGCTTGTCCAGCTGGACGTTGTAATAATCGAAAAACGCGTTGGCGTCGTATTTCCTTATCTTTTACCAGATTGTCGTTTGACAGATCTCGTAAAGCTGTCGGGTAAGATAATATGAACTAATGAGTTAGTTATGCGCAATGATTGGGAATGATTTTCAAAACAAGAAATTACTTATCGACTTTCCGTATGAAACGTAAATTAATGATAAAACAGTTTCACTGGGCACTACTTACAGCTCAGAATAGAGAGAGGAATATCCGTTTGTTGGTCCAAGAGCGTGATGCAGCGCGGGTCATCAGTGCCTAGGTAAATGTCATCGATGGGCGCAATACCCAAATTTCGTAACGTAATGCTTACAGGTATAATTTCACCTGCCAGTATCTCACCAGGCACGACGCTAAAGCTAACACTCAGTGAGGGCACTTGTGGGACCAGTTTAATGCTGAGTCTGTTATCAAGAAGCGTCTGTGTGGACTGCTTAGCTGTAGCAGGCTTGATACGCTGTGTTTCAAACTGTAAGACCCCCAGCAGACTCGCGTTGGGCTCTGTAGACGCAGCCATACGGCACACCACACCAAGAATATGCAGGCGACCCGTTAGTTTTGGAGTCAGTTTAAAGTAAAGCGTTTTTGCAGCCTGCTCTTCCAAAACAATGGTATCGAGGCAGGTGGTTTTGATGGCTGCGTTGACTGCAGCCTTGCTCGCGCTGTCATCCTGCTGCTCGTAAACACTAACGTTCGACAGCACATCCTCGTTGTCTAGAGTTAGGCGCCAGAGCAGATCGATGTTATTAAGGGTTATACTGCAGCGCACGCTGTTCGATAATGTGACGGCCAGCTCAATAGGTTCTCCTTGCACAGCCAGTGGGCACTCCGTGGCTGGATGTTCCTTATTGTATAGGTATTGCGAAGGTTTGAATACAAATGGCTTGTTCGAGGCGGCCGTGATAACCAACATTTCTTCGATTTTGTACCAAATAGACTCATCAGTACTAAGATCTGAGTCTATATCAATGTTGGTAGCAGGTACCTGGGGCGCTGGCACATTCGATGGCTGCACCAAAGTCAATACGCGCACAGATTGTTGTTCAACGTGAGGGAGAGCATGTGGAAGCAGTCCCAATTCCGGACTACGCTTGACGAGCTCCTGCAATAGGCAACATAATTATGAATCACAGCGAGATTATAAGATTGTTAGCAATTTCAGAAATAGGTGAACTTTTTTGTTATGCCCTAATTCTGCAGGCCAATTGGCAAAAATGCTAGTGAACTTACATTCTGCGTTTGTATGTACTCCTTTAGAAAACTGCTTTGCTGCTGAGCATTCTGAAGGCTTCCCGGTCGTAAAAGATGGGCAAATGAACGACTCGCGTCCTCTAATTTTTTAAGCATGTAAGCCTGCTTGGCAACCGTGTACTGTATGTGGTCCTCGGCCAGACTCCAGTGACGGTTTTGAAAGACCTGGTAGGCTTGGCGGTAGCAACGAAAGGCATGTTTGCGTTGCCCGGCCCGTGAATAGCGATTGCCCGCGAGCACAATGTGAAAGGCGTACTTTCGGTGCATGGGCGGCTGCGTGACTAGGAAGCAATAAGCAGCCTGCTCCAAAAGCAGCGCCGAGCGTAGGTCAGACTCCTCGCTAGTCATTCGTATTAACTGTTTGGCCACTTCGGAGTACTGTCGTGCAGTCTTTAGGCACTCCATGCTCATAAGGGTGGCACGCGTCGCAAATTGCTGCAGCCTAGATAAAAAGAGAAGCTGGATTAAATTCCATTTGGTCATAGGGAAATGGGATGATAACTCACTTGCACACCGTTAAATAGCACACAATGGCGTCCTCCATATAATCGTATGTCTTTCGATGTGAAGTACCCAACATGAAAGCAGAAAGTGCGGCCATTTCTAGGGCACCGGCATAATATTGCCAAGCAGAGTCCGCATTAAAATCACGCTTAGCCTGATGATAAGCCTGGAATGCCAAATTATAGTGACCAAACATAAAGTATAGGTCTCCAAGTTTGCGCGTTTGGAGCTCTGCCGATTCGTTGGTGTAGCTGCAAAAAGCATATGAAATTCATAAGGGAATAAATCTAGCGAGCCAGCATGTAACCACTCACATGACGGCATTTTGATTGTTAGTTCCGGCACCAGGTTTACTGGTTACAAACCAACGCTTCGTTGCACTAAGCAGCGACTTGCTGACACCCTTCTTATTTGTCACGCCTTCGCTTAGTATTCCCACTAGTTGCTCTATATACGGTATGAGCGCTCGCACCGCGTAGTCCTGTACAAAGTGTCTGAGATTTTCTACATCGTGGGCATTTAAGCAGCTGCCATGCGGAGCATCTGCGTCAAAATCTGCAGCCCATACATTGGGATTGATGGTTTGCGACGCAATGCTTTCGTTGCTGATGGAAAACTTTGAGTTAATTGCCTCTGTTGCGCTTTCTTGCATAGGACTGAGAGGATGTAGCATTGTCAGGTCACTACCAGCCTCTTGGGCTGCAGCGCCCTCCAACAACTGTGACATTTGAATTGAAGGCATGGATATAACCGAGACTGCTTCCTGTGGTGATTTGGGCGCACTGATTTCATTGGCAATAGTGTCTGCTTTGGGCTGCCGCTTTATATAACGCGCCCAATGATCTGGTATGTCATTATTTGTGTTGGCTTCCAGTGAATTGATTGAGATCAGAAAACATTTGTTGTCGCCAAATGTAGACTTAATCAACTCAAAGCCCTGTTGTGCTTTGGACAAATCACCATGACTGGCTTCGTGCAGCACGACATAGCTGTTGAGCACCTGGGTGGGATGGAACCATTTTGGCAGTTTCTGAGGCGTTATGTTTTGCATTTGTTGCACGCGCTGCGTCATTTTATGCGCCGTTTCCACGATCTGAGGATCCGCGCTAGACAGCACCAGCAAACAGCTGAGAAGATGGCGAGTGAATTCATGTTCCGCAGGAAACTGCACAGTTAAGAATGTTTCTCGCCACTGCTCAAACCAAGGCTCAGCGCTGGGCAACTCTAGGTCGATACCAGCTGAAAAAGGTTCGGATACTGTTATATCACAGCTTAACAACCTTTGTTGATGCTCACCTATTGTCACTATTTTTGTTTTCTCATTATGTGCATTTGTCACTGACTCGTTCAGCATTTTCCGTGCCAGTACAGTTTGGGGTGGTCGCCAGTCCACGTCACAGAAGTTAAGTCGTAATCCACGTATGGACACGCTAGTTCCCGAAACGTCGCGAAAATGTGCTGAAAAAGATTTCAAGTTAGTGTTTTAGGAAGAAAAGAGTTCGTTGACCTACCATCACTGGGGAGTCGCGCAAATGGCTGCAATAAGTCCACAAAGGATAAATTGTTTCGATGGCAAATTTCGTCTGCCATATGGCTGCTCACCACACCTATGAGTGGCGAGAATATGTTTCGGATTATGTCGCGCGCATTATAGTTTTGTTCGGTTAGGTGTATCATTATTTATGTATGTAGCTCTAAATTACTATTTCCCAAAAAAATCAGCACGGAGTGGAGAAGTACAGCGCTGTTATTGTGTGCCGCGACAGCTGCTTCGACAAAAAGCGCTGCCATACGTATATATATTTGCAGACTAATGTTAAGTTGGCAGTCCTTCTTCGTAGTTGACAGCTGGAATTGGCGGGAATAAAGCCGTCAGCTGCTGTCTGTGCACAGTAATTTATTTGTTGAAGGAATTTCACAAGCGTTTTTATACGACATCGAAAAAGTTATTATTAATAATTGCAAAAAATAACGATTAAGTAAGCAATAAGTGAACTAGTGCTAGTATTGGCGCGATTTTCTGTGCATTATGCTAATTTTGGTTACACTCGTAGATTTTGACCAACTACTCCAGGGACGCAGCCGCTGAACAAAAAAGAAAAACGCGCCCTAGGTAAAGCGTCACATTTGTTGGAGCACCCGCGAGTACAGTTGCCGTTGTCAGTATGGCTAAGGTTCACATTACCAACGTTGTCGTGCTGGACAACCCAAGCAGTTTCTTCAATCCGTTTCAGTTTGAGCTCACGTTTGAGTGCATTGAGGAACTGAAAGAAGATCTCGAGTGGAAAATGATTTACGTGGGTTCTGCCGAGTCCGAAGAGCATGACCAGGTGTTGGACACCATTTATGTGGGTCCTGTGCCAGAAGGACGCCACATATTTGTCTTCCAAGCCGATCCACCTGATTTTACAAAAATACCCGAACAAGATGCTGTGGGCGTGACAATAGTGTTGCTCACTTGCTCCTATCGTGGCCAGGAATTTGTGCGTGTCGGCTACTATGTAAACAACGACTACGCTGATCAGGAAATGCGCGAGAATCCTCCGCCAAAGCCACTCTTCGATAAGCTAACGCGCAACATTCTGGCCAGCAAGCCGCGTGTAACTCGATTTAAAATTAATTGGGATGACGGTAATACAAACGGTAATGCAAATGGTCACGAGAATGGCCATGATGATGAAATGTGTTATGCCCATGGAGATGGGCCTTCCACTTCGGTGAACGTGCAGCACGACGCTGCCATGGATGAGAACAGTCTCGCCATGCCTATAGAGAATGGCGTCAGGGCTTTGAACGAAAACTCCAATTCCCTGGCCATGGAATGCTGAGATAGAAGTCTACCTAGTATACGCTCGCAACAAACACATAAAACACATCAGCATATGACCTGGCGCCTCTCCACACACTATGTAATGTATGTAATATGATGGCACGACACGGATCACATAAGGCCTTTAACTATATATCCGAACTATCAATATGTTAAAGGAAAACTCAAATTCAAATCGTAAAACACTTAAACACACAGGAACACAATGGTCATCCCCGTATGCCTTGGCGGCCTCTTTCTCTCGCCAGTAATTAAGCTATGTATGTAATTTAAATTCGCAGTTAAATACATTAAATTTATATATAATATAGAATTTTGTATGCGTAAAAATGTCATAGTAATACTAGTCATCCTCCTCTTCGTCTCCACCCTCGGCCGGACCAGCCTCGCCGCCTTCTTCCTCTTCGACCATTTCTTCGGATGAGCTGACCTCCTCGATTGGCTCGATTTCCGAGGCCAAGTCTTCGTCATAGTCGCTGATCTCGCCCAGTTCGTCCAAGCATTTATCATAGTTCTCATCAAATAATATAGTCTCGTTCAACGACTGCACCTCAACCTCTTCGTCGGGAGGCAATAAAGCAGGCGCAGTGCCTGGTGGACACTCTGTGATATTGCGGATCTTGAGAGTGTGAATGTGAAAGATGGCTGAGCGATTAGACTCGAGGAGTATCTGATGGAATACGCTTAACAGGCGATCCATGTTTCCAAACATGCGCACCGAAGCACTTTTCGGATCCTCACCCTCCTCGAGTATGCGGCCAACAATGTGATGTCTGTAGGGATCCATCAAATATATAAAGTCACCCTTCTTCCATAACGAATACATTTGGTTGTTGATCTGGAAGATGACATAGTCGTTTTCATCCAGCGCCTTCTCCAGCATTAGGTGAAAGTCATTATACTTGTACATAGGTACACACTTCCACCAGCCTTCATACACGTTGGGAGAAAGCAGTACCTCGCCCACAAACTGGCCCATGCGGATTTGGCGAGGAAATGTATCCAGATCCAGCGGCTGATTGAGATCTATGCAAGGGTCCCAACAGTTCTTGCACATGTTGACGCCGTAGCACATGACTTTGTCATATGTCTTCTGGTCCCACGTGGCCGGATGATCTATCTTGGAAGCTAGGGCTGTAGCAACAGCTACCGGTAGAGCGCTACGATTACGTAGCGCATCTTTTGGATTAAGTGTTAGATGCAAATTTGACTTGAGATAAGCATAGTCCGAAGCAATTACATCGAACTCACTAATGCGCGTGCCATGCTCCCGTTCCTGGCTCTGGCCACCGGGTGTGACCAATCTTACTACCAAAATTTCTCGCAGTTTAAAAGTATCTGTGGGCTCTAGATTACTCTCATTCTTGATTAAATATATTACATTGTCCATCGACTTTAGCACAAGCAGCATAGGAAACCCGCTGTCATGATTAGATCTCAATGTGTCCTTGTCGCGTCCATTCAAGTCCAACACCATCCAGATGCCCTTGTCGCGCCAGATCAGCAAATACCAATTGGGAGTCCAGAACACTCCGAAGTGGGCTTTGCGAAAGAAGGCTCGCATTATGGGTCGCAAGTTTGCCACAGTGTTGGAATAGGGGCTCAGCTCAAAAGGCACCTCCAGTTCAATGGCAAACTCATAATCATTTACTTTAAAGTGGCGTGTTATTCTTTGTTCGTTCTCGTCGTACACTTCTGGTCGTAGCGTCCCGTTTGGATTATCCATAGTTTCCGAATCAGCAAACAGAACTTGACCCTCCACGCAAATGTGATCAATGAGCTCTGGCTGCCACTCGTTGCGTCGTGTAAAATAGGTAACGGCAAAGCCTTTGAGGTTTCCCGCGTAGCGCATCAGCTCAACATTGGGCACACCCGGCTTGCTGGGTACCAGACCCGCAACTACCCCAACTGGATGACCCAAGGAGTTATCGTACTTGGATCGGCGACCTGTCACATGCAAACAAAAGCAATACAGTCGGAACAGACATGCCAATAGTGATACTTTACCTCGTAGACATTCCTTGGGATCGAAGGGTGGATAGTAGGGCTCATCATGACCGCCGAAGATGACGCAATTGCGACGCGAAATGGGATAATCGGCCGTGAGGTTAACTAACTTGTCCGCGCTTCATTTAGCATATAAGATTTGTCGGTCAACATAAATATTAATGTAAATACGTGTGGCCATCTTGGGATTTTATAGTTTTTCTTACCAGGGCTCCTCCGGGGGCTTACAGACGGGCTGTGAGTCTTTGGGGCAACGCGGAGAGCTACAGCAAGCGCCACCTGAAAATCTGCCTTGTTGCGACATTTTCTTATAAACACGAAAATTTATCTCTTCAATAAAACTAAGATCTAATTTTTATTTAAACTAACAAGAAATTTGTAACAGCTCAGAGTTGTTTTTATATGTCTGATCACAAAAGAAACGGCTGCTATAATGGGCTTTCGATTTTGTAGCAATGCTATGCAATCTTTAATGCCATAAATAATATACCCTTTTATTTTACAGTTCGATTATAAATTGCTGTGTAAGCCTAATGAAAGGGGGGAAGGGATTTGGTCCCATATTTTCTTGAAAGGCTCGGAAAGTCACTTGGTTATAGAGATCCATGTACTTTTTTTAATCCATGTAAAATTCTGGTCCAAGTTTGTACGAAAGAGCCGTTATATATGTACTTTTATAAGTATCATCACTGTCGTTCCCTTTTAATAATGAATATCAATTATCAAATACATATTTGTATGTACTACTAAGATATTCAGCTGTTTTCAGTCGAGAATAAATTGTAAAAATAAATTAAATTAAAAAATATTTTATACAGCCATACTTCTTTTGATGACTGCATTGGACTGGACAAGCCCAGTGGAATCGACAGATGTCAAACAAATTTGGACATAACATTACATTTGAGAAGATGATGAGTCCTAGATAAAATGCATGTTTCTTATTACCTCTTAAGTCTTCTGTGCTAGGGAAGGATTGAAAATTATATAGTAAAAATAAACAAAAGTTCCATTTCGGTTTCGTTTTGCTTTTTTTTTATTAATAATATTGCTAATTCGTATGAGTAGTTAAACTTAAACTTAATATAGAGTACATTTACATAATGTAGAGGAATATGCAAGCAACGCATCTTACTAGAGCTAAACATCCAACTAGGGTGTAAATATATAGTCTGTTTGGTGTGTATGTATATACTATATATTGAGTGTATATGTATATTTGTTGAGTTTTATTTAAGTTTGTATTTCGTTTTACATGCTAGCAATTTCCAAAGAGAGAGGTGAAACTTTTTAAGGTAAGTTTTACTGCCGGCTAGGCTATAAGCACAGTATAATAAAATTATGTGAAGCGTAAAAAATTGTATATGTGGCAGACAGACAAAAGCTCGAAAAATAATTACAATAATAATTGTAATAATTGTTTTGACATTAATTCGAAACAATATTGATATTCAACAGAATAACGTAATCAGGAATAAAGAAAATCCCTACTCCTGGAAAGAGCGTAGAAGCCACGACAAGCCGCTGGCTAATGATTTCATTTATGTACATATCTAATTTTAAATATTTAAAATTTTGCTTTAAGGCACTGAAGCTTTTAAATGTTTTGCATTTTGAAAGGATGTTAGAGTACCAGATGGACCTACAACTGGGGAGGACCTACAAGTTTGTTTGATGCGCTTCTTTGAACATTTTGTTTCAGCAAATTTTGTTTTATAAAAAATATCCCTGACTATTTTTCATATTTTTCCTTATTAAGGCCATTTCTTTTTAGCTCTGGCTCTTTACTATCTGGTGGGCAAATCATAAAACTGCGTTGACGTTTTTGCGATAAGCTCTTAAGATCGAGAACTACCTTATTCTATTTACATAGTACATATATAAAATTACGGCATTTAAATATATTACAAGACAGCTAAAACAATAACAATTTAATTGCATTTTGAATAAAGCTGCAGCACAAAAAATGGTAGAAATTCGATCATGGTCAAATCTCCAGAAAATATGACAGAAAAGGTTACCCTTACCCTGAAACAGACACGATCAGACCATAAAGCGGTCAACGCCTTGACTGGTCAACGCTCGATGTCTTAAACTAGAGAGACGAATACATGTACACGAGTTCAAATACATACATAAGTACTATACCTATAAGATAATACCATACATTTTTAGGGAGTTTTTGAGTATATAGATAGTTATGTTATATAGAATTAACTTAGGCTGGGTAGTAGGTTAAACCATATTAACGGCGCCGTCAGCCTCATAGGTCGGTATGGATATAATATCGCTGCTGCGTACAGTCCCCATAGGTATGTTGGAAGGATTAATTGCCACTGCAACATCAGCAGTGATAGGACCCTGCTGTTCCTCTTCACCGCTTGAATCACTTGAGTCTGGGTCGCTGGTCGTCGTTGTAGTTGGAGCGTTTTGAATTTTAAGCGCTGCTGGGACATCAGCATTGCTCTCCAATGTTGAGTGCTGACTCGAGGGAGAGTGACTGTATTCTGAAGTGTTCTCCTCGTCTGATGCAATGGCGGGATTGCGTTTGTGTATGGCAATTTTCTGGGAGACTGGAGCCTTGTAGCTACGACGTGTTCGCATACCTCGTCCAATGGGCAGCCGACCAATGCTGAAACGTGTTTAATTGCGGTTTTTATTAGTAACGTTTTTTTTGTTTTGTCTAATATTTTGGGAGAAACTTAGTTCTTCTAGATATTTACATGCTTATGATCAGGGCCAATCGGTTAGTTTGATGCTATATATTATTGTCTGTATATACGATACCAAAGGCATTGTTAGACTATTGTATTAATATAAAATTGAGAAAATATACATTTTTGAAGCCCTAAATTATCGCCAAGGATATAAATAATGCAACTATTTTATTGAAATTTAGAATGCAGTCGATAATATCGACGTAGCAATACGATATATTGATAGAAGCAACAAAGTTATAACTTTTATTGACTGACGGAGCGTACAATGGTAGACTTCCAAGTTATTAAACGGGACAAGTGCTCGTAGCTTCGTTATAGCTGTGGCAATTCTTTTATACCCTGTACCCAAAGGGTAAAAGGGTATATTCGTTTTGAGCGAGTGCACATGGAACACAGAAGGAGGCTTGGTAGACCCCACAAATATATATATATTCTTGATCAGCATGACAAGCCGAATCGATATAGCCATGTCCGTCTGTCTGTCTGTATGAACGCAAGCATCTCCGAAAGTATAAGAGCTAGAATAACCAAACTTGGTATACAGATTCTCCTGAGCCCGAGAAAGGACGAGTTTGTTCATTTTTTCTGATCCACCACCCCACTTCCCCCCTATTAACGATTTTCTATAACTCCCGTAATTCTTGGAATTTTGAACTAAAATTTGGTAGTCACATTAGGTTAGTGATTATATATCCGTATACCATTTCATTATGATAGAATGATCGGAAAAGTTATAGCCATATAACCAGGCCCAATGCACACATACATACATATGTACAAGTACACAAACACGCATAGACACGATTCTGATGTAAATGTAAATGTATTTATGCATGTATGGAATATTTTATATTTAATTTAGTTAATTAATTAAATTAATTTAGTTAATTAATTTAATTAATTTAATTAATTTAATTTAATTAATTTAATTTCTTTTTTGTGGGGTGGTACAGGGTATTTAAGAGTTGAGCCTGCTCGACTTTAGCATTCCTTTCTTGTTTCAAATGATTTTTTCGGATTTCCCCGGATATGTTAGCAGTGCAGAATGGTTTGGTTAGCATATTGCGATAGCCTATCAATTGTTCTAGCTTGAAGTTTCAGACTTGCATCCAATCGAAGTTCTAGCAGTTATGATCGTTTTTAATATTTATTTTATACTTTTTGATCTTGATTTAATCTAATCTCTTAATAGCAAGTTATAACACAATCAATTAGTCCATAATTTGCACACAGTATTATTATTTGTTGATGTTGCTTTGTTTTCTGTCTACAAGTTTCATCAAAGTGAGAGAAGAAGGGCATATAAGATTTGGGTGTGCGCAACGTACTTATGTTTATTGAACTCACCTTCGGCGCCTAAGTGAAAAGTTGTAATCTGTTTCCTCGCCCTCCTCATCAGACCAGCTGTCCTCGCAAAATTCTTCGTGAGCCTCGCCATTCGCATTTGAGTTGGCCACTGCTGTGGTTTCGGTGAGCGCCTTCTGTTGATGTGGCTGACGGGAGGAGTATCTACAAGATTTTCCCTGCGTGCTGTTGCAGCGACTTAGGCAAGGACTGCTATTGACGCCTACGTCTGTTCGTTCCCCAGCCACATGGCTGTTGCCATTCTCGGTCGTTGTGGAGTGTATGGACAAACGGTTCTCGTTGATGAATTCAATGACTTTTCGATTCAGACGCTCCAAGTTTTCGTTATCACTGCAGCACTCTGCAATATCCAGCCGCTCGTTGCTGTTCATAACATCGTCAATAAGCTGATCAGGGCTGGAACAGGCATCTTGAAAAGTCAGCTCGCTATTGCTCAGCGAATTTCCATTCGATGGACTAGTGGCAGTGGCTGCAGTTGCCTTAGCCTGCTCCTGAGCGGCGGCCATTTCACGTACGCGCTGAAGCTGCAGCGGAAGTTGACGATGAGTGGGCGGCGGCACATCTATGGGCTGCGACCTGTTGGCCAGAAGCGCTACTGGCAATTCGCCGCTTGGACTAATGTCCGTTTCGCTTACATCCATAGCGTCCGTTTGAGTTTGTCGCTCCACTAGCTGCACCTTTCGGTTTTCCGGCTCACTTTGATAGCGCCGGTCGCGTGTTGGACTGTACTTCGGCGGTGCGGCAAACGAACCAGACCCGTTTCGTCTATGACGCCAAGTTTTCTTCGGCTTGTTACCCATGCCTCCGACAGCGCAGTAGGATTTGGGTTGGCAATTGCTGTCTAACTGGGCGTACAGTACGCATTTAACAGGGCTCTGCAATTGGAAAATTTAAAATACAATCGTGATGTAATTGAGTTATCCGCCGAAGCTCTAAACCTCTAACATAAAGTTGTTATTCTTGTTCGGATCTATGTTTTCGTGTTGCTACCTATCTCTTACTAAAAATTTTAAAGTTGTTACATTTTTAGTTCACGCAAATTGTGCATCATTGTCAATATCAATATCAATATCTTTTTATACAACTATCGAAGCAATCTGCGACAAAGCGATGTAAGATTGACTGAGCTTTGAACGAACTATTTAATGGTTCTTAAAATATTAATTTTGACTCATATGAAGCTTTGGGGACGAGCTAGCAGGAATTCCACAATGTGAGTTTGTTCCTCAGTAGGCAGATAAACATGATTTCATTTTCAAATTATCAAAAAATTAAAAAACAACACATCAGAGGGAAGGGTATAAAAATACTCCAATAAAATTTTATTTTATTTTTCTTTCTCCTTATTGCCAAGACATGCCTGACACCCTTGCTATTTTATGGAATAGAGATCTTTGGAAACTGTGATTCTGTAAATCAAAACAAGATAAAAGTAGCATTTAATAGCATAGCACGGTATTTTTCAATATTAAAAGAAGAGACGTACTTAACGACGCACGCCAATAAAATATACAATCTGACCCTTGATTCCTGGATTAAACTAAGAGCCCTAATATTCTAGCATACTTATATATATAGTAATGACTAGCGTAATAATTTAAAAGTAGTCCAATACTTTTTACGGTAGCAAAAGGCTTACAAATAAATAAATAAATAAAAATAAAATAAACAATACCTCAAATAAAAACTAAATTATGATACAACAGAAAAAAGAAAATCCCCTTTTGTTTTCCGCTGAAAAATAGTCTTATCTAGATCCCACAATTGAAATAAACATACCTCTGGGGTCGTCTCGGGATCTGGCGTTGTGGATTGCTGCTGCTGTTGTATACCCGTATTTGGGGCGTTAAGCCGCCGACGATAGTGTTGCATCTTCCTTAGCGTATTGCCGAGACGCCTCGTGGGCTTGTAACCACCAGGTAACTTACGCTCTCGTCTGCAGGAATACGTTTATGAATAAAGGCAAGCCAGGATAAGGTTGTCATTTGATTCAACTTACTCAGCTATCTCTTTTTCCTTTTCCTGCAGCTGGGACATGCATTCGCTTAGCTCGAAGAACAATCGATTTGTCTTTTCCAACTTGTCCTCATACACCATGCGTATGTCATGTGCATGTCTCCACTCCGCCTTGCGTCGTTTTATTAAATCCTGCTCATATTTGTGTATGCTGGTACCGTTTTGGGTGATTTCCTTCAGATGCGAGCGAACCTCCTCCTTCCACGACTTTTGTGTTTCAAAATATTGTTTTTCGTTTTCCGTTTTGCGCAAAAGCTCTGGCCCGGCTATGTCCAGATGCGAGAGTATTTGTCTAAACGATGGACGGTTGCGTGGCTTGCTCTTCCAGCAAAGCTTGACCAGAAGCTTGAAGCCTTCGGGACAGGTACTGGGAACCAGAAGCTTGAGTGAATTGTTTCCCACACCCCAGATTATGGCCGACGAGTCAACATCCTTATAGGGTATTTCGCAAGTGAGCATTTCCCAAAGCACTACACCATATGACCAAATGTCGACCTTCTCTGAACATGGCTCATTCCGGATGACTTCAGGTGCCATCCAGGCCACAGTGCCGGCAAAACTCATCTTCGTGCTAATCTCGTTCCATTCGCGGCTGGTGCCAAAGTCGCTGATTTTTACAACTTCATTTGTACTTATCAGTATGCTAAGTGGAAAGAAAATGAAAGGGTTTGATGGGAATGGCACTAAAGTAATGTTTCGTAGTATACTACTCACTTGGGACTCTTTAAGTCTCTGTGGATGATTTTGTGAGAGTGCAGATATTGCATGCCAATGGCTATTTGCTTAGCCCAAGAAACCAAGCGGGACGGCAACATGTTTTGCTCCTCTTTGAGTATGTTTTGTAGCGGACCATAAGGGCAGTACTCCATGATGATACAAAAAACAGGTGATTGCGTACAAACGCCTCTGCAAAAAGTAAAAGAAAGAAGTAGTATGATCGTACGACAGCAACATATCAACTAATCTTACTTGAACTTGATGATGTTTTCATGGTCCAGTTTGCGCAAGTGCTTTATATCTGTTTCCTTAAGCTCCTTCACTTTTTTGACGGCCACTATTTCGTTTTTCAGCTTGCCGCTAAAGACAGCACCTTGCGCCCCACTGCCCAACCATACCAGATCAGAGATAGATTCGAAGGGTATCTCCCAGTCCTCGCTGCGTTGGTGCTTGACCTCGATTACGCCAGCCTTGCCAATAAAAGAGAGCACCGGCTTCATGCAACCTAGCAGACCATACATCCAGCCAATGGGCTTATCAGGATGTCCGAAAAAGCCAGCAGCGCCGGTATTATTATGAGGCCATCGTTGCTGGCATGTGTTCTCTGCGCTGCTATCTGTGATCTCGGCATAGTTGGTGTGGTGTTGTAAGTGAGACGGAGAGTCCGGGGATTTGAATGGCAGATCGGTACTAAGCCCTAAGTGACCGAATTCATCTTGTAGACAGGCCATGCTGCATGGGTGGGAGAAAAATGATATACATATTGTTGAAAATAAGAATTAGTGTTCTATAGCCATATAATAATATTTGCGTAAATGCCGTTAATCCCCCTCAGTTTAGTGATGTTGACATAACGCCTATCAGCCTTTTGCGTCAGTAAAAGAAAAAAGACAAAAGCAAACGAACCTAGCTAGCTGGAGCAAATGCCAATGCCCATCACACCTACATGAAACAGTTGCAAGCAATACTCAAAAGCTGATTAAATGTCTACTATATTCCTGACCTGAAGAGCATTAAAGGCGGTGGTCATCCCTAAGGCAGGGAAAATAGCACACGTCAAGTACAACTGCAATCGGAAGCCTAACATGCCAACTGTAAGCGGAGAGTAAAAAAAAATTTACAGATCACTCTATTTCAAAGATTTCTTTATGGTAGCGTTTCTAAACAAAGGAGATAGTTTGAACAAGATCCTCCCCACTGTGGTCACCCAATCTGTAGCTGAACTGGGTGTGGACATGTTTCTCGTGGGATTCATCAGCCTATTGCTGAGATAAATTCCCACAACCCAAACTGGTAAAGTATACAATGTAGTACTACAAGTAGATTCCCGAAATCGTGACGCTTAGAATAACGGAGTCGGACTCACTTGCAGGAACAAACCAATGCGCTTAAAAACTATACCAGGACTACAATGTCATGGATCGAATAAAGAAATCCACGAACGATCTGTACTTCTATAAGAAAGCATCAACCGATCCATTTTACTTTGTTTGTTTACCTAGTATGGCGGCCAGAAGAATGAGGAAGTTTTCGACATGAAAAGGAACAAGGTATTTTAGACATAGCCCTAAGCTTGAAGGCAGACCTGGAAATAAGACGCTTCTTACGGCGTTTAAATAGAGAACACTACTGAATCATCGCTGACATTTGACATACCGTTTAATTTCACATCATTTCTAATCTAATCTTCTTCAAGAAAAACCTAATTCAAATAAGACAGTGTGTTTATTTGGACAAACATTAAAATTAAATTACGACCTACATCCAAGCGTAAAGAGGTATATTTACTAGCTAAGTGCAAATGTACATACATACATATGTACTTGTATGTAGCACAGAGAAGGATGCATAACAGACCCGAGAAATTATATATTATTTGGTAATTCAGATTTTAAAGATCTCATTTGTATTTTGTTAAAGTTTACTAGTGTTTTCAGAGTTTTTGTTCTACATACATACATATGTACATATGTATGCTCGTCCTATTATCTTGTTGCTTATTTATTTTAGCTGACATTTGAGCTGAAACAATGAGCACATAAAAAGAAGCAGCATATACATACATATGTACATACATATGTATGTATGTACATTGATTAGGCGTTGCAAATAAATAACAAAACGAGCGCTTGAGTTCTTTGCCAAACGAAATTAATTTCTAGCCACACGAGCACACACACACACACACACACACTTACAGACTGTCAAACTTGTGCCGTGCTTGGAATGTATGTTTGCTTTTTTGCGCGATAAGATAAACAAACAAAAGTACACCACCACCGCCGATAGGAAAACGACGCATTGCTCTTTTTTTGCAGGTGAACAATAGCAACAACCGCTCTGAGGAGAAATCTGTGACGCGTGTGAATAGGCAAATTACCTGTTACCCATCTATGTATCTATGTATACATACATATAAAGGCACCACCACACACGCATATGTATATGTATGTATGTATTTGCACATATTAATCTACCGGTCTGTTGTCACCTCTTTATGCTCATCCCATCAGCTCTTTTGGATTCAGCCGATGTCAAAAACCTTTTGTGTTTACTATCAAAGTTAAACACATTAATTAAATAAAATATGGTACGCCAATAGCGGCCGTGCAGCATGTTCTGTATATTATGACAGTTAGTTATGTACGTACGTCATATGTATGTATGTATAAACATTTACAAATGTTTGTATAAATTGCAGGTACTTTAAAAGCTCAAACGGAACATAGAACGCGGAAATTTTTGTGAGTTTTTCATCAGTTTTAAATGATTGTGGAATGCTTTTAGCGGTCTTGCTTGGCGTAGTCGGCCAGTGAGTCAGAAAACCAGTGCAAGCTGGCGGCCAAATCTGCAACGTTGGCAAGAACCATAGAAAACCGACTTTTCTGACGTCTATTCTCTACACATTTTAAATTCCAACGTTCACGTTCATACATACTTATAACATATGTACATACATATGTATGTATATAAGATTCAACAAAATAACTGCTATTTTACCTTTTTTCTGTCGTTATAATTTTATCAGGCGGCTCAGATTTTCGGCCAAGAGACGTAATGTAGAACACCATATTGTTATTTGCACTATTTTCCTTTTACAATTTTCACGGTTAATTGTGTTTGTTTTCGTAATTAGTTTTTGCTTTCTTTCGCTTTATCTGCTTTATCATACATACTCGGATGTGTTTGTTCATTCATACGCTCTGCATTAATGCAAATTTGTACACTTTGTACTCGTGCGTAGTAAAATATAAATAAATACATACATATGTATGTATATTTAACAATTTATACGCACTGCAAAAACAACAACAACAAAGCTAGTCGCCGTGCCAAGCACCGCCAGCCACCGTCACCAAGCCAAGTTGTGGCAAAGCAGTCGAAGCTCTGCGAATTGGTCAAAAAACTCACGGCCTGCTCTTGTTGTTACTGTGCTTGGTTTTTGTCGCCGCACAATGAAAAACAATAAAAAAAAAAGTGACGTCAAGGTAAATGGTAAACTCTCTTGTTGGTTTCCGCCACCGTTGACGCTATTTGTTCGGGCTGTAGAGTGATAATTACAATACGTATTTGTAGCAACAACAAGACCCGTAACACTTTCGTTTTATTTTAAGTGCTGCGAAGTTGTAATAATTGTTTTGCAAAAGGTGTCCAAAAACTGCGCCACACATACACGTACAGGCGCAAGATACTGATTTGGCGATAAGCAGCGATTTTGTTGTTGCGTCTTGTTTTCTCGCACGTAGGCACGCATACACACATTCATGTACATACATACATACATACATGCATATGTACTCATTGAGCCTAATGACGCTGCGCACATTAAGGCAGGCTCAATGCGGGTTTTCTCGCGTCCGTCCGACCGCAGTAAACGATTGATTTTCGCAGACTGAGTAGCGAGCGCAATAACGTGCTCAAAATGTATGCCAGTCGAATGGACTGCCTTGTTGGGTTTCGCATTATCAGCAAAGCTTCATGAGATGTTGTGCCTTTACTCTCTTTCCCACTCACACATACATACATTCATACAAAGTTGGGGTATGGAGCTGATTCTCGATTTAGTTTGTTATCACGCGCTCTTGGTGGAGCGTTAGGGTGACCGAATTGTTGTAGCGTATACAAATAGGCGTTCGTCTTGGTGCTGCTGCCTTTGTCGGTACGCTAATGGTCACCCGAAACTTTAGAAACCTGTTTTCATGGCTGCCTGGTTGTGCACATGATCGATACATACATACGTGCGTACTCTCATACGTATACATACATACATATATATATGTACAAAGAAACACAAATAACACAAAACTTGTCATAGAAAGGGTAGTGCGTACGGGTGCGCGGTGGACGGACAAAAAGATTTTCTTTAACCCTCTTTGGCAAACAGTTTTCTTTAGATGTGTTAACTAATCATGAAAAGATCGTCGATTATTGTACTCATTTATACTTTTATACACCGAATATTTCTCTATAAACCTACGTAAACACAAAAAATAAATCAATCATGGGGTTAATCAAAAGAAAGCTCATAAACGCATTTATGCATGAACATACCACAAAAAAAATTGAAAAAAATCATGACTTGCTTAGGGAAATATGAATTCCAAGTTTGGTTATTCTAGCTTTTATACATTCAGAGATCCCTGTTTCATTTTTAGATTGAGCTTAGATTGCTCTACATAAGTATATATTGGAATTTGTATACATTGGAAGAGAATACGGTTTTGTCAAAAATGTACGAACAAAAACATAGTACATACCTAACTTTATGTTCCACGACAAAGTACATTTATTGAGGAAAGGAGCTGAGTCTATCTCGTTTGCTTTGTACTATATAGAATGTATATATATATACATACATACATATGTATGCATCTCAATTTCCAAAAGTGTTAGAAGTATAACTTTGAGTGCAAACTCGTATTCCCTTGAGCCAATTAGACTTGATTTGTACGTCATGAACTGGATAAACTAATATCATTAAAAACATGCGTATTTTCAAATAAGAGTATGCATACATACATAGATGTTTCAAATTGTGTGTTTTATGTGTATACTTGTATCATTTTTTTGTGTAGTAGAACGAATGGTTATTTTGTTATATTTGTCTGATCTTAAGTATTGAAAAAATCTCTTTGAATTTTAAGCAACAACTTCCCAGTGGTTGCAAAAGGGTTAAAATATCCATAAGTACATACATATTTGCTTACAGTGGCGATTATTTCACAACAGTACTTAGGTTTTGCACGTGTTCAAATTATGCAGGTAACTTTAATAATTTTTCGCACTCACCTTCTACGCAAGTTATCGGTTTGATCCAACGACAAATTGGGACTGCTGCCATGATGTTTCCTACGTCCCTGCTGCTGTAGTTGTTGGTGGCGCTGCGAAGCTGCAACACTGACCAAATCATCGCGACTTTTGCTTAAGTTGTCGCTAAATGGTTGCATGGTCCGTTAGGTTTTGGAATTGTTTTGGTTCCCGAAGCCTTAAGACATACTGAATGAATATTGGAGGAGCTGTGGATCAAGGCGGGAGAGACGTTCAGGTGTGTGCCTTTCTTCTTTCAGATACAGTAGGTAGTGAGAATAGATTGATTCCTATGTTAAATTTAAAACAGGCTGCCGTTTTTAAATTTTTAACGCATAATGGGCTTATGTTTCGGTGTGCTCGCGTTTTTTAGACAGTTAAATCTCGGGAAATTGCGGCTTTTCTCAAAATAAATCGACATTAGAAGCAACACGGAGTATTCAGACTACTCACAAATACCGATATTACATTTCGTCTCCAACAAACATACATATATTTTTTTATTTTTCCAAAACAGATACGCTACTGTTTAAGTACTAGTTTATGGTTTTTTCCTGGTTATTTTTTTCGTCGACTCATTTTACTTTTGTTTTAATCTATCGTATACAAACATATGTATATATTTTTGAGATGTATTATTGAAGCATCACTGGTTAGGAACAGAAGAATTTCTTGAAGCTATGGAACTATGTATGCATATAAAGAGTTTATACCGTCTTACAGCTTTGGTCACAAAAGTATAAACATGCAATGTTCTTGATCAGCATAATGAGATGAGCCGATTTGAACATGCTTGAGGTAGTTACTAAATTTGGTATGAAGGTCCCCCCTCACTGGATTCAACTTGTTTTTCTTACGAAGCATGTAAACTAATATGTTCGCAGCTTATACTAATAAGTAGTTCTATAACCCCAGAACAAATTTATATACATATTTACATATGTATAGTACATATGTATGTATGTATATGCGTAAATTGTTTACCCTGCACCCAAATGATAATCTTTTATCAATGAAAAGCGAATAAAATCAATAATGTGGCTATGTGGGTGTAAGGTGGATGAGCGCCGGGTCAGGAGCAGTCGAATTGGCGTCGGTAGCATAGTACGCTTGGCAGGCGACAGTGTAAGGCTAAAGCGAATATTACAAGGGACGACCCACGCAAAAAAGAGTGCTGCACTCGGTAGAGTGCGGAGGGGCTGTTAAAGCCGCACGCACACACATGCATTTACAGCTGCTTGTGATAAAATGTACATACATACATATATATGTATGTGCATTCATTCAAGCATATGCATATAGGAAGAGGCTCAGAAGGCAATGTTGTTTTATCCGTCCATCAATTCTGTATCCTAGTCTTTTATTTCACTTTCAAATTTTGTGCTGGATTTATTGCCTTTAAAGGCAAACTGCAGAAAGAGCACAAACACACAGACATGCAGAGCTCGCAAGCGCATTCAATTTTCGCTGCTATAATTATTTGTATTTCTACGTTCGCCAGTTTTACTTTGCTCTTCGGTTCTTTTTAGTGCTTTGCCTTTTTAACTTGGCTAAAGCTAGAACATAATAATGGCAACAATAACATAATGAAATTTTGCCACACACACCAAGACAAAAAACACACATATACTCGCGTGCTCACGCTCCCACACATAGAAACCTTATAGCGCAGCTTAGAGCTTTGTTGGTGGTACTTCTTCTTCTTTCACAGTGGTGCCTGAAGTAAAGCTAAGGCAGAAAATCAATAAATTGTTTTTCCGAACACATTTCACTGCACTTTTTGCACACATTTTTGCGGGTATTTATTATTATTATTAATATACTGCATTTGCTTACTTTTCCCGTGAGTTGAATGCAGTTTTTCATAAATATTTGAAACGATTTTTCACAATATTACAGACTGGTTTTTAAGTTGCGCTTTAGATAACGTCCGCAGTGGTTTCTGATTGTTCCGACCAACCGTCCGCACCAAAGGTAGATACAAATTAACTGAACACTGCCACTCTCGGGCGAACGCTCTGAGACTGGCTGGGAGCGCGGCGGGCCAATTTCCTCCCTCAAAACCAGTTTAGTTTGGAGCGTTGTTTCTTGCACTGCGCATGTGTGTGTGAGAGTGGGAGAGCGAGCCGAAAACAGTGTCGAAAACGACGTCAAGTGAGCAGCATTACCAACAAAGTCACACCAATACACTTGGCCAGCAGCAAGGTGGTGGTTTTGTTATTGCTGTTGTTTTTATTTCATTCAAAGTTCGAGTTATACCTTCAGAGGCATAAGCATAGAACGCCCAGCATGTACGATCACGATTTCAAAGCTTTTAGCCTCCGCGCTGTGTGCGTTTCTACTTGTTTGGATCGATGCTTTGATGCGTCTAAAAATAGATTTGCAGTGAATTTCACCCACGCATTGACACTTTACGCATACTAGTGTATACATACTATGTATGAATGCACATACATATACATATGTATTTCGATATACATATGTATGTAGTTTGTTTCTCAGATAAAACTCAATTGTTCTCCTATTGCACGTGCAAACAATGCGACATGTGCATGAAAAAAAGTGGTAGTGTTTGGCTTTTTGATCTTGCTGTTTGTAAAATTTAACTGCATCAGGTATGCAGCATAATTTCTATGTAAACAAAGATGACTCATCCGCACACATTTCAAACTAAAGATCCCTAATTCCCCTTCGCATCGTCGTTGCTCCTCGTCAGAACATGTTACCTGCCTCTGTCGATTTCTTGTTTGTCCAGCCGAGTAAATTAATGTGCTGGCAACGTGTTTGGGGTATTTTCTTTGGACCATTGTGCATGACTCAATGGATCAGCATTTGCAGATCGATTCCAGGCTAGTTCAGAAATTAAATAAAAGCGGGAAAAAAACTAAATAGGCTCAATCAATGACAATTTCTTAACTGATTCTTTAAAAATCAATTCTGTTAACTACTTGTGAAAATCACACTGAAAGTATAAAATTACAAAGATTTCAGGGCCATGTTTTTTAAATTTTTCTGCATACATACCTTTTTATTATTAAGTTTAATGTCATGATGATTTATTACATTTATTATTATTTCACAATTTCAGAACCATGAACCTAAATGGCACTGAGTTTTCATTATTATGTACATTTCTATAGACAGTCACCTGAAAATAATAGGGACCTCGGGATCACGTTGTTTCAGTACAATACGCAATAAGTAGTAAACGAATAGTTCCACAGATTTTAAGTTGATGATTATTTTGTTTATGCTTATCTATATTTATACTTATTCGAAATAAACCGAAAAAGAATAAATATCAGTTCCAGGCGTGGCAGGGGAATTGTTTCCCATTCTATCATTTCTAGTAACAGGAGGGAATGCTTGTTTATTACTCTTTTAGCCTTCCACCTCATGCCAAAAGTTCTTGATCGAATAAAAGTCCGGTGATAGCTTCAAAGATTGACTTTGTCATCAGAAAACCATATTTTTCCTAATTTCGAGTGCTTTATATTACCATATATTATTTTATCTCATAAAAAATACCTAAAAAACTTACAAATAGTTACATAAATACCGCAACTAAAAACAGGAGGACGGATGGCCCCGACTTAAAAATATTCTGTACTGATGAATATATGAGTAAAATATTTACATAAATTTGAAAAAAAAAAACTAAGAAAATTGGAAGAAGAAAAAATCCTTTTGAATTCAAACTTACTTAAAGGATCTACGTTGCACATTTACAGCAAAATTGTGTCTATGTGTGCAGTACAGAATTGAGTTAAAGTAAAAATAACTGCTGGCAGAGATTACATTTACGGCTATAACTTCCTTTACGCTTGACCCAACATAATGAAACATATAATTTAATTTTAAATATAGCTATAACGATAGAATTTGATGTACGCACTTATAAGCACTAACCGGATGTAATACTAAAATTTGAGAAAAGACTTCTAAGAAGGGCTGTGGGGAATCAGTAAAAGCGGTCGTAGATTTTTATCGGCTGTCCTCATCTGAAATTGTCCAAACATTTATAGGTACTATTTTCAAATAGAGAGCTTCCCGGTTTATCAATAGATGATAAATGGATTATAAATTAAAAATGGAACATGTAATGCGGGACATGCCGGGCGCGGCTGAAGTATTTCGGGACTATTTTAATCATTTTTTCTAATGCAGTTAATCTTTGATTGTCCTCTGGAGTCCGGGATGGTTGGCCCCCTCAGGCCTGGTTGTCAAAATATATGGCAACAAGTTATACATTTATTTAAAATGCCTCCTTTGCCATCTTATGAACATTTTCGATGCCGAAGAAATCTCATATGAATTGTGATTTATCGACCTATAGTACACGTATGTATATTTATTGCGGAATATTTTAATGTTGGCTCTATCACCTTATTTTTTAGACTTGACTATTTTTATATAATAACATACTCCAACAAACACTGTCTTACGACTGTGGATCATGTTTATTTCCAACATAAATGACATTGGAGAATCTAGTTCCGAATTAAAAATAAGACGTCGAATCGCTTAAAACTAATACAAAGCACAATTCAATACATTTCTATAACTCTGCTAATCTAAGTGTTGCTTAAAATACAAAAACATTTGTAAGTTTAACACTGCTTTTAATTACACAAATTGGCACAGCTTGGTTTATAGTTTAAAAAATAAGTTGTCTATTTTGTTTGTCACAAAAGGAAAACATTAAGGATATCTTATTAAGTACGTGCTCTAGCCGCCACTGTCACCATATGTGAAATGTAATATGTTTAATGCAATATACATATTAATAATATGGATGCGTCTTATATGCCATGGAATTTTAGATGTAGCGAAATATTGGGTTAAGTCATTATAGGTATATAGCTGGTGATAGGGAAACCCAAAATGATAGACAAGTAAGAATGGTGTATCAAGCTGAGACTAAAGAGCCTTAGAGTGAATAGGCTGCGATGCGAGCATGTGAATAGGGCGAAAAAAACACCATAGAACGGAGAAGAGCTTCAAAGTGGAGAGTAATCGTATTTAAAAATGCACTTATATGTATTGTGTTGTTTGAAACATACAAGTATTGAAAATTGTCTTTGTGATATTACCATGTTGGCTGCTTTATCTCAGCATAGCTTTATAAATATCGTGGATATTAGGGAGACTACGAATAGGCATTTCGCTGTTAGAAGTAATGGCGGGGAACAAACGGTATCTATAAGAATTTAGTCATAAATAGTATGTTAATTAATTGAAATTAAAACGAACCTAAAATATAATTCACAGAACTCTTTCAATGCGCTTGGGCGATTTAAATAAATATGTATGTGAGAATGTATGTGTTAACAGATTATCATTGGAAAATCCCACTTGTATTGTCGTTTTCACACTCGTTTCGAATTGGGGCATGGACATTGTGTGATTACTGAATCGCGAATATTAATAACCAACTTCGTTGGTGGCGTTTGATGCCGCTACAAATACAATTTCGATTCAAACTACTGAATTCTATCAGTTTTTATATGTTCATACAGCTATAGCTTCAGAGGAATATGTTTGTAATTGTTACCCTGTACTGTTTCTTGCTCACGCATATGAAGAACTTTAACATTAACTCTCTTTCTTTCAGGTACGCGCGGCATTGTATTTATATTGGAAAAACAATTAGTGATATATTCTAAGGAACTTCAATCGCAAATAGGCGTAAGGTTGTGCCAGCACTGGTCTAGCATTAGGAAATCTTGGAAAGGTGTATTTAGAACTCCAATGGCCCATTACCAAATTCTTCATTGTAGCTACGGGGCTCGCGACTGGGAATGATTTGTGACCCTGTTGGCTCGCTGCTCGCCTCCAACTGCTCACTCGCATCCGTCTCATGCGTCACGTCGTTCTCGTCCTCGCTAGAGTCAACTAAGTTACGCAAGGTAAGTGCCTGTATGTCATTTAAGGTCTGCTCGAAGAGATCAACTGCATGTTGATTGTCCTCAAACACTTGATGCGTGCTGTGCAGTAAGTCTTCTGTGGCGCTACGCATGAGATCTTGTACGGAGTTTGAGTGCGAGGAGGCAAGCGAGCGGGCTGCGCCCTGACTTAAACTGTGATGTGGCCCCGATCCTAACCCAGCAATCGATGAGTTCGAGATGTGCGCATGCTCACCACTCAGATCGCCGACGCTGTCGCTTATGTTGCTGGCGGTAAGGCCTCGGGTTAGCTCGTCAGCATGCGCTAGCGTGGAGCCGATGATGTCGCTCGCTATGCGAATGGCTGCATCGGTGGCGGCTATGGTTGAAATGAAGTTGGCGGCAGGAGTTGCTGAGGTTGTCGTCATCGTGGATGTCGAAGTTGTGTTGCTGCCGAACTGATGTTGTAAGAAATGCGTGTCGGTGGTTACCGTGTTTCCTTCGATGCGAAGGCCGGCGACGCCTTTTTTTGGTATCGTTGCTAGATCACGTTTTACGCGACGACAACGAGTGGGTTCATTTTGGCGCTGTTGTAGCAGAGCCTCCAGATCAACTATGTAAACGTATCCAGCTACAAGTATAGTGCATGACTTTTCGCCTTTCTTATAGGCCTCTTCAATGTCCTGGCTGGTACGATCGTCATATTGCCACCAACCTGCGTGCGGAAGTAGTTAAATGTGTTTTATCCCATTTGCTTAAAGGATATTTGTTTTGTTTTGTGTGGGGTTAGGAGGTGGGGAAACAGATATTCTTGTTGTATTGAAAGTTGCTAAAGTCTAGGCATGTTTGTCGTTGAAGCTTAGACCGGCCACGCCTTTGGCTCTGGGGGCTGGATTGGTGGCTTTACGTCTTTGGATGTTGCGCTTGCGTGTTGGATGGGAGCGTTGGAATTGTACCATGTTTCTAAAGTCTATTATGTAGATTTCTCCGCAGATTTGCTGCTGCAACTTGCTAGGATCGACGGCATCAGATGCTACATTTGCACCCATATCATCGAAGTCGTCTTCGTCATCTCCGTCAAGCTGCGTGAACCATGAAATACCAATCGTATTTAGAAGGATGAAGTCGTGCTGATCTATGCGATTAGACGAAGCAGTTTTTGCATTCGGATTGACATTTGCATCTGTTGTCGTATCAGGTAGGGGTGCTTCTTTGTATTCTTCAAAGGCTCGGAAGGCTTGTTCAATATCTTCATTGGTTCGCAGATCATAGGCCCACCAGCCGCCTACGCGTTTTTTGGTGACGGTTGGGGAAACGGGCGTGAAGTATTGGGGCACTACCACCATCAGTACAACACACTTACCATTACGTCCCTCGTAATACCATTGGTAGCCATCCTCGGTGGCGCGGGTCGAGCAAATATCGTCGATGCCATTGACAAGTTGCGGATGGTCTAAAAACTCGGCTGGTATTTCGCGCCTACACATGGCACAGCGCCGATTTTTGTAGGCAACACCCTGGAAGAGTGGAATGGCAAAATACCTCATCAAAATAAGTTGCAATTTACTTAAATTGTTTAAATTATTTAAAACAGATAAAAAGCGAGCTGATGCCAATTAATTGCCAAGCGTTTTAATATTCCGGAACACATGCGTACGCGCCTACGACGGGCATACTTAGCCTTGAACTTGCTACGTGCCCACATAGATACAATGGCGTGCGCACCACTTAACACGTCATGAATGCTCAATTCAATACGTCTTTTCCGGCTCATAACTACGGCCGAATAATACGCACCTTAACACATAGAAAGCAAAAGATATGACCACAGGGCAGCCGTGCAGGGTGAATGCAGGACTGCAGGCAGATAGGGCACTCCAAAACTGTATCAACAGCTACAAATATAATGGATTACAAGTCAATATCTAAATATTAAGACGGAAATACTAATTTTAATAATGTACTAGTACCAGTTGCACTCGCTTCCGCATTGGCAGTTTTGAGGAGTGTGTCACCAGAGTTCGTGCTGCTTGTGCTTGCAGCTGCAGCCGCTGCAGCAGCAGAAGTGGATGGTGACAGGCAGAGATCGATTGTTTGGCTTACGGGGGAAATAATGCCTACAAATTCCACAGTGTCATCCGCTTCCTCGTCCTCGGAGTCATCCAGGTTTATAATAGCGCTGGTATTTGTGTCTGTTGTCTCGGAGGATGTGTTTTGGGCGCGGCTGCTGGGGCCTTCATTGTTACTTGTTGCTCGTTGTTGCGACATACTTCCAACTAAGCGAGATTTTCACAATCCAAAACCACCGTAAACGAGAAACAACAAATAAATGATAATTTATAGAAGTGTTGCCAACTAATTATTAAATACCTAGTGGCAACCTTAGAGTTTGTTTACGTTACCGATACCAAGTATATTTTGGAAGCAGAACAGTGCTATAAAATGCTGTAGTGTTGCAAACAGCTGTGCTATACAATTTGTGCGCAATTCAAAACAATTTTTTTTTATATATCGGCGAAAATATGAAACGCAATCACTTGAAAAGAGCATATTGTGTTTGATATTTTAAAGTGGTTACACTAGCTTTGTAAAGAGTGCCGCGTATGCTAAGAGTTGGCAAATGAAATTGCAGGAAAACGGACTTCATATCTCATGTGGCGGGAAAATTTATATTCAAATAATATCCAGTAGCGAAGAACAATGAAAAACCCACTGCTCGTTCAAAAGCACGTCGTAAAACGTCTCGCATGGGCAAAAGAGACTATTGATCGCGATTGCATTAATGTTGTTGTTTCCGCTGCAGCTTCTACTTGTGGACTTGGAACATAACAACGGGCCTGTGCGAAGTGGTTAATAAAGGTTAATCTTTGGGGTTGCTTCTCAAAAAAGGGATTTGGCACTTTGCTTACGTTACTGACAATTTGAATGCCATGAGGTTGCCGACAATTTGCCAAAAAGCCTTTGTGTCGAAAGCCAAATGGCCACTTCTATACAGTCTTTAGTGAAAGACACAAAATATACATACCTATGTATGTATGTATGTATGTATGTGTAAAAACTTCTCTATAATAAGCCCCGTTCAATCGCTTTGATCTCAACTCTTCTTATATAGTAACTATAATCTGATACCTCAATAATAGCAATACCCTTAACACATTATAACATAATTTGTACAAACATATAAGTTAAGCCCCGTCCTATATATTTACATGAAAAATTTGATTAGATAGCCCTTAAGCAATACAGTTTACCATTAAAATATTATTAATTGCTATAGACTACTAGCTTTGTTAGCCTGTACATTTTATTGCGGCCGACTGATAATAAATAAATTAAAAAATATTAATAATTGCCTATTTTGTATTGAAACCAAATGTAATTGGGCAGATTTTTCACCTGAATTCAAATTCATTTAATTTCAATTAAAATAATATGCTTCATTACTTGCTGTAAATACGTCAACTCATACATACATACACAAATATATACATACATACGAATATGTATTATGTATGTAGGTACGAATATGTGTAAAGTCTCGCACTCTTTTGCCGGCAGAAAAATTTGACTTCATAAAATTGATGGTCGCGCATCCACGCAACAATAAAAATACGTCAACACACTGCGCCACGCACATTTTAATATGCAGTCAGCATGTTTCGCAAAGGCAGAAAAAAAAACTGAACAACAGCCAGGCTGCAAGTGCGTGTTAACCCCTTTGAACTCATTACATATAGAAATCAATTTGGTGTATTTTTACCGCTCGTTGGACTCGTTGGACAATTGCATGTCATTTTTTATCAATTACACACACACACGCATCCATATACATGAACATACATACATATGCATGCATATGGAAAATTGCCTAATTGCGCACCGGCACAGACAAACGGCAGAAGTCCACTGCTGATGTTCCTGTAGAGTTTGGTAAATTACTTCACTCTTGTCCCCGTTGTAGGGCTGTTTAATGCACGTGTCTCTCGGACTTTTAAAAATGTGTTGCATACATTTTGTGCGCCGCAGAACCAAAAAAAAGGACTCGCTTGGTACGTGATTTGCTTGATTCCTACGTTCGACTACTTAATATGCAGATCAAGTTCTATAACTGTAGTGCCGAGTACTCGCACCACATTTTCCAGCACCATGTGCCATTTTTAATTGTTGGTCGAGCTTCAATTGAAATGTTGTACTCACCAACTGGCGCTAAATATTTCAACAAACTCCAACATCAAAAAAAAAAAAAAACATATATGTAATGTAACTTATTTGCTCTTCATTGCTTTGTGGCCACAATAAAAACCATAGATCTAATCTAAACTCAATATAATTACAAAAGGCAGCCCCAAAGGCGTTTATGGCCTCAGTCGCCTCAAGATTATTAACGTAAATCGGTAAAATGGAATGAGCGTGCGCATCATAAGCATAAAAATATTGCGGCCCACACCCCCAGACAGCTTACCGCAAGTGTTGCGCGTTTTTTTACCCCAAAATGTACGGCTCGAGTCGTTTTCGTTTTCGTTGTCTTTGTCTACTTTGCACCCTCATTCGCCTTTTACATTGCTCATCATATTATCATTTGACTTTCACTGTTGCTTGTTGTTTTTTTTTCACGCTATATACACTTTGCCATTTTTTCGGTTACTGTGCAAATCCCTTTAATCAACGAAAATTGGCTGCTCACACATGTGAACATGTGATCCTTACGACATTTTCCGCTAAGCTCTAATAAATTTACGACCATTTAGGCCAAAAATTTGCACAATTTCCTATTAAAATGTTGATTTTTTTACATAAAAAGTATTATAATACGCCCTATTTAGACACATAGATAAGTATGAGACGACTGGAAGCATCAAATAGATTTTATTAGTCATAGATGGGAATTGTAATATCTAAAAAGAAAATAATACACGAATTAGAACACATACTATTCACACTGATAAAACATTTCTTAGAGTCTGCAACGCTTGCTTGACGTGATTAACCGAACCAGAATTGCCAATATGAATATGTTCATCCATCTGCAAGGATCTGGGACAGTTAGAACTTTGTTACTCACTCACCTCTGATTTATATAAACAATTCTTCAATTGTGCCATGAAAAAGAGGTAACTTCAATGACAATTTTTCGAATTGATAAAAAACAGGTACCGCTAAAATTGATTATTTTGTTTCTTTTAACAAAAAAGTCCTTCTCTTACAGTAAATTTAAGAAATAGAGGAATCTACCAATATCCTTTTTATAGGATTATCTATGCATTTTCACCATGATTAAACAATTTTAATTTTTATTCATTCTCTCAAAGTTTAATGATTTATATAGAGTTTTACTTTACAACTTAACCAATAATCATTGTTTTTGAGCAACAAAATGTAACTTATTTTTATTTTGTTTTCACAGATAGTTACTTGCCAAGTTTTCTTTCAATAAACTAACGAAAAGAATGTTTTCATTTGATAATTTGAAATAATTGAAAATTTCTGAACAACGCCTGTCAGAGAATATTATAACTTTAACTATTTATAAATTCCTGCTTTCTTTAAAAATGTTTCTAAGTTGGTTTACTTTTGAAACTTAAGTATTCTTCTTATTTTTAAGCTGTCACATCAACATTTACAGAGCAGAAAATTTCACTACAAATGTAATTTAATAAAAAACCATTTCAATCTGCCAAGCTGTCTGTTACCCAAGGCATTGGAGCCCAGTCTTGGTGTCAGCATCAAGATAACTTTTAACTTGCAACCTCCCGTGCTTCTTGCCACCAGCTTCTGACACTTAGTGGGGTTGTATCCCACGGCCCAGGTGCTTGTCACTTGCATATTGATTTTAAAGATTTGCCGCACATCGTAAAGCCTGCGTTGGGGGACCCAACAGGTGACTAAGAAGAGCGCATAAGTATGGTTCTCCCCAACCCACTTAAACACACAAACACGTATTCGTATACAGAAGACATTTATTTGATGCCCTATTTATTTAGCTTGCCATCCTGGTTCTCCTACTCGACCTTCCTGCTTTCGAGCTTGTGACAACAACAGCAGCAAGCGGGAAAATTAGCACCAATTTGCTGGGTGGCCGCTCCATGGGGAGTTGTTAAATGTTTCGATTTGTGATTTTTATCGCCTTGAGTTTGATTTGATTCTGTTTTGATTTTTATTTGTTGGCACGATTTGTTTGGTCTGTATTGAGAAGCCAGTGCAATTGATTCTTAGCTGCATAATACTGCGTGGGAGGACTAGGGCTTCGAGCGGCCAAAGTCGGTGCTTTACTAATTAAAACTTTGCGCATAAAATGGAGGGCACAGGGCGTTGAAAAACAAGGAAATCTTATCTATGAAGTCATAAAAGCAGTGAGCTTGATAACCATAGGTTTGCATGGCTGATCCAGCTCCAAGAACCATGGCTATTTTAAATTTGAATGCAGCCCGGAAAGGGGGAAGTGTGAGCTTAAAGGCGACTGCTGCTTAAAATGTTTGTATAGTACTTGTACCTTTTGCTTTTGTTTGGTGGTGTTAAAAGCCACACGCCACATGGCTGCCCAGTTGCCATTGTCTGCCCCTTGGCTTCTGCCATTGTCCATAATCTTTGGCTTTTTATCGCTGCCGCCTGCTTGATGCGGCAGCAAACATCTTTATTAAAAAAAAGGGGACCCAGAAAGGAAAAAATGCAATTTTTAGCCCATTTTTTGTGGGTTTTATTATGCGCCACCCGCCGCTCTTAAGCATTTTATTAGCAACTTTGAACTTGCTGAAGTTGTCTAGTCTGTTGTCAACAGCTTCACATAATTAAATAAAGCGTTAAAATTAAAAATAAAGATTTTCCAAAAGATTTTGCCACTGCTCTTGCGACTTCCTGTGCATAAGCGGAAATATGTTTGTCAAGGCGTTGAAAGCTGCCCGGCGAGGTCGACCGGGGGGTGGTCACCTTTTTGCCTCGCCGATAAGCGGGCGCAATGGGTTCGTCCTGACATTTTTGTAGCCTCTTGGCCGTCGTTAATTCGTTTTTTATGTGCTGCGCCTTTCTTTTCTTTCAAGTGCTCGGCTGATAACGCAAAATGTTGCGACATTTTCCGCCTTGTAATTGTCTGCGCAGCTCCAACTTTATTACCTAACGACCGCGGCACGTTTTCGACTGGTATTTTTTTACATTTTAATTAAAAGTTGAATCCAGCTGAGGACAAATGTAGAAGTCGCAAGTTTTGCGAAGAAAATAGTTCAATTATTAGGCATACATATTAGTGTACATATGTTACCCAAAAAAGTAATATGAATATTTTAAAAATATAATGAATAAAACAAAATCAAATATTCAATCAAACAATAAACGAATAATATATTTGTCACAGGCTTTATACAAAATTGCCCCCCACCTCAAATCTTTAGAAATAAATATCTGAACCACAAAATATCTAACACATTCATTATTATGACGCTCTATTTGGCCTTAAAATTGAGCTGAGTTGGATTTTTTGAAGGTTTTCTGTTAATCATATGCGTTATTTCGTAACAAATTTAATACTTTTTAATACTTTGACGTTTCCTGACTGTTGGTTATAAGGATGGGTATGAGCTGTTATTGTTTCGTGGCGAGACGTGAGCCATCGCGATGCTTCTAACAATAAATAACAAGATAGGAATGCTAGACTCGAGCGGGCTCAACTCTTAAATACCATGTAGTTTGAAATTCCATTTACCAACATATTTTAATTAAATCGTTGTTGAAATACAAGAAATCAACCATAATATCAAAGTAATACATGCGGCAATTTTGAAACTATTATATATATTGCAAACGATGAGTAACGATATTATATATTGTGCTAGCGCTTTTTACGGCTTTGTAAAGAACCCTTATACAAAGGGTAAAAAGGATTAATTAGGTTTGGGAGAAGAAAGCATCTCCGCCTTCTATAAAGTATACACAAATTAAAGAAACATTAATTCACGGAAATAAGCAAATATTATTTCTTGGCTTGTGCCAAGTCCACTTTATTTGAATTCAATTTTAGAACTAAACTAATTTAAGCTTTAAGCTACTACACTCGGGGTTTTATGCTGAATTGGTGGCACTGCACTTGGCCGTGCACGGGAAATCATGCAGACGCTAGATCAGCAATTTGTTGGCCCGAGCACGGGACAGTCAACTTCTGTGTCGTTAACTTAAATTTTTAATCAGCCCGATGAGAGAAATCGATCTAGTCATGTCCGTCTAACGGCTGAGCTCACATTTACCAAACTTGGTGACTCTCCCTTTGTCCATTTTTCCTCCCTTCCCCCGCTACAGAATTTCATTCAAAGCTACATCAAAGGTCACAATCCTCAACATACTAGTGATCAAGATCATAAAAAATTTAACCTTTTTTCCTGCCACCCTTTAATACTCGCAGTCAAGGGCGTAGGCAGGGGGGGCCCCCTACAAATACTTTTGCCATATAAAGTCGACCACACGTTCATTTATGACGCACTATTTCGCCTTAAAATGGATCTGAGTTGGATTTGTTGAAGTGTTTTCGTTGATCATATGCATAAGTTATTTTTTAAAGGCGTCGTGCATTATTTAATCAAAATTTTAATTTTTGGTAAAAGCTGCCTACGCCCTTGCTCGCAGAACTTTTGAAATCCTCTAAATGCCGATTTTCTTTGAAATAAAACAGGCTTCTCAATTTGAAATCCGCAATAGCTGACCAGATGGCAAATAAAATTCCCCCAACGGGTCGGAGACGGCTATGGACATTATTGTAGTTTTATTTATTTATTTTTAAGGTTTTCTAATATTTTAATTTGAAATTTAAAAATATACATACATACAATAATGTATATTTAAAACTAAGTCGGTTGTGTGAAGAAAATAATAAATCAAAAACAAATATGTGAAATTTATTATGTATTTTTATTTATTAGGAACCTGAAAACCCCTATTTCATATTAAAAATTAGAAGCTCTACCGTTGTAAGAAGAAGAAGCCTCAGTTGCCAAAAACTCAATATAATTAATAAACATAAAATTAAGTTTAGGATGCGGAGTTATAAAACATTAACTTATTTTTTCTCCCCCTTTTTCCCATCGAACCTCTTGGAAGATCCATTGTTTTTGAGTGGCAGCCCCTACATAATTTCGTCTCAGGTTTCTATTTAGCTCTATATGATTTTTTATCGTTACATTACCTGTGCGCAGCCTACTTTTCGTGTTGGATTTAATTACGAGCATGAAAGGATAGAGATGTAATTAATTACTTTGATTTTATTATTACAAATTCGTACATGCAATTCAGACTTTTGCGTTCAATAACTTAACAGGTAAATGTATTTTGATGATGACGTTTACATAGACAAAATGGTTTTTTTGATAATGTCGACGCTCTCGAGCATTTGCTCCTCATTGATGACCAAGGGCGGAGCAAAGCGGATGATGTCGCCATGCGTAGGCTTGGCCAGCAGCCCATTTTCTTTGAGCCTCAGGCAAACATCCCAAGCATCGTGTTCTGCAAAGGGTTTCAGAGTTAGACAAAATAATAGTAAGACTCTTTAACTTAAGATTAACTTACTTGAACTGATAACAATGGCATTGAGTAAGCCCTTGCCGCGAACAGTGGAGACCACATCCTTGGGCAGGGTTGCCAGCTCGCTGCGAAGCAGTTCACCCATTTTGAAGGCGTTCTCAGCCAATTTTTCCTCCTGCAGTACCTCCAAGGCGGCCATGGCTACTTTGCAGCCCAGTGGGTTGCCTCCGTATGTGGAGCCATGCTCGCCAGGCTTAATGCACAGCATTACTTCATCGTTGCATAAAACTGCAGAGACAGGATACATGCCGCCGGAGAGCGCCTTTCCCAATATCAGAATATCCGGCTTCACTTGCTCGTAGTCTACCGCCAGCATGCGGCCAGTGCGCGCCAGTCCAGTCTGCACCTCATCCGCGATCCAAAGCACGTTGTGCTTGGAGCACAGCTCTCGCACCTGGCGCAGATATCCATCTTGGGGCACCACCACGCCTGCTTCACCTTGTATGGGCTCGACCATGAAAGCGCACACATTGGGGTCCTGCAGAGCCTGCTCAAGCGCGGTCACATTGTCGTAGTCAATGAGGTCAAAGCCGGGCATAAAGGGACCAAATCCTTCGTAGCTAGTGGGATCATTAGAAGCGGAGATCGCTGACAATGTGCGACCCCAGAAGTTGTTGCGCGCAAAGATAATCTTCGCTTGATTCTTTGGTATTTGTTTTCTCAGGTAGCCCCATTTGCGAGCTAGCTTGCAGGCCGTCTCTCCCCCCTCAACACCTGTGTTCATGGGCAGGACTTTGTCAAATCCGAACAGTTTTGTTATGTACTCCTCGTACTCGCCCAGCACATCGGAGTAAAAGGCCCTGTGTGGAATGGAATAGACAAAAGAGAACATATGTATGTACATACGTGTATATGGATGTTTAGTTCAGTTGTTGCGAACCAGGAAGAAAGTTTCTGAGAGATAAGATTGCTTCCCTCACTACTGATAATTATAGAGCAATCGAGTAATTGTTAGGGCTATCAACGCTTAACCGCCGTCAATATGATCATTATTTCGCCCCATAAATAATAATCATAATAAGTTGACATAAGTGAACTTGAGTTTTAAGTGTCTTGCTTTTGTCGCCGGTTTTATTTAGTTTTTTTCCACCAGTTTCTAGGTTGCCAGGTCAGATCGCAATTGAGCGATGACTTTATCGCGAGTTTTTTTTTAAATCAATTCGCGCTTTTTGTTTTCGCAGTAAACAATTTTTTGATGTCTCACTCCGACACTCAGAAAAATAATATTTCTAGATGTTTGAAAAATTGATAAACTAAAAGCGCTCTTAAAATTAGTACACTTTTCTAGTATTAGTATTAGTATTAGTATTAGTATTAGTATTAGTATTAGAAAAGAATATTCTAAATGCTTTTCTTAGATTTATAAATTTATTTCTCTGAAATTCAATGCTTTTAGTCCAAACGAATATTATTTAGTTTTTACGGAGAAATCTTACTCGAAACGCAATTTAAAATAAAAAGTGTTGCTTTCGAGATACAATCCAGAAAATATTTCTCTTGAAATCAGAGAAGCTTTTCCAATTCATGTGAGTGCAAGTAGACAATAATAAGATTACAAAATGCGCAATTATGGAATCGCTGATTGTTTGCGATGTTTTTTTTTTCTATTATTTGCGCAGTAGTAAACTAACAATTATTTACGTATAATTCGCCACTAGTTTCTCTTTATGGACTAAATATGAACTGTGAGTGATTGCGCTTGGGTCATCTTCATCTTTTGGTGTGTCCACAAGATTATTTGAATAAACTATAAAAAAGTGATGTACATCTAAACGCAAAAAAACGCCTGCCATGTGTGTGGGCTTACAAATATCGCAAAAAATAAATAAAGTGTAACATGTAATAAAATAAAATCTTTCAATATGCCGTTATACTTGTATATATTTTATACAAAAAGTCCTTTCTAGCTTCTGAAATATTTCTTAAATTGACAGAGCAAAGTTAACTTAATAATATTATACATACACTGGTCGGCACAATTATTTTGACGAACTGTACTCACGACTATCGGTGCTGGTTGCTTTTAGTTTCAAGGAATAACGGTACAATTTTCATACGGGATATTGAGTTCATAGCAACAACAATATGTAGGCAAAATATTTTGTCTATTACTCTTCACACCTTTTTTCTACAAATGACAATGTGAGTTGACTGCGGATTCAGGCACGGCATAAGTATTTTGACCAAACCTTGTCGCCGTTTTCGCGTACGTTTTATCAAGTGATACTAAAATAACTTTGGTGTAACAATTTTTGTTGACCTTTTTACATTATTTTCATTAAAATTTGATTCAAAAGTAATCGATACAATGGTAAAAAAGACAGAATTAAGTTATGTTGTTAGAGCCTCAATAGTGGCGAAGTTTAATGCCGGCGTAGCACCAAAAGACATTGCAAATGAATATAATTTGTCGCGGCAAACAGTCCACTATCAAATTAACAAATATAAGACCCACAATGACGTCAAAAACTTGCCTAGATCAGGTGCTAACCGCAAAACAACACCCATTGAAGATCGAGTCCTATTGCGGGAATTTAAAAAAAATATTCATTTAAAGCCGCAAGCTGCTGCAGATCAATGGAATAAGTCGACCAAGACTCCAATCAGTGAGCGTACTGTTCGGCGACGCCTAAAAGAAGAAGATTTTAAGACATACAAAGCGAAGGACATACCTTACATATCAAAGGTGAACAAGCTCAAAAGATTGGCTTTTGCAAAGGAGCATCTGCATAAGCCAAAAGAGTTTTGGAGAAGCGTTCTATGGACAGATGAAAGCTCCTTTGAATATAATTCATCAAAAACAAAGATTTTTGTAAGGCTCCCACAGTTTCAAAGACAAAAAAATATCCCCGTATGTCAAAAAGTGAGCCATGGCGGAGGCTCAGTCATGTTCTGGGGATGCATTGCGTACAATGGGTTAGGTGATTTCGTTCCCATCACCGGCTCAATGAACCAGCAACAATATTTGAGTACCCTTAACGAAAACGCATTCCCTTCCGGTGACAGGCTGATTGGAGAATCATTTATCCTGCAACAGGATAACGCCCCATGCCACAAAAGCAAAATGATAAGAGCATTTTTAAGCGATGTTGGTGTTACTACTCTGGATTGGCCACCACAAAGTCCGGACTTAAACGTTATTGAGAATGTGTGGTCTCTTGTAAAACGTAAAAGAAATGCGTCTTTGCATAAAACCGAAGAAGAAACTATTTCCGAGGTCACTTCTCTTTGGAAAGAGATACCATTAGAGGTCCTTCAAAATTTAGTGGACTCAGTTCCAAGACGTCTTCAAAAAGTTATCGAAGCCAAAGGCGGGTATACATTTTATTAATCTACCATCAATTTCTTATGTTTTGTTTAGTATTAAGCTTTGTTTTTTTTGTTAATATCCATTGTCAAAATACTTATGCCAACCCATGAAAATTACCTTGATTTATAATTTTAAAAGTTCTTATAAAAATATATCCTTTGAATTATTTTTAAGTTTGTAATACCAATATGGAATTGAGAAAAAAAGTTTCCTTTGATATCTTAAACCAATAACCAGTTATTGACAAAAATGTATGATTTTCTTCTCGTCAAAATAATTGTGCCGACCAGTGTATATAGTTGAAAGAATACTTGCTTTACGGAACTATCCCACAAGTAGTGCGAGTTGCCTTTTTAACTATGAAGCGTTCGGACAGTTTTTTTAAGTGTATACCAATAGGAATGTTTTGCTATTTTCAAATTAATCTAAAGGTATATTAATAACTAGTACTGTACTTGCTTCGTGTACGTTTTGGCTTTGATTCTTTATTGTTGCTGGTCAGATTTTTCGTTATATTATTTAGATAATCTCTTTAGGGGCGCTATTATAAAAGAGAGAGAGAGAGAGGGAGAACTGCTGTGTGATAGAATTGTTACACTTATAAAGTCTTCACAAGTAATTCTAAAGCACACACAAACGGCCTAAACTCGACTTGGCAACAATCTAAATTAATGCTAATCACTACAATTGGCGGGTCATACGCGATTCCATTCGATTGGAATGGAAAGTTTAGGCACTGACCGATTTCTGGCATATGGCCCTGCGTTCAAGGCCAAAGTCAAAATTTAAAAATAAATGCTGCTGATAAAAGCACTATATAGCAGAAAATAGGCACAGTGGGTTCGATAAGCATGGCCATTGGCCTGTTGTTGGGGGCACGTCCATAAAGAATTATCGTCGAAATGTTTCATTCATGAACTTACCGTGACGTCAGCGAGAGTTTATGTGCCTGCTCCACTAGTGCTTTGATTATTTTGGGGTGACTGTGACCCTGATTGACCGCCGAGTAGGCGCTCAAATAGTCAAAGTAGCGTTTGCCCTCCACATCCCAGACATGGACGCCCTCACCTCGGGACAGCGCCGCCGGTAGCGGATGATAGTTGTGAGCTCCATATTTGTGCTCACGTGCGAACACCGACTCAGAGCTGATGGTGCTCTGCTGCGGCTTCGGTTGCGCCTTTTGGGCCACTTGGGTTAGGCGCGTCGCAATGCCGCGTGTGCTCAGCTTGGTTAACATTTTCGTACTGTCAGCGACTCAGTTGTTTGTTCACTAGATTGCTGGCTCTCCCATGGAAATCTGAAAGTTCGCTGGTGCCGTTGTGGCGCTATTTATACTTTTTGCTTCGTCAGGCAATTGCTGGTAATTGTTGCTGTTGTTGTCCACATTCGCGACCAAATCAGCCGTTGATAAGCTTTTTACCCCCAGCGTAGCTTGCTGTTTGTTGACTAACTTTGTACTCTTTTGATAGGATTGATAGGAGATAGATGTAGCGGCTTCGTAGTTCCAACCTAGTTGCGTCATTTTGCTCATCTATTTATATTCTTCTATTTATTATAGTTACGCTTTTAATACCCTGCACCCGTAGGCTAAAAAGAGTACAGAGAGGTTTGTGCAAAGTATGCTACATGCAGAAGGAACCATTTCCGACCCCATATTATCCATCGGCATGACGAGATGAATCGACACAAGGCTAGTTAGTCTGTGTGGATGAATGCCGGGATTGTCGACAACAAAAACTAAACTTAATAATTAATATGCATAATATACTATTATTTTTCTTAATTTGATCAAAATATGTCACTTTTTAGGGAAGTCACCTTCCTTTTGCATATAATACAGCGTCGGAAGATTGTTTGGGTGTAGGGTATTTAACTGTCGGACGTGCTCAACTGTAACACTTCGTCTTGTTTATTATTCTGCTTTCATTTTACTATCTTTTTGAGCAAAGGTTATGTTAGTACAAAGGCAGGAAGTTATATAGCGCGTTTATATTTAGTACCCATCATGCCGTCAAGCACAATCAGTGAAAAAGCAAGCGAAGCTGTTGAAATCTATCAAAAATTTTCCACTGCCACTTGTATTGAAAGCAAGCCCTGTAAAAAGCTTTTTCATTTGCGTTTCTTATGCCGTTTGCTTGAGTCGATTGAAGTGAAAGCTTACAACTTGATTATAAGAGGGCCTTTAGTTTTCAACGACACTGTACAGGTTGATGCAGAATACTGATTTTAACTTGTGCCAGCTAGAGATAGTAAGCTTGCTTTGCACTTTCTCCCAACTCAGACGAAATATAGTTTTTTTCGAAGCACCTTCTCCCTATTGGTGTTTTTTTTTTTATAACTCGTCTGATTTATTGTATTTTTTCACCAAACTAGACAAATACATCGGTCCCATGACAGCTACATAAGCAGGTTTATAACTTCAGAGGACGTTAAAGCAATAAAAGGCATCTCTGCCGTTTGTTGTTGTAATTCTGATACATACGGGCATACATTACAAACATATTCGTAATGTAATATCTTTCAATTTGCGGTAAAAAAACTATCCATTGTTAAAAAATTGTAATTAATGCTAATTATTTACTAAATTAGGTGAAGGGTGTCCAAGAGTCGACTGTGCAACATAGCACTTGACTCGTTTGAGTTAATATTTTTATATTTTCGTACTGTTCTCCTGCAATTTTTTATTTCAATCTTACGTACATATGTACACGAACTATATCGGGGTGAATTGTAGCTTCTGTGTGAGTTGACTTCACTGTCGACAGCTGGTTGTAAACTTTTATCGTTTGTTTCTACTTCATGTGCGAATAAAAACAATTATTATTGTATTAAAAAAATTGTTTAATTCCAATTGAAGTGAACTTTAAATTGAATTTTGAAGCAACAATCCCGATTCTGCTCATTTATAACCCATTTACTTATCTGTGATCGTTTGGACTGCATAATTTCAAAACTATAGTCCATCTTAAGCTGACTCCTCTGGCTGTACGGAAACACTGTCTGTTGTGTTTTCCTTAGCGATATTAGTGCAGTCTTCTGTCCATTGCTTGCCTCGCTGTTCATTTATTCTATCAGGAAAAGCACGCATTTGTCCTACTATATTTAGGGCTTACGTGAATATGAATACCAAGTTTGGTATACCTTAACCTTTCAAGATCCTTCCTAGAGACGAACAGCCGCTGGTAGATTTATAACATGCAGGATTTACAACAATAGGAAGAATTTATGCACATTTTGTATTATTTCATTTTTATTAGATTTTTCATAAATATTTACGCTTAAATTTATAACTAAATTGCTTATTTATGGGGATTTATTTAACAATTATAGCACATCGGGGATGTTCATATTTAAAAACAAAACTCCACTGCATACATATATAATTATTTTGCTAAATACATGTTTTGTAAGTTCAATTATTGAATGCAATTTGAATATGCTTTTTGATTTTTAGATCCCGAAAAATAAAATCAGAAATCAAAAATAATAGATTGCGCGCCAATTGTAGGCGAGTGCGAAAAACCGTTGCCTAGTTTTAGGCGAGCCCAGACATTTGTCTCACGATGAAATGCTCAAAAAAAGAGGCTTCGCGCTCATTAGCTATTCTCGTACAGTAACGCTCAATATACTATTTATATTAATTTTAATAAATTCACGCTTTGATTGCAACTGCCGCACCCACCAACATCCACATCCACATCCATGCCATCATGCCACATCTACTCGGCAACATTTGAGGGAACACTCTGTTGGGGCGATTGTGCGGGAGAGAGACTTCGGGGTGTGGCTGCCGTCGTGGGGGGTTCGGAGGCGCGCTGTTGGGCTTGGCTAATCAGCTCCTTGTTGAGACGGTAGCTGCTCATAACATTGGCACAGCTTTGATGAAAGTAGAAGTTACGACCGCGTAGAAATGCATCGGTGTTGAGATCTTTTATGCCTGTCTTGAAGGGAGAGCGAGACGGGGGGGTGAGAAAGACAGAAAGCTGAGGTTAGAGAGTTGTGAAGCATAGGGACGCGTAATCTGGGCATGCAAAAGTGCAGCGGAGAGATGGTGCGGTGATACATAGACGACTAAAGAGAACTGAAGCAAACTCAAATTACCTTACAAATGAAACATTTGTTTTCATCGTCCGGTTTTAAATCCGAACTAATTCCCACCTTTGTGTCCAATTGCGTTAATCCCGGCACGCCCATGGCGGAGAGTTGTGAGAGACTGCTGCTATCCATATGCTCGCCATATTTGGTGGCTGTGTTCGGATTATTGTTATTGTTGTTGCTGTGACCGATCTCCATGGGGCCAGGTTCGGTGCTGCTGACTTGGGGCTCTGAGCGCGGACGCTCTTCAGCGGGGGATATATTTTCCAGGCTTCTGCAGACGAAACCGAAGAGTTGTTAATTGTTATCGGTATTAACATAAATAAGCTAATGCCTGGAAGATTGATTTGGCTTGTGATTCTCTTGCAATGGATCATACCTGCTGCTTCCCACGTTCTCCTCCTGCCTGCGTGACTGTTTACTGTAGCCCGTTGACTTGCTTGTCAGTTTCACTGTCTCGTCATCATCGACAATGACATCCTCGTCGCTGTCGTTTTGGCACGATGCCGTATCCATAATTAGCTCTTTATTGCTGTGCTCACTGACGCCAACGCCGCAGGAATCCGCGTTGTAGTAGTGATGCGTTGTGGATGACAGCTCGTTGACGTTTTTCACTGTGGGTGGGGTTTTAGAGATTCGTTGAGCTCTGTGTCGGCTAATTAAGCCGTAGCTCTACTCACCGCTGATATGTGCCTGGGTTGTAGTCGCCTGATTGGCTACCTCCGATTGCCAGCTACTGCTGCTGGCGTTGGTGGTCACATCCTGCTCATCACTGTGCACGTCCTTTTGGTTAATGACACAGGCCGTGCGGTAGAGTATGCCATCAAGCTTGCCCGGCTGTGCGTGGCTGCTGTGCAACTGGGCATTTGAGCCAGCAGCCTGTGCAGTACTTGGCAGCTCGGAGCCCGAGTCAGGCACGTCGTCATTGCAGCTCTCCACATCGACGGTTTCGATTTCATCCTGCATTTTACCCTCTTCCTGCAAAGTGTTTAAATATATAAGATGAAAATGACTGGGTTTAGGACTATGCTGCGCACCTCGGAGGGCAGTTTTCCCGCCTCCAGTGCATATTTCCGTTTGCATATGGGACAGGAGCTGCAGTAGAGACTCTCCATCATGTACATTTCGCCGAACTTGCGCTTCCGCACCTTCAGTCGCAACCGGTTCTGGCGGTTGTTGCGTATTCGTTGAAACGTCTGCATCAAAATAGAATTGGGTAATTAAATAGGTGCATTGGTTCTTGAAGTACTTCGGAAACTACTACGGAAACAGAAGATCTTTTGATTACAAATAGGTCTAAAACTAGTATACCCTTTGGGTACAGGGTATAAAAAACTAAAATATCTGCAATTACAGGGGTTTGAAAATGAGAATTAATGATTCTCTCTTTTGGAGAAAATCAAGGTAAAGCACATTAAGATCCACGATGCATAAAAGCTAACGTTTATATTATGATGTATGATATATTTTTGGAGACATAAACATATTCGAAACATGCAATTGGATCAGGAAATGTTCTTGGGGCCTAATTAAAAACCGAAAAAGATATCAGTAAGATGCTAAAGTATGAAATGAATAGTAGCTGTTTAAGGTAAAAAAGTGGCACTTACCTCCCAGCGATTGTGACTGGTGCGAATGGCATTCTCCTGTGCCGGACATGGAGGCGCGAACATGTAGGTGGCCTGCAGATTGGCGCGCTCGAACCCGGCACTAAGCTTGTAAAGTCTGTCGAGCTCGGTGAGAAAATGTGTGTGCCACTCTTCAGCCGTCAGCTTGAGGCCGCACACGGGACAAAGCTCGGGAACAGCACCACCAGCTGCGGCCGCAGTCAGACCGCTGACCAGGCTTAGGCCACCGGGTACGGCCCGCAGCCCGGCCATGCTGAGGCTGGCCAGTGCCGCATGATGCGCTGCATGGTGGGAGAGCGGGTGTGGGTGTGCGTGGGAGTGGACGGTAATGTGATGCGTGGGTGTCGCCGTTACATGATGCTGGTGATGATGATGGTGTGATAGCGGTGGTTGATGCGCCAAATGCGTGCTCACGGTCACGCTGTTGTTGCTGTTGCTGTTGGCCATCGAGGCAGCCGTGCTGATGGCGGCCACAACCGAACTGGTGGAGCAGGAGCTGGAGCTGGAAGAGGAGGAGGCCACAGTGTGTGCCTTGCTCGCATTGTGCAGATCTGTCAAGTAGCAAGTGTAGCTTGTTGCTGTAGTTATTGGCATTACATTAGTCTAACCATTTCCCGCATACATCAATCAGTCGCGTAAAGCAATAAAAATTAAATGTGCGCAGCCTGCCGGAAAATATGTGTGCCCTTTCCGCCGCACACAGCCCCCGAGTAACCCTCGCATTGATTCAAGTTTGGCAATTGAAAATTCCAACACTGCTACCCCCTGCCCCCCCCTTCAATTCAACCATAAATTTCTCTCTGGCATTTTCTAATTGCATGCTACATATTTTTAACACGTACTTAGTGTGGCTGTAGCAGTCGTCAATTAATTCTGCTCGGACTCGTATATCGGACACGGTAACTTCCACTTCCCCCTACCCTGTTTCGGCTCTGACTAACTGTCAGACGCACGGAACCAGACCCGGAGTCGGCCAGGCATCCAAGCAAACCGACCCGGACAGCGACCACAATAAATGCAAACTGTGATCTGCACGTGACTCGGTGGCTGCAATTAAAATAATATAAAATATATATAAATAAAAATTATATTGGCCAAGCCGCAATTGTTGCTGACAATGGCTGTTTTTGTTGTTGCCACATACAGGAATAACACGTAATGGTAACTAGCAGCTCGGTTTTGCCACAACTTGCATTTTTCATCCAATTGAAAACCGTATTTAAAAGCAAAGAGTTGGTTCAGTCTGGTTCAAATGTTGAACCAGTCTAACGAATTCTATTTTATTTTTTACGTTAATTTGGCTACCCTCTGAGTGAATAAAAACATTTGGTCGCAGCGAGCAAGGAGTTGCAGTCTGCAAAAATAGCGACATCTTCTTTATTATTATAAAATGTTCTACTTTATTTTAGTAAGGTATTAAATGATATCAATGACAAATCTTAAGTAATAATATTATTTGTAGCGTTGCAAGATGATCAAAGTCGACTGCATCGATCTTTTTCGATTTTCTCAAAAACAAAATCGATTAATCGTTAGCCGATTGAAAGCAGTGTTGCCAGCTGGGCTTTTTCTCTGTCTAATCTGATCATTTTTTAAACCAATTGCGGTAAATTTCGAAATTGTAGAAGTAGCTTTCCAGAAATACTTGTTTTTTGTTTTAATATTGCCAACTTGTATATAAAAACTACGTAAATATATCATTGTTTTTATCTATGCCTGCCCGTGCCACCACTAGTCTAAACAAAACTACCATCTTTTCAAATGTAAAGTTTCTAATGTAATCCTGCCGGCATGTGTGGATTCCGAAAATGTAAGTCCTGGCTACACAGCAGTGACACGGACGAGCGAGTAGTGCCATTTGGCCAAGAATTTGAAAGTGAAGGTGCAAGTCACATTAGACGAACTAACTTCTACACCAAACAAAATGCACCAATATTATGAAAACCAATATTATGAAAATTCTGTTACAGCTACGAAGTTTCTTCTAAATATTTACATAAGATTGGAAGGAGTATTTTTATTTTATTTAAGAGCTAGATAAACCTAGATAAAATTATAAAAAATCGAGCATTAAACGTTATAATCAATGTGATAAATGTTGAAAAAGCTATTTCTTTAAATATATCCTTTTTGCACACTTTTTTGTTTTTGGGAAATTGGTCAGCTACTTTTCGCTCTCCTTTGCGTCAAAAGTTGTCATTATTGCTTTCAAATAATGACGTGCTAGTTTAAATATTTAACAAATATTTCACAAACAAATTGATTCTTATAAAAAATGTTAAACATCGATTAAATGAACTATGAGTTGCTTCTTATTGCAATATTTAATTAAAAGGATCTTCCATGTTTATTTATTTTCTATAATTAATCTAACTATGAATCTTCCTTCCAAATGTATCATTTCATTTGGTAAATAAAATGAAAGTAAGAAGGAATGTCAACGTATTTTAAATGCTCTTCATTTATTTTATAAACCCCATTTAGTTAAACAGCCATTTAGGTTGCGCAATAAGCCTTAAATAGGGCAGCTAACACAGTTGGATAAACCCTATCAGCAATACTATTCCGTCTGAACGATGTATCAGATGGGGCTGCAAAAAATAAGTGACTTGGTGGTGTTAGTTCAACATGTTTTACTGTTCCTGCTTTGTTATATGAATGTGGTTTAGGTATGGCGTAACAAAAACAACCGCCCAACAAAAACAGCCGCGGTTGCCATTTAAACATTGGCCAAAAATTTCATAACATGTCCCAAAGGGGCGGACACGCATATGAAATATGCGTTTCGTGTTTTTTCTTTGCTGCTTTGCCATTAATATTACAGAAATTAATATGAAAATTCCAAGTGTGCATTGAATATAATACATCACAATACTAACAATGCAATCAAAGCGATTTGCCACACTTGCCATGTGACGTGCGGCGCATCCTTTGAAGGGATATGCAGGAGCACTAGCAGAAAAAGGCGGCAACAAATGAGCAGGCATTATGAATTTTACGAGAATGTCGTTAAGCAGATGGATGGGGAGGGTAGGGGATGGGGTGGGGGCTAGAATTATAATTGGCTCAAGTGCAGTCGCGTGTTTGCTTGACTTAGCCTCTCTCTCATCTGAGTCAGCCATCGGCAGAGTAATTAGCTCAGAGGGCCGTCGTCGACGTCGTTCGTGCCGAAAGGATGCGTTGTGGTTTGACTTTGTTGTGAAGTGCGGCAAGGGTTGGGCTTCCGCTTGGAGTTTGGGGTTGTGAGCGCTACATTTCAATAAGCAGCTTGCCATTCTCAAAACACTTTATGGGCACCCTTCGCCAACCCTTTACGAAAATAAATATTTGAAATGCCTCGAGTTGCCTCGAGTTGGCTTTTGGCACTAAACAGTTTGCAACGCGTGTTAGGGGTATGCTGCGAGTATACGATTATGTATGTATGTATGTGGTGGTAGCAGGTAACTGGAATGCAAAGTGTGAAGGCAACAAACCGTTATCTTAGTTATCACACAGCAGTATATCGGGGATACAGATCGGTCATACAATCGATATGTGTATACAAGTATAGATGACCCAATTCACATAAAACGCAGCTAATTAAAATCGTATTATTTATATAAATTAATTAAGGGGCTTAAGTAAGCCAGTCTCACTGTCTAAATCCCAAAGACAAACAAAGTTCTGGCACACACATGCAAATACTTAGCTATGTAAGAGGCGGGGTTATTTGTTTTAAGCGCAAATGCAAATAATGGTACGAGAGTACGTTTGTCTGCTTTTGAAAATGAATCGAAAAAACAGGAAAGGGAGCTTTAAATAATATGTGATGAGATTTATACCTATAGTTGTAACATTTTGAGAAAAGAGTGCAACACCTGGGATAAAAATGAGTAATTTACTAGAAAAAGCCGTCCAACTCAATATACATAGTTTCGATGATAAATAATTTAGTATTCATGTAGAAATGCAGGAAGGGGGATTATAGCGATGGAACAGAGGTGCATTCTCAAAAGTAGAGAAAAGTGAACTGTTGAGGAAAGGTTGTGTGTGCTCGCAAAAAAAATAATTTCATGAAAAGTGAAAAAGTTTTAGCTGACAAATTATGTGAAAACGTAAACTAGTGACTGTTCTTTAAATAGGAGAGACAGACCTCGGCAGCTGGGTATCCATATGCAATTAGACATAAACATATACAAGGGCGTAGGTAGCTTTTACCAAATTTTGTTTATATAATGCACGATGCATTTAAAAAATAACTTATGCATACGATCAATGAAAAAATACGGTTACTAAGGAATACTACAAGAAAGTTTTGGAACCCTTGCGTGTATATCGCTGTACATAGTCTGTTCAAAAACATATAAATTTTGAATTGCTTTGAAAAGTATTTATTTATTCATCAATATCTTGTCCCTTTCAAAGCAATTCTCCTCAGATATAATGCAACTATGCCATGTCGCTTATGGCTCCCTGCGACTTTTTCCTATCCCCAAAACTGAAGAGACCACTTAAAGTAAAGCGTTTTGCCACAATTGATGAGATAAAATCGAAGAACGAGCTGATGGCCATACCGAAGCCATGCCGAAAAGCGCATTTTAGAAGTGCTTCTAGGATTCAAAGAAGTGCTGGTATAAGTGCATTATATCTAAGGTGGATTGTTTTAACGGGGATAAAATGGATATTGATAAATAAAAAAATACTTATAAAATCCAAATTCACCTTTTCTTTTGAATAGACCATGTATATACTTATATTCAAGTCTATTGCTTCTTCTGAATACAGAGAATGTATTTACATGGCTGGATTTAAAGACGAGAAGTAATGCCAAATCAGCAATGTTAATTTTAAATATTGATAGATGGATCATTGAGGGACATACAAAAAAGCACATAAATTCTTAGAGATAGCACCATAATTAGAATTAGATGATGACAAAAAACTATAAGTACACGATTCCTTATCGTATCCATTTGTGTCGCTATTTATATTTAAATTTAAAAGTTGATAACCTACTTTTCAACAAAGGATGCCAATTTTGCTTCCTTTTCGCGCCATAGAATCCATGATAGCAATATTGGATTTATTGATTTGCATTGATTAAATGAATCGTGAATGTTCGACCCAAATATCAATTATTTTGAATTTCTAATTATAAGAGAGAAAACGAAATACAATTCCGAATTTAATAAATGAAATAAATATTTAAATTATTATATAAACACATTTATTTTGCTGCTAATTCGATTTTCTAGTTTTAAACTGTCTTAAGCTAAATTTCTAATCGGTTATTGTAAGTAGATACCAGATTTTTTGACTTAAATGCGACTCTGGTATAATTTTAAAATTTCCAAACAAATCTGTTGGAAATAGTGGAAAATCTAAATGTTTTATGCTTTAAGACTGTGTCTGTCGTTACTACTTTTTAAAATTTTGCAATAACTAAAGCGTGAGGACAATTAGCATTTGGATTTCTGCTTTTGGCTCGGACGAACGGCTTTGATCAGCTTAAACCCAGATAAGTGGCCACTGCCCTCAGATATAGCTAACAAAATATTTCTAAATTGATTTAAATGTCTGGATGAATGCGAAAAACTAATAAAAAAGTAAAACGCCTCCACTGCCAGCGGCCTGCCCATCGACCTTCGAGCCGCCCCACTCCTTTTCGCCTGCCTGCCTGTCAAAGTTAAGTTACTGAAGCGTTAAAATTGCGCACCAAAAATAAGGAAAAAAATGTGTGCAAGTGGAATTGAAACAAATACAGGAAGATTTTTATCAAAAAGGCTGTCGTTCGCCCAGCCACCAAGCCCCCTTCCTCCGGACGTTTTTCACGTTTATCGCAAAATATTTGCAACATGCAAATTTGTAAAGTAAATATAAAAGTACAAGCCCAACCCTGTTTTAGGCAGCCCGAACTTACGTCTCAAATCCCGGGGATCCTGAGAGTTATTGCTGCGCGGACTTTCACCCTTCTCAACGGCATCGTAATCCTGTGAGCCCTCCATGGACTCATGTGATGTGCATGTGGGGCTGGCCGAGTCCGTGCGAAAGGATTCGCTGCCATTGAAGAGATTCTGTGAAGATGCCAAAGAAATCCAATTATGACAAGTGTCAATCTATCGCGATTAGAAAGAAGCCTTTGCCTGAACTCACCTGATCCAGCGATATGCCAATGTATTTGGGTGGCGAGAAGGCCGACGGCAATGAGAAGTTGGAAAGCACTGAGTGTTTGCCCAGCGGCGATCGCTCGCTGGCAAAGTAACTGGCGGGAGCTCCGGCGGCGGCTGCAGCAGCCGCAGCCCCATTGGCTGCCAGCATACCATGGTTGAGGGTCTGCAGCAGATGCGGATGGAAGTTGTGCAGCAAGTGCGTGCCGTAGTTGCCGACTAGTGACATGTTATGTAGATCTTTGGCGTCAGGTAGCTGCAGGAGCGGACCGAGAAATATAATGGAGAGACATGTAGAGCAACTTTGATGTACAAGTAATCGTTTGTATAGTGTCCCGAGCTCCCACATCCACTTGCCAGCATTTTGTTTTCCACTCAAGCAAACTTTGTCCGCCACTGCAGACAAATTTGTATGTAAATTTTTGCAAATTATGTATCCATGAGTGTGTGTGGGTTTAGTACTTGTCACACATGTCGTCGCTTATGTCGCATCTCTTCGTCAGTCTGCTTGTCTGTCTGCCTGCCTGCCTGCCTGTTTGTCTGTCTGTCTGCCGCTTAACACTCATTTGGCTCAATTTGTTATAAACGCTTTCCCAGTGTTTATCCTTTGCTGTTTTTATCATCGGGTGCCCGACCCTCAAACACACACACACACACCCCATATCATTTACAAAGCCCTCATGTGTGTATGTGTGTGTGTGTGTGGTGCGAATTTTTCTCGTTATTTTACACCCCATTTCCATTCCAATCGCACAGCCCCCACCCCTCGCACGCATGACACAGTTTATGCCCCAATATCGTCACTCGAAAATCTCTCAATTTTGCGCCGTTTAACATTTATTTGTCGTAAATTAAACATTTCCCCCTCATTGGAAACATTCTTAACGTTTGTTTTGTTTTAGATTTATTTATCCTTTTTCTATACCGTATGTAATACCATTTCTTAGATTTCAAATGTTTTTTTCCCATTAAACAGGAACGATAAAAACTGTTTTTTAGAAAACTAGGATATTTCATAGGTACGTGCTAAGTTCACGCATTAATTAAGGCTTGAAAAGTTGAAATTTATTCATTTCAACTTCTGAGTGAAGTAAAAATACTTGGTGGAGACAGCGGATAGCAACATACAAAATATTATTTCATTTCAAACTTTCAAAACAAATCAGCCAGATTATTGGTGCGATATAGCGAACATACATTTTCGAGATTGGAATCCCAAAAATTTGTCTTCTTAAAAAAATATCTTTATTCGAATCCTGGATATACTTACAAGTATTATAAGTATATAAGACAAAAGTTCCCTATAACGTATACCTGCATATAAATTATGATTTCTAAATCTAAGCTATTTGGATTAAAGATACTTAAATATGAACTTCATATGAATTTAAATAATGCGTTATATTTTTGTAATAAACCAAAATTTCGTTGTTCAGTAAAACGAACTAAAAAGTTATAAAGGTTTTGGAATGTAGATGTTGATAGAATTTTGTTCAAAATATAGTTCATATCTTTAATGAATAATCAAAATAATATATTTCATAGTTTCAATGAAAAATTCAAAACAATTACAAAATGATTAATTTTTTACAGAATTTCACAGGTTACAGTTCAGATACGAAAAGTACGCCAGTATATCGGAAATTATTTTAGAATACTGCAATTAGAATGTTTTAAGAAATGGTTTCGATTAATTTCCAGTACTTAAATATTGTAATTTGTTGTAGCTCTTTATTTCTTACTACTCTGTTTAAATCATATTGTTTCGATGACCGTTTAAAAAATGAGTAATGATTGTAACAGGCTGATTGTCGCGATCTGTATGGTTTAAAGGTATTCGAATGTAGATAGTGGAAGAATTTTGTTCCAAATATTCTTCATCCATTTTAAGAATAATCTAAATAATATTTTTAATAGTTTCAATATAAATTAAAATCAATTATAAAAGTTATAAAAATATTATATATGTGAAATTAGAATTTCACAAGTTATAGTTCAGATTCGACAAGTATGTATCGGAAAGTATTTTAGAATATTGCAATCCGAATATGCTTTAAGAAATTGGTCGATGAAGTTACAGTATTTAAAGATAGTAATTTTTTGGAGATCTTTATTTTTTACTACTCTCTACACATTCTACCCATGTGTCTCTATTTGTGCTAAGAATGTTTCTTTCTTAGCATCTCTTGCTAGTCTTCAAGATTTTACTCACACCCATCACATACACGTATACATAATTGCATAATTTTTACGCCAAGTCATGTAGAGCGCATAATTTTTACAAGCTGCCATTTAATGCGCATATTTATGCGCAAATTTTACGCTTACTTAGTCTGTGAAAGGGCAACGTCAGGGAACAGAATCTATAGAGTCATTCAGAAACCCATACTCTTAGGTGCCCATAAGAGTGGATAGGTTAGAGTTTTATGAGGCTATGCAAGAAATGAGGGCATTTAAGTCAGATGTGAAAATATTAAACATAAAAACAACCCTATTAAATATGAAATTGCTACCGGAAAGAAATGGTTAAATGTGTAGGTGCCACAATTTGGAAATGATTCCAATTTTTTATGTTCATCAATACTTGAGTTCTATTACTTATCTATACTTACAATTTTCTTTTGTGGATGACAGTCTTAATTATTTGAGTAAATAATAAATATAAAATAGTCTAACTCAGAAAATGCTGTTGTCCGTTATAAGTATGGACTATGTAGGTATTCCAAATTTCGCCTCAAAATCAATTCTCAGTGCCACAGAAATCTCTTCTGGGAGGGATCTCGTATGTCTCGTATTGATGGAAAATAACTTTAAATTATTGCGTTTAATTATCTAAAAAACTCTTTAATAATATTTTATGCTAAGTAGCTAATTTACTAAAACTGGGAACGAGAACAGAAAAATATGAAAATACGGAACTGCCAGGTTTAGTTTCGTGCGCTGTCAACCCTATTTAGTTTCTTAGACTACTTCATAGTCAGTCAGCTGTGGGAGGGAAAGTTCTAATAAATGAAATCCTTCGAAGTTCTGTAGCACCGACGTATTTTTCTTTGAGATTTCAAAAACAACTGCAGCCGAAATGTCAGGAGTTTTCTTTATACCCCTGTGTATCATTAGTCTCAGTTTACTCCCTTTTCGTAGAAGCATAGAAGTAGTAGCGACAATTTTCCCATAAATTAACGCTTATCGAAACGTTGACACACAAAACTTAGCACCTCAGTTCAGCTTACTGACAAATCCAAAACAGATTGCTTCATATCAGTAACCATATCATCATATGCCTCCATGGCCGTGCAGATTGTTCTTATTCCTGTTGCTAATGAGTGCCAAAATGTTTAAAAGCTGTTGCCACAAACAAATGCAAGTCATCACGGCACCCATTAGACAATTATAAATTGCAATCTGTATGAGTGGGTGAGTGGGTGGGTGGGTGTCAGGACGAGGGCGGGTTGTTTGGTCAACGTGCGTATCGCCATTGTATGAATTGCACTTTGCCTAAACACACTTAAGCCCCAATGAGTGGCACTGATTAAATGTCTGGCACACATGTGTGACCCGCTTGGTGGGGGTACATGCAAAGCTCTGGTCGTGGTTGTGTCCATGATGGGGCTGCTGGGGACTGCCTCGAGTGGTCAACCACTGTGGCCCTTGAATATGGCTGTGTGCTGTGCCGACTTGGAAAGCTGCCAGCGCTGGAGATGCGTTTTTAATGAGTTGCGCTAATATTTGCCCACTTATTGATTTATGCGTGTTAATCAAGGCAGCAGGTGTCGTTTTACTCCCCACCCCCCCATTGGTATTTGTGCTCATACACCCTCTGAATCTGGTAGCTACTGGCGTCCCGTCTCTCTCATTGTTTGCTTTTCTATTAGAGGCATTAAAAATGTAGCCGGGTGATTTGTTACCAAAAATGAAAATTCCTCGCTGAGGGTTGTTAGCATTGCAGAGATTTGCATAATGCGCTTGTTTGCTTTTAACACTTGAATTATTGGCATTTATCATGGGGCTGGTGTCAATGCCAGGCAGCTGTGCGAAGCGGCCAGCTTAGCAAACTTGTAGATACATAGCACAAGTACAATGTTGTATGTTGTTGGCTTGCAACTCTCTGCTACACAAGCAGACAGCAATAATGGCTTAATTACAACAACACGATAACGAGCAGCGAGCCATTCTATACATACAATTGCCAATTTCATTTAAGTTGCCAATAAAGTAGAAGAGACACAAATAAAGACTCTCAACACGCCGCAAATAAATCTCAATTTGTGGCCAAGCTAGAAAAACTTGAGCCAGCAATTGGCAATTTTCTCTCACTAAATGCCTCGATTTATGGTTCTAAACGGCAATTTTGACTTACAAGCTTGGTTTGGCAGTCGTAGTAAGAAATATTGCTGCATAAGCCTAGGCTTGTTCACTGTTTTGTTTTTTTTTTTTTGTCCAACTATCAACAATGAGAGGAGGAAAGGAGGAGGAGGAAGGGGAGAGGAAAGGAAGTGTGTACGATGTGTCCATTAAGCACCAGAAAACAAAATCTTATTAGGTTTATAAATATTTTTTAAAACCATTTTCAAAATTCATTTCCAAATAAAAAATACAAATATTTGGCTTAACTAGAATTGTATTGAATTAAAAGAATTCACATACAGGCATATACATTTTTAATAAACAACAGTTTTTTTTACTAAAAAAAACAGCTATTCATTTACTTGTAAATTAGAACGAATTTGTTCAAAGCTACATATACTTGTATTTATGAGAAATTGATTTCACTTAATAAAATATTAAGCATGCACCCATAATCTATGTTAGGGGAATGTCAGATGATGTCAAACAATTTTCAAAATAATATTTTTTAACTGAACACGATTTTCCAATACTTTGCTTGGTATACTTGGTTTCTTCAAACAAACATTTAAAAGTGATGGAAAGTTTAATCGAAACAGATGCTGGCCGTTACTCTACTCACCATAGAAAGTAAGGGTGTACACACTCTTATCCATAGTTTAATAAGCATTAGTGTACACACTGAGAGCATGCTCGCTCTCAGAGGTACACAAGTAATAAAGAGAACATCACTTTTTAATCTTTCCTTATGCAAGACGGTTGTAAACGTAAAGTGTGCTTTGTTAAAATAAATACATACATACATATATATTTAAAAACCTGACTTTGCTAATACAATATATAATTTATAAAACAACAACAAAAAATGGTATTAAGTTAGTTGAGTGTTAAGTTAGGTTTAAGTCATTAAGAGTATGGGTTTTTTGTATACTTTTTCCCGCTTTCCCGTCACAATTGTTCTTCAACTTTTTATATTTCTCCATTTTTTTTAAATTAAGTAGAAAAGTCTAAGCTGCCTGTTTAACATTAAGATATCTTTACCTCACTTGTAAATTCATATTGTTTTTAAGAAAAGCGAAATAATTGAAATTTAAGATTAAAAGATATGCTGGTTCAGTTTTCAAATTTGCCTTCATTCCTAGGTTTCACGTAGATTGCAGATCGCCTCGAACTGAATTCCCTTCTGCTGTCCACTTGTACCAACACCATTAATCGCTCGGACTGCTTGTTATATGGTTGGCTGCCTGGGCACTTGGTGCTACCTCCTGATGAATTGCTATAAATTAAATTAAGCACACTCATACATACTCGCTCTCGCACTAACAAAAACACAGCTACACGTATTTAATAAGTGCCGGGAAAAAATTATATTTCATGTGTTGTCTGCCTGTCCCATAATTTTCTGCACGTTGCTCGCCGGGGTGGCAGGGGCCGGGGCGCCACAGCCATAGTATTTTTTGCGTCCGTCTGTTTACCTTTGTTGTTGTCGTTGTTGTGGTTACAAAATTGTTATGGTGACTTTTTTATTCGTCCACCCGCCCGTCTGATGGTGGTTAAAATGTGTGCATGTCCTCGTTCTCGTACTGTGCCGTGAGGGCGACATTAAACCATTTGACATTGGATTTAATATGCCCGCTCAACTTGATATTATTAATTTTTATTGTTCGATTTTGCGCATGGCTATAAATTTTGTGGCGAACACCCGAAAGGGATACTTGTGCTTTGAATAGAGTGAAATATTTGTTGGAATATTATGATTAGCAGGTTTTCCAATTGCCTGTTTAGTCGGATATACTTGTATACTTGGTGTTTGACACAAAGATAATGAAACGAACTTGTAAACTAAATCCAGAGGGAATGCTAACAAAATTTTCACAATTCGGTATGGCTTTAACAATGTAGTGACCTGCTCATATATCTGCAATGAGTATACTGGCGAGAACTCTTTATGGAAGACCAGATGAGTATTTGAAAATCTCTTAAGTCTACAAGTCTTAGTACGATCTCATGAATGACAAAGGCGATAAGGCAAGAAGATGCCACTGTCGAAATAAAATGTCTTTGTAACTGTTCAGTTCTAAGCCAGTATTAAATTAAGTACAGAATGGAAGTCCACATGTTATGGATGGACTTCCAATAAAACCATTCAACGATTATACATCTCATTTTAATTTTGAGTATCCAATAGAATAATCAAACTATGAATACAACCGAAATGCCTCCGAAAGGTTCAACCCATATATGTATGTATATTTCTCCAACTGCGATGAACAACGATGACCCTTTTTAACAACTTGTTATTCAGAATTTGTGAATGCCATCGAAACAACTATCCTTAAGGGACAACATTTTTAATAAATTATGAAATTCGTAAATCCAGCACTAGAATTGAATATATTGTGTTTTGTGTGTGAATTTGAAGCACAATGGTAGACCATATATGTATGTATAATACTTTGCATCGAGGCTCTTTTTGATAGACACAGACAATGTCTGATCACTATAGTATTTGGAAAATGTCATGGAAATTATATATGTATATGAAACCATTCTTATATGGGTCGTTATGCACATTATGTATGTATGTATCTGGTTTAATAAAATAAACAGAAATCGTTGTTTTTTCACTGATTTTTAAGGATTTCAGACATAAGGAACCAATCACCTATTTTTGCATATGATCAATGTCTTTTTGCACGGTTTTTTCTGGAACCAATCTACCGTGTAAAAACAGAATTAGGTATAATTTAAAATGAGTTTCTTTATCAAAATATTTTTAATACCATTCATGAGTTGTGGATAGTGACTAAAAGAATACTAGTATAAAATACTTCATTTTGAAAGATTAGATAGTATGGACACAGAATGGAATATTGTTCTCGATCCATGACTATGAAGTATACAAGTTTATATTACAGTCAAGCGTATATAGCATTCGTGCAGATGGAGACAGTTTCTTAGCTCGTCTTTTATAAAACAAGATATGTTTTGGGATCAATATTGAATCAATAATTCAAATTACTTATTGTTAATGGTTTTTTGTTTGCTAAATTTATGACTAGCAACATCATTCACTAGAGCATTCAGAATATCCAAGATGTGAAAGAAAAGGCCACTTCATTAGATTATATTTACTTCAGTCGTTTCTGAGCGTTTTGACAATAAAACAATAAAATTAGGTTAAGTCGACAAATCTACATTTTGGAGCTAAATATGAAGGTATACCACCACCCAATTCATCTATTTAATCCGCCCAAGTGTTTAAATGTAATGTAGAAGCAGTCAAAGCAGTTAATACATTCAAATAAATGGCCAAATGCCATTTGTTCCTTAATACTTCAGCGCTGGCTTAGAATATGATTGCTCTGAATTCTCTAATTTTGTGTATGTTCAGGTATTTTCGTATTTTCATACTTAATTGCGTAAAAAGTCTGATATTGCAGTTATTTTTTTAATTTCCGAAATTCTGAATTCTAGCATTATACCAACTGATCATCCAGCATGCCATTGTGCTCCTTTTCCTATCAACGAGCACACATCCAAAGCGTTGGACATATTGTTGTCATGTTTAACATATCTTAACTCTACTTCCATCCAGTTTCAAACAACGCCAGTTAGGTGCGCCATAGTGCCGAAGAGGCAGCTCGTCCGAGTTGATCAGCTCCCCCTTCTTCATCATTTGTAGCATCAGCGTCAAGACTATTGCTCATGTTTAAAATGATGACAGCAACAACGTCAACAAGAACGGGGAGGACTCGAATGCAACGCCGCCGCTGCCTCCTTCGGTAGTCGCAAAACGTTTAGCTATGCAGCGGTCCGGTTCTCTACTCGACCGGGCCTTCTCCTACGTCCATCAGACAGCTATCATAAATCTGTTCGTCGCAAAAATCTGCACACAATGGGGCGTTTGCAAACGCATTCCGAGATCGCTGAATTGCCAGTCCGACTTGGTTAAACGCGAACCGTTTCAGATACTGTTGTGGTTGTTGTTGCTCCGTGCGCTGGAATGTGAAGCACTGCCAATGCGCTCATAAGCTGACTGACTGTCTGGCTGTCTGTCTGTCTCTCGGACGGTTTGAATGTTGCCAAGCTGAGATCGAACTTTGTTTGCTACAATGCTTCGTCTGCTTGTTGACTGTAGTAGTAGTTGTTGTTGTTGTTGTTTTACAATAAGCATTGTGTTGGCCGGTGTGCTGATTTATAGGTGGCCAAGTTGGCTACTTGGCTACTGCCCCGATCGGCACAGTTTATGATTTTAATTTTGTATGGCAAGCGAAGTCAGCGAGGTAGCATTTGTCATAAATATGTCGCACCCCTGCCCGCTGGACCACTTGACCTCTTCTCCCCCCCTCGGAATGGTTGTATTTACTTACTCTTGCTGGAAACGGACGTTGTCCTCGCAAAGCTTCATGCAAGCCGGAAGCGGCCTCGGAGAGCACAACAAGCGCTTGTGAAGGCAAATGGCTGTTGCCAAATGCGTTGCTTTCCATAACCACCAGCAAAGGGGGGCAGAGCAGAGCGGCCGCTCCGCCTGTGGGGATGTATTATTTATTTAGTTTCAACTAATTTGGCACTGTCAACGTGGCGTATGCGTAACATTTGCTGCACCACTTTCACTCGATACTTTGTTGTAGTAGTTTCAATTTATTATGTATTTTTTTTTTTTTGGTTATTATTAATTGTGAGTCGCATTAAAAATTGCTATTGACATTTTGTGTGGCACGCGCGTGACTTGTCGGGACTGTGGCACAAATGAAAACGAAGTTAATTTTATTAATCAACTCCTTAATCGACACATACATATACTCGTATGTATGTATGCATAGGTGTGAGGATATACATATGCAATTACATGCATACATATGTATGTACTATATGTATGTATGTTTGTTTATGACACGTGACACACGCGTCGGCAGAAATCAGCACCAACAGCAGCAAAAATCCGTACGCGCTCAACTTGCAACACCCGCACGAACGCGTTGCAAAAGTCAAACTGACTGCCTCTGCCTAGCTCCCTGTCTGACAGCCCTGCCGCCTGGCTGGCTGCTGTGTAGTCCATAAAAACGAGTTTTCTTCGCTGCCGCAGTCGCTGCTGCTGCGCAGTGTATTTGACATCGCCGCCTTCATCATTCGTTGATTGGCTGCGAAGTCGAACCGGTTTGGCTCAGCAGTTCCTGAGTCTACTGTTAGCTCGCTTGCACATCCAGCTACAGGCAATATGGTTCCCTATCTCTTGCTCTCTCGCTCTCTCTCTCTCTCTCTCTCTCTCTCTTACTCCCTGTGTACTGTGTACGCTCCATATGTTGCGCTTCATTTATCAGGCAACTGCGTCCTCCACCACCACCAGCAGAGCCAGCAAGCAACTGCTGCTCAAAATTTACATTATGTTTACCTCTTTAGTCAGTTTGTTTGTGTATTATTATTCCAAAATGGTTGTGTGTCCGGCTACCCGCCCACTGTCCAACCAACCGACCATCCGCCTGTTTGTCTGTTTATCTCTGGCTATTCTACGCCTGTTTGTCTGCCGCTGGCTGCTGTTGTTCTTAGTGTTGTTGTAGCTTGGCAGCCACCTGGGTTCCATTGCCTGACATTTTGTGTAAATAAACCAGCGCATGAAGCTGAAACTCATGGCGAAGCATTTTTACTTTGGCATATGCTTGCTGTTGGCATTTCGTTGTTGTTGTATCTGTAGTTGTTGTAGTTGTTGTTGACTGGACAGTGACTGCAAGTATCTTTGAGATTTTTATATATTTTTTTTTGCGGCAGTGCAGCGCTGCTGGCAGCTTGTGTTGCCTTTTTATACATTGGACACTTAATATAGCACATTTCTGTGGCAAGTTATTGGCAAGTTGTTGGTGAGTTTTGGGTAGGAGAATGCAAGCAATAGTTGTACTATACTAGTACGTCCATACATGTGGTAAGTATGGAATTGTTATGGAAGTTCGATGCCAATTTAAGAACGTATTTTGAAGTATTCGAATACCTAATAAACGACCGATTATAGCAGGACTATATTATATATATTGATTGATTATATTATACTTACATATATACATACATACTTTCATTACAAGACCGTTTTGTTATAAAGAATGATATTTTCCACTATTGATGTACAATTGCGTAAATTTCTCAATAATTATCAATGTTGGTGAACAACTAATTATATCTACTTGTCATATTAATAGCTTTGTATTTATACGTAACACCTGCTGAAACCCCACTTGGGAGTTCTAGTCTATTTGTGTCTCTATTATAAATTTGAATTTCAAATTTATTGCAAATTCCAGAATATCTAAGTAGGAAAATTACTTTGAAATATTAAGTACAAAATGGTCTAGAGCTATTATGCAGATCTATTTGAGATAATTTCATACTATATTCATAAAGATTCTAGTACGAAAAATATTGAGCAATATGAAGTCTGAAATGGCCATACCAATTCAACCTTGCAATGCAACTGTTGGATCATTCGCAAAGGCACTTCGTTTCCAACTCAGTAGCTGTTCAGTCATATTAATTTTGCATAATATCTGACAGATGGTGTAGCTTGATCAGATCTTCAATAAGAGAGACACAAACCCATACGCCAAGTCGTGGCACTCATTCTGTAGTGCTGATCATACGTGGATCTATCAGTAAGTTCACCAGTTACAAATAAAGATGCTAGTTTTGTTCTGGTGTTTTCCAAGCTCGTAAAAACTTGCCTCCTAACGTTTTGACGTGCGTTGTTTAAATATATACTTTGTAAATACCTAGTTGTCTCCGAACATACTTTGTTTATAAAAACCAGTTAAGAAATTATTTTGATTGAATGGACCCCTCACTATGTCCATTCTCATGGGCCACGAACTGTATCCGTATTACATAAACATTTATAACAAAGCAATGTTTCTTAATTTAGGATTTGGAGAATAACAAATACATTGTCAATGTGCAATTTGGTGTCAAAATATTTATAAGCAAGAATCATCAGGATTTTATCACATATTAGAGATAGTCTGTCTCGACATTTTAGATATGTCCTTCAAAAAAAAAGCACCGCAAGAATGACTTTGCGATTTGGATTCGTATCGTCATTGTGATCATAGATAATTAATAGCATCAATGCTACAAGATGTTGTCACTCGCTCAAAACAATATAACTTCAACTTTTCAGTGAAGGGTATAACGAGGACAGCATTTGCAGGCACTTCCAAAATGTAATGTACAACAAAAAGAGCAGCTTCTGCTTTGGCCTTTTCCAGCCACTAGTGCTCTAAGTCCACTGCCAAGCCAATGGCGGGCCTGATCGCCACTTTCAGTAGCAAGTATATATATATATAGTATGTACATGTACATATGTATGTGTGAGCACGAACATGGCCAACTAAATAAAGTATTTTGTTGCAATTTAGTCAGATAAAAGCAAAAAATGCCTTAGCTCTCACAAAGAAATGCGAAAAAATGGCGATAAGACTGTGCCGTACTGGCTGCAAAAAGCATTTTGACATGTTTATGGCTCTGTCTGTCAAGTCAGCACTTAGCAGCGCCCCCCTCTTGCCATTTCCCCCACCAATCGTGGGCATTAATTGGTTTCCTAGTAAATTTTCTTTTGACCATGTTTGGTCATCGCCTCACTTGACTTGACGCGTCTTGACTTGGCTTGACTTGACTTGGCTTGACTTGACTTGGCTTGGTTCGTATCGACTTGACTTGACATGGCTAATTTTTTGCTCATTAAATTTACATTTCAAGAATTCCTGCGCAGAGCTGCACTTTATAATTTCTGTGTTCGCTGGTTTATTACAGAAGTCGCTGAGCACACACCCACCGAAGCCACCGAAGCCACCGGCGGAAGGGAGCCCGACAGAGATAGCGAGGTGCTGCTCTACTGTCTGGCGCATGCGTGGAACTCAAGGTAGCCTACATAATGTGTCTATTCCGCTGCTGCTATGTAACTGTAACCAAGTATATAGCAGCCAGCAGCACTCCACTTGACACTAGCAGCCAGTTCGAGTAACTAAGTCAGGACTCGACTGCCATGTACAGCGTCGCTTCGACTTGGACTCTACTGCATTTCGCAGGCAGTAGATTTTTCATTTTATTTATGCGCTGCTGCTTCTGCTGTGGCTGCTGCTGCTGCTGCTGCTGGCACCCTCCCTCTCCACCCCCTGCTCCCAACGACGCCTCTGCTGATTGCTAAACTTTTTCTGCCTCCACTGTTGTCAGTTTGTCAGCTTGGCTACAAAATTAAATACTTGTCTTTGTTTTTTATGAGTGCTGTCATGTGCTCCGCGTCCCGTGGTCCTCTCTTCGCCCATGCATCGGGTGTGGGTGTTGCCATGAGCTGTTCGAGCACCAACACACACACACACACACACACATACATCTACATGTGCCATGTATACATACATACATAGGAGTATGTACGCAAGTATGTACAACATTGCTGGCCATAAAACGAGTGTCGCTTTTGGGCTGACAGCTAATTTATGTAGTAGTAGCCGAGGCAGCTGCGTTCCGCCTTTAGTTCTTTATTTTCCTTTTTCTTTCTTATCTTGTGCAGAACTTTCGCACGAGTATAATTCTCTCTAGTTTATTGCGCTCATATTAGCCACTAAATAGCTGCTTGGCCACTCACCAATTTGTTGAAATGCCTGCCTAATTGCAAATTTTAATAGAGCTGAGCACAACCACATGTGAATAAATATAAGTGAGCTTTTTTAATAACATATGTATATGTACATATGTACATATATATGTATACATGTATGTTTATGACCTCAGCTCTTATATGTAAAACGGGTATATTATTTAGAACCCTTACATTGTATCCACACAAAATTTATTCATAAATTCATATTTTTACACCTTCTAGAAATCTTGAACGCCTGAAGAAGGCAGAAGGGGGCATAAATGATTATCATACTTATAAGTATAATTAGCATGCATAGTGTAGACTCTTATTGTTAATACGCCTTATTTTTTCATAAATCTGCCACAGAACCTTTCCGCGAGAAGTCGCTCTTAGTACTAACCATTTATATTTTGGAGGAAGTTTTATTGAAGTTTTATTGAAATTGATAAACTTTATATATCTGGCGTAAGAGCGTTTGATGTAGAAATAACTTTTGATATCAACAAACATTTCTCTATGAATATCAGAATAGGAATATTATGAATATAATATCTAAAGCTTATTGTTTCTTAACATAAAACATCTAATACTTCATTGAAATCGATTAGATAGATCAAATATGAGTAGCTGCCAGAGAAAAGATTTATGCGACAAAGTATACGTTCAGCTATAAATCGATTAATAAGTAAAAGGCCAAGACTAAATTATTTACACTGTAAGTTACATACTCGTACATAGGCTTTACAATAATTTCGGAGTCATATAGAATGAAATCAAATTTAAACTATGTAAAATCATCCATGGTCAAGGGTATATTTTATTTCAAGTAAATCCTATCTTTAGAGAAACATTTTTTATTAATGTGAA